GATGGCCCCTGTAACAGTCATAAGTGGCTAACTTACCTCATTTTAAGTGATATTTTTCACCAACCAGCTGCAGGAGTTCTTTCATCCCATGACCATTTCACGGCGAAATGGGCTCTAAATGGGCCATGGATACCAGAGCTACGTGAGTTCACCAGAGAACCATGAAAAGGCCAACGAATCTTCAGATTGCCAGTAAGATTCCATGAAATTCTAGTATATGGTGGCAGCTTAACCATCTATATATTTATATTTATATTTATATTTATATTCATATTCATATTCATATTCACATTTATAATCTTATATCTAATATAATATATATATATATACAATTTGTTCACAGATGTTCACAGACCAAGTAGCCCTTCAAGCACCACCACGGCATCATCCATTTCATGCGCCTCTTGGATGATCTTGGCCTCCTCTAAGCGCTGCATCAAGCCATTCAGGTCGTGCCGCCTCACCACTTCAAACCTAGGCCGTCGATAGTCCCGCCGTCCCGAGCTGAAAGCCAAAGGAATGGACATGTTGGACCCTGAGAGATTTCCTGAGGCCATTCCATTTCAGGGAATATACCCCCCAAATATGGCCAAACATGTGGTACAGTAAGTACCTCCATCTGTTGGATCCTGAAGATCTCCCATTGATTTATGTTTGTGAATGAAAATCGAACATCTATGTAACACGTTTGAAACACCTATGATTCTTCAGGTGTGTCTATTGTTTCGCCATACAAGATGGTACCCCCCAGTCATGTGAATGTTGGGGCACCACCGAGCGCAGTCGACACCGAAAACTCAGGTGGTTTCTCTTCCGGGATGTCTATCCCTGGTTTTCGAAGTGATTCCATCCCCGTTGATGGGAAATGTCCCATGTTTCAAGGCGAAATCCCGAGTTTTTCATGAAATCCCAAGTTCTGTTGAAAAAAAAACACATCTTTTGCGTGTTTCAATCAATTTATGATGATGAAATCCCATATGAAATCATGATGAATTCCCAAAGGTTCGCATGCGAAAAAAAAACGATGTTTGCGATGTTTTGCGGCTGAAATCATTGAATTTCATGGTGATTTCATCGTAATTTCATGGTGATTTCATGGTGATTTCATGGTGGTTTCATGGTGATTTCATGGTGATTTCATGGTGGTTTCATGGTGATTTCATGGTGATTTCATGGTGATTTCATGGTGATTTCATGGTGATTTCATGGTAATTTAATGGTGGTTTAATGGTGATTTCATGGTGATTTCATGGTGGTTTAATGGTGATTTAATGGTGATTTCATGGTGATTTCATGGTATTTCATGGTGATTTCATGGTGGTTTCATGGTGATTTCATGGTGATTTCATGGTGATTTCATGGTGGTTTCATGGTGATTTCATGGTGATTTCATGGTGATTTCATGGTGATTTCATGGTGATTTCATGGTGATTTCATGGTGATTTCATGGTGATTTCATGGTGATTTCATGGTGATTTCATGGTGATTTCATGGTGATTTCATGGTGATTTCATGGTGATTTCATGGTGATTTAATGGTAATTTAATGATTTCATGGTGATTTCATGGTGATTTCATGGTGATTTCATGGTGATTTCATGGTGATTTCATGGTGATTTCATGGTGATTTCATGGTGATTTCATGGTGATTTCATGGTGATTTCATGGTGATTTCATGGTGATTTCATGGTGATTTCATGGTGATTTCATGGTGATTTCATGGTGATTTCATGGTGGTTTAATGGTGATTTAATGGTGATTTCATGGTGATTTCATGGTGATTTCATGGTGATTTCATGGTGGGTTTCATGGTGATTTCATGGTGATTTCATGGTGATTTCATGGTGGTGATTTCATGGTGATGGTGATTTCATGGTGATTTCATGGTGATTTCATGGTGGTTTCATGGTGATGGTGATTTCATGGTGATTTCATGGTGGTTTAATGGTGATTTAATGGTAATTTAATGATTTCATGGTGATTTTATGGTGATTTCATGGTGATTTCATGGTGATTTCATGGTGATTTCATGGTGATTTCATGGTGATTTCATGGTGATTTCATGGTGATTTCATGGTGATTTAATGGTGGTTTAATGGTGGTTTAATGGTGATTTCATGGTGATTTCATGGTGGTTTAATGATGATTTAATGGTGATTTCATGGTGATTTAATGGTGATTTAATGGTAATTCACTAAAACGAATCCAAGGAACTGGGACTTCCTCAGCAAGTGCCTTACGTCGCTCAAAATGCCACGCTCATCCATGCGCTGGGCGGGGAGCAGCGCGGCTTCATGCACCACGAGGAGGGTTAAACATGCCTCAAGCGAAGCCAGAAATGGCTTTAATATGGATACCCTCTGGTTCTTGAACATAGCGAGCTAGAAAATTGCCCGTTCATAGATGATTTATGATGATTTATCTACTTAAAATTGTGATGTTCCATAGCTAAATAACCACAAGGTATTTTACATGGTTCAATAGGAATAGTATTGGGAGAATCGGACAATCATAGGAGATTTTCACGGCTTCATTGCTAAATTTCTTCGGAGATACCCCGATTATATGTTGATTTTGGTTGGGTTTGTTCACCGAGAAATGTCGATGTGAAATTGGCACGAAAGAAACACCAAGCAATGGGATTGTGTCATGGGATAATGGTGGTTAATTGAATGGGATACCTGTGGGTAATAGTGGTTAATAATGGTTGATAGTGGTTCGCAATGGGAGAATAGTTCTTAATATGGTATATGGCATATATTCTCCATTAATCTGGTATATCTGGTTATTTAATAGTCAGCTATTGGAAATGGCCCATAGAAGTAGATGATAAACATGATGATTGACCTATGAAAAAAATATGGATTTTCAATGGCAAACCGTTAAATAACCAAAGGGTAATAGTGGTTAACAATAGTTCTTAATATGGTATGTTGAATGGGATACCATCTAGATAGAAATATGGAGCTACCCTCTGGCAATCAAAGATTGAAAATCTCCTGTGCATGGGTCTCTTAAAATTGATAATTCATCTATAAATGGCTGATGTTCCATTGTCACATTTGATTTGCGGAGGGTATCAGCAAGCATATGGGAACACGATGGGTATTTGACTGACTATGTAATGCTTCTTATATAGGAATCTATAATAATGGGTATCATTTATATAACGTAAATATAATGGGACATCTAACCAACAATGATATACCAGTGTCCAGTGTCCAGGAGCCGTCCTTGAGTATACCCTGAATGGGGCCCATGGGGGTACCCTATCTGGTTGGTGGTTGAGCCCTACCCCTCTGAAAAATATGAGTTCGTCAGTTGGGATTATGAAATTCCCACTGAATGGAAAAATAAAGTTCATGTTCCAAACCACCAACCAGGTTAGCTAATTTCGTTTTCAACTAGGCAAAGAATCGGATTTATGCTGGATATATCTTTAGTTAGATGAACATAAAGCAATTTATAACTTGGGGGCCTCGTACTGTACCATTTCTTATAACTACACTTAGGACGACCGCAAGTTCAGGTCCACCAGGTGTTTCTATGGCTTCTTATTCTTCACTGACACGGAAGGATTGGTGACCCTCTGGTGATCAACGGTCCTGCCTGGAGGAAGCATGTGTTGCCGGCATTTTCGTGGCCATAGCAGGTCACTGTCACCTTGTGTTCAAGCGAATCGGCCCTTCCTTAGTGGATCTTCGTGGTACGACTCGAAGCTTCGAAGCTGCAAGCTTTGGGAGAGCGGAATATGTTTGGCTAGTGGGAACATAGTGGGAACATGTAAACAACTAGTTTGGGTTGAAAAGTTGGAAACCTCTGACCTCCGGATTCAATCTCTAGCTCGTTGTGATATGGTTATATGATGCTTACCTGATTGACTATAACTGGGTGAATTATAGTAAATCACGAGCCACAAAATCCGTCATATTTGGGATGATCTTCACATCAAGCCTGAAATGGCGAATTGTTGTCAGATATCGCCATGCATATTGGGAACAGAATGGATATTTAACTGGTTATGTATGGGAATATAACTAACAGCATAATTCAACTATATTACATGAGCATTAACATCCATTAACTTGTAAGCACTTACCCTCTGGTAATCAAACGTGGCTGGAAAATCCCAAAATTAAACTGGGATTGGAAAATCATCGAACTAAATGATGGATTTTTCAAGAAGTCATGGAGCTGATTACTGGAGAGTATATTACTATATCGTTCACTAACCTGAAATTGGGGATTTTGCCCCAAATCCAATTCCCATCATTCCAGTGACGTCACCGCGAGAGGTCATGATCAAAAGTCATCCAGATATATATGTATACATCACAATAGCAACTCTACGTTCGTTGGTGCCCCCCAGTTCCAACTTGGTTTACAATGTTTACAACCACTATTGAGCAGTTCGATATATCGACCATAAACCTAAGTCATTGGAGTTATAACTAAATGAGCGATGAAAAATGGGTGCCACCATATTTATGATTTTATATGGTATCATAGATAGCTATGTTCAATAAGCCAGAGGTGAGTCAGATTTTGACCTTCCCTATGGCTTAGTTCGGGAACACTGAACGAAGATCTTCCCTAAAATGGTTATTTGAATGCACCATTTTCGGACACCCCAGATCCACCCACCATGCCAGTTCAACGGCCATGACTTCAGCCCAGTTGCCCTCCAGATCCTCCGGCCACGTCCGGGGAATCGCCGTCGCGCCCGTCGTCGCCTCGCCGCGCCGCGTGTCGCCCTCCGCGCGCCACGCGGCGGTCAGCGCCTCCAGCGACGTGCGCAGCGCGGGGTCGCTGCAGAGGGCGTCGCAAAGGGCGGAGTCCAAGGTGGCACCACCTGAAGCGGAAAACATGTGGAAAAATAGGGGAAAAATGGAAGACCTATGGAAATGTATGGCAGAAATATGGGAAAATCATGAAAATTTATGGAGAAATAAGGAAAAACGATGTAAAAATGTAGAAAAACATTGAAAATTATGGCAAACATATGGGAGAATCCACGGAAAAAGATGGACATGGTGGGGGATAAGCTGGATAAATGGTAATATGATTTGAAGAATCGCAACTTCACAAGGTGATATTCCCGTTCGTTCGCCAAGTTCGTTTAGTTGCCTAGGCAACTAAATTTCATTTATGGTAGATATATCAATAGTTAGATGGGCGAACATAAGCCAACTCATAATTGAGGAGCCTCACCATGGGAAAATCATGAAAAAACCCTGAAGAATGGTAGGTGTTGATATGGATTTTCTCCTTGAATGGGGGTTAATGTGGTTAATCTCATGATTGCTCGGTCACAAAGCGCTGAGATCAAATCATCAACTTCTGATTGGAGTCATTGGCACCTAGATACCTGCAGTTTGGCGGTCTGGAGTGCTCCCCATGTTCAGAAACAGTCATTGGTGTCCTGAATCTTGACTTATGACCTCGGTAATCATCCCAAAACTCCTCCCAAGAATAGCGTCAGGTTAGTGAAATCTGATAATGTGCCACAATGTGAGGCCCCCCAGTTATGAGTTGGTTTATAAGCCCCAGTAACTAGTTCGTTTTTCGCGTACCATAAACCATAGTTATTGGAGTTATTGGCACCAACTTAGCTATCGAACGGGGGCCTCACAGTGCAACACTTGGCATCTGATGACCGCCAACACCTCCGGCCGCCAAGGGATCCAAGGGGCTGTAGCCAATGAGGCTAGCCTCCCCAATGAGCCGAACCAAGTCCTGGTAGGGAACACGGGGGGGGGTTCACCCCCTGGGTTCTTGGGGAGGCCATAAGTTGGAATATAACCTTTTATACATTATATACATTATATACATTATATGCATTATATACATTATATACATTATATACATTATATACACTATATACATTATATACATTATATACATTATATACATTATATACATTATATACATTATATACATTATATACATTATATACATTATATACATTATATACATTAGATACATTATATACATTATATACATTATATACATTATATACATTAGATACATTATATACATTAGATAGATAGATAGATAGATAGGTAGATAGATAGATAGGTAGATAGGTAGATAGGTAGATAGGTAGATAGATCGATAGATCGATAGATAGATAGATGCATAGATGGATAGATAGATAGCTAGCTAGATAGATAGATAGATAGATAGGTAGATAGATAGACAGACAGACAGGATAGATAGATAGGTAGATAGGTAGATAGATCGATAGATCGATAGATAGATAGATGCATAGATGGATAGATAGATAGCTAGCTAGATAGATAGATAGATAGATAGGTAGATAGATAGACAGACAGACAGGATAGATAGATAGGTAGATAGGTAGATAGATAGATAGATAGATAGATATATTAGATATATTAGATATATAAGATATATAAGATATATTAGATGTATAAGATATATTAGATGTATTAGATATATTAGATATAGTCTATCACCCCAGCAACTATAAGCTGGTCTATAACTAGGTTAACTTGGGGTTGTGGTGGTAATAGCTGTAGTTTAGGAGTTTAGGATGGTTTGTAAACCAACCTCCTACGGGGGCACAGTTTTTCTCCGCTGTTACACAAAAAAGAGTGTTTTTTTTAAACTGGGGGGATCCCCGAAATGATTGGTTTACAATAGAAAATCCTTTGAACATGGATGATTTAAGAGGAGCCCCCACGACTTAGGAAACCTCCATATGTATTCAGAAGATTCATTGCACGCGCACTATTTTCAGCAGATCATGGGCATGCCAACACATCATTGTCATCACATGTAGTTCAACGTTTCCCCAAAAAAACATCAACCACCTAGCCTCCACAAGTCAACTCCATCCTGCTCAACTCCATTCTTCCACCATGGCTGAACACAGTGAACAAAATATACAAAATGATTCATCATAGATATCATGATTCCCAAATCAAAAATATACCCAATCTGGAGAAAGGTGTGCTTACGATTCATCATCATGATCATCTGGTTGGTGGTTTCAATTCCTCTGAAAAATGATGGAGTAAGTCAGTTGGGATGATGAAATTCCCAATATATGGAAAGTCATAAAAGTCCATGGTTCCAGTCACCACCGACCAGTCTATAATCATCTATAACCATCTATAACCATCTATAATCATCTATAATCATCTATAATCATCTATCATCATCTATAATCATCTATAATCATCTACAATCATCTATAATCATCTATATACTATTTGTAACTATTAATCATCATCATTATCATATATTGTTTATCATTAAATATCACTATATAGGGGGCACCTCTCCACGTGCCCCAGGTTTGCCCAGGTTTTCCCGGACCTCCAACCGCTGACGTGCGGGCACCAGGAGATGTGCATGCAAGAGCTGGTGATTGATGTGGCAGAGACTGAGTTGATGTGCCTGGTGCACCGCCCAATCCTTGGTCTTCACAACTTCGATTTCTTCAGCGGCCCTTTTCGCAGTTCTAACTGGCCGGAACAAACATTTAAGTGAGGTGTATGTATGTATGTATGTATGTATGTGTGTATGATGTATGTATGAATGCATGAATGCATGAATGCATGAATGCATGTGTGTATGTATGTATGTATGTATGTATGTATGTATGTATGTATGTATGTGTGTATGAATGTATGTATGAATGCATGAATGCATGAATGCATGTGTGTATGTATGTATGTATGTATGTATGTATGTGTGTATGAATGTATGTATGAATGCATGAATGCATGAATGCATGTATGCATGTATGTATGTATGTGTGTATGAATGTATGTATGAATGTATGTATGAATGTATGAAGGCATGAATGTATGAATGTATGAATGTATGTATGAATGCATGAATGCATGAATGTATGTATGTATGAATGTATGAATGTATGAAGGTATGAATGTATGAATGTATGTATGTATGAATATGTATATGTATGTATATATCTATATATATATAGTAACCAACTAGTTGCAGGAGGTATAATCTCATTTAAAACTGTTAAGGGCCATATCTGTATGATCCAGATCTATAGAACATAAGTATAACTATGGTCATAAACCCCCATAAGTTGGGATACAAACATTACAACTATATGGTGATATCAGGTTATATCGGGTTATACCGCGTTATATATATTATAAATATATATATATTGTAAAATATAAAATATAGATAATACAACATATATGATATATAATATGAAAATATAATATATATAATATAAACAATACATATAATATATATATAGATAATACATATTATATATATAATATATATACAATAAATATATATAATATAATTAATATATATAAAGTAGTTAATATATATAAATAATATAAATAATATTTATTATATATAAATGATATATATATAAATATAATATATAATATTGAACATATTTATAATATATTATATATATAATATATATAATATATAAAATATATATAATATTTATTAAAAAAATAATATATATAATATATATATATAATATATATAATATATATAATGTAAAATACCAAAAATACATAATATATTGAATGTAAAATACAAAAAAAGAATATATAAGATAATATATATAATATAAAGTATATATGTATAACATATATGATATATACTATCTATAATATGAAAAATATAATAATGTATAATTTAAATAAAATATAGATATAGTATATGTAAAATAAAATATATAATATAATAAATAAAATATATCTATTTATATAATAAATATTTTTTAATATATATATAATAGTTTATATATAATATATATAATATATATAATATATTATACATAATATATGTAATATATATAATATATATAATATATACAATATGTGTATATATACATATATAATATAATATATATATATATTGTATTATATATAAATATATATATTGTTATATTATATATATAGATCTCCACTTAGAGCTGGAACGACTCTCCCAATGAGTTTCATGGATCAAGACTCCATGGGTCCCAGGTAGTACTTCTCAAAGCGGTTCAGGAACGGCAGCGGCGTCGAAGCAAGGTCCGAAGCCTGCCGGAACTGCACTTCACAAGTGATGGATTTACCCATGATTACCCTCTGGTAAACAAACATAACTATGGAAAATCACCATTTTTAATGGGAAAATCCACTATAAATGGCCATTTTCAATAGCTATGTTAAATAACCAGAGGGTAATACTGGGTAGTCTAATTGATTATATCCCATGAATAATAGTGGCCCCTATAATCAATCATCTTGGGTTGTGCATCAGTATATTGGATTATTACAATCCCCAAGATATACCCTCTGGTAAACTAGCGCAGCTATGGAAAATGGTCCATATTTAGTTCAATGATTGAGCGAAGCTAAAAATGGTGGATTTCTTTCCGATTCCCCCAAGATCCGTAGATTCCCCACAAGGTAGTGCCCCAGTTCTGAATCCTTAAGTTGGTTCGCACAGTTCACTTGCTGAATTCTATGGTTTATGCTAGATATATCTGAAGTCTATAGTTCATAACTTCCAAGTCACCATTACAATTCAATATATTCAATTCTGGGGCCCTGACCATAGATTACCATAGATTGTTTCCCTCTGGTAAACAAACATAGCTATGGAAAATCATCCTTAACAAGTAAATCAACAACATAAATTGTAATTTTCCATAGCTAGCTACGTTAGTTTACTAAAGGGTCTTGACCAAGTGAGCAGTGGCTGCCAAACCCCTGTTGGTTGATGATTAGTTCGGGGATTATACTACCCAGTATCTTGGCTGGTTGGTGGTTTCAACCGCTCTGAAAAATATGATGGGGATAAAAAATTCATCATTCATCCAAGAACTATGGAAAATCACCATGATATTTATGGGAAAATCAACTATTTCAATGGCCATTTTCAAGTTCGCAAACTGTTCGATTACCAGAGGGTATCTCTTGGGGATAAGTTCCCCTAGTTTTTCTAGGTGAAACCCCAATTTCTCACCATCATAGGGATGATGATTGAAAATCAATTATACTACCCAGTATTCATTAATCCACTATAAATGGAGATAAAATCATTAATCCACTATCGATGGTGTATTTTCAATAGCTATGTCAAATTACCAGAGGGTATATTAACCAGTATCTTGGGGATGATAATCATCCAAGAACTGTTTCCCCAATAGCGATAGTTTGGGGTGGGCTGCATCTTGTTTTTGAGCTAAGTCGGCCCACCTGTCAATACCAAATTGGCGTCAACGGAGATGCGAAAGTTTGCTATTGGGGTTGTATGCTGGGTTAATTCAATGGCCATTTTCAATAGCTATTTTGCAATCACCAGAAGCAAAATAGCCATAATACCACTATCATCCTATTATATCCCATTATATCGGTTTCAACAGCAAAACAACATGACGCGGATAAAGAACTGAAGAATGTTGAAGAAATATCCCATTGTATCCCATTATATCCCAACCACTATAATCCCAGTTTACCAGAGGTTAGATTCCCCACCATCGTTGCTGCACCTTGATGCACACCACCAGCATGAAGCGTGGATCCACCGGTGCCAGCACCGAGTAGCTCCCGGCCGCCACGGTGGCGGCGTAGCGCACACGGCCAGAACCGGGAAGGCGTTGGAAACGGAGATTCAGCAGGTCGTAGAAACCTACAAAAAATGGTGATTTCATGGGATTTAAGTGTCAAACATGATGATTTTCCATTGGGATCTGAGTTATCCAAAAAAAACTCATTTGGTCAAGAAAAATTTTGAACGCATATGTAAAAAATAAGTTTGTTACACGTGTTTATCAACCAAGATAAGGGATTTCAGCAACCAAAATGCCAATTGACCAAGCAACATATAGGTTCAAAATCTAGGTTTAAAATCGGCACAAAAATTAGGATGCAACCAATAAAAAATGAGAATTTAAGCAAGCAGGATGGGAGCAAAACTAGGGATGCAAGCAACAAGAGAACGGAGAATTCAACCAACGCGGGTGTGTTTACCAACATGGACATGTGACCAACACTGATCAGTATCCTGCCAGCTACCAACTAACATGGACATGTGACCAACCGACAACCTGTTGCAAACAAAACTTGGGGGATGATTTCAAAGGCTTGGTGTTGTGGTGTTGTTCCGCCGGGAACCATTTTTTTGGTTGCGATGGAATCCGGGATGGAATACAAAAAATCTGTCCATGAAAGCACCACCCAGAAACCATCCAAGATCTCGTCATAGGCAATCATCACCTCACGTGCTGTGGTTGACAAGCAAAGCTTGCCGTTAGAATGGGGATGATTCACGAGCACAGGGGGAACAATTGTCCAATGGGAAATATATCATGTACCATGGGAAATGTGCGAATTCAATGGAGCTTTCTAGCTGGGATAAAAACATCAGAAATATGAATGGAACTCTTCAAGTCGTCAGTGATCATCACTGCTCTTCACAGATCATCATGTTTTTCGTCACTCAGAAATGGACAGAAAATCACCATGAGAGGAATTGAGAAGCCCTGCTGGTGTTCGGCATCCTCATGGGGTCGCCCTATCAACACGTGAGTCAAGTACCCCCAAATAATCATGAATATGCACATGATATCTGGATAATTCAGAATATGTGGGATAGAGCATTTCTATGGGCCATCTATACCATGGCGAACTGTTAGTCATAACCAGAGGGTACTCAGATTGGTACTTGATCAATCAAGGGTGGGTGACTCAGCGGTGTACTAATAGATCTAAGTATCGAGTAATAAATTGTGGCATATATATATATATACAGTTAGTAATCAAATTACTAACCATTACTATAACCATATTATTATCATACCATCATTATATCATATTTAACTATTATAACTAAATCATTGATATATATATATATGTGTGTGTGTGCGTGTGGTTATCAAAGTGCCCTACCATTGGGCTATCCGCCAAGGCACACAGGTGCGCGCTTGCTCCGCCGCCCGGCGCAAGTTGCTGACCATCTGACTCCGGTGCAGATCGTTTCGGTCGCCTGCAGGGTCAAGATCATCATAGATATAGTCATAGATCATAGATGCTATAAATATTATGGATAGTCTACATAGTTACTATAGATATAATAGATGCTATAGATATTATAGATATAATAGATGCTATAGATATTATAGATATAATAGATGCTATAGATATTATAGATACCAGTAGTACCGCACAAGGCGGTGGCGGAAGTTTCAAAAATAGGAAACCTATAGAAGAGATTGGTTGTTGTGAATCAGGGATGGCAGACCGAATCCACTGATGGACCGAAAGGTGCTTGAGGTCTCCTCTCTTTCTCTCTCTTTCTCTAACTATCTACACACCTACCAACCTATCTTCTATGTATCTATCTATCTATCAATCTATCTATCCCTCTCTCTCTCTCTTTCATCTAATTACCTACCAATCTATCTATCTATCTATCTATCGACCTATCGATCTATCTATCTATCTAATTATCTATCTATCTATCTATCTGTCTATCTATCGATCTACCTATCGATCTATCTATCTATCGATCTATCGATCTATCGGTCTATCGATCTATCGATCTATCGATCTATCGATCTATCGATCTATCTATCGACCTATCGATCTATCTATCTATCTATCGATCTATCTATCTATCTAGCTATCTAATCGATCGATCTATCGATCTATCGATCTATCGATCTATCTATCGATCTATCGATCTATCGGTCTATCGATCTATCTATCTGTCTGTCTGTCTGTCTGTCTGTCTATCTGTCGACCTGTCTATCTGTGGTGCAGTGTCATTCAGTGTAATGTAGTGTAGTGTAATGTAGTGTAGTGTAGTGGAGTGTAGTGTAGTGTAGTGTAATGTAGTGAAGTGTAGTGGAAGGTAGTGTAGTGTAGTGTAATGCAGTGTAGTGTAGTGGAGTGTACGGTAGTGTAGTGTAGTGGAGTGTACGGTAGTGTAATGTAGTGTAGTGTAGTGTGATTTAGTGTTGTGGAGTGTAGTGGAGTGTAGTGGAGTGTAGTGGAGTGTAGTGAAGCGAAGCGACATCTGAACCTCCAAAAGTGGTCCCAAACCCTGGTGCTTTTAACATTTTGACTTCGAAATGTGCTTCGCGCCACAACGGCGTGCACTTTTTCGACATCTGAACCTCCAAAAGTGGCGCGAACATGTGGTGTTTTGTGCATTTTGACTTCGAAACGTGCGTGCAATTTTTCATCTCTCATCTGGCCAGCTGGCTCCGCACCCGCCGCTTTAGCGAGCCTACTTTTCGACCCTCTGGAGCCACAAATCATTGGAAAAACACAGTGTTTCGCGACTTTCCTACCTTTTCGCGCATCTGCATCTTCTTTCTTCTGACTCTTTCTCTTCTACTCTTCTCTCTTCTAATCTTTCTCTTCTCTCTGCCTCTGCCCTGCTCTGTTTTTCATCTGTCCATATTGTCGGAAGTTTGACTTCTAAACTTCCTTCGATTATAGATATTATAGATTTAAATATTTAACAGAATATATATGTATATATAGTCAGAGACTTAACAGAAAAATATATATATATATCAAATGTTGTGCTGATACAAACAGCCAAACCCATCCCAAAGATATTATAGATAGTCTACATAGATATTATAGATATTATAGATAGTCTAACTATATAGATCAGGGTCATAGATATTATAATATATAGTATATAATAGTCTACAGTCTACATCTTGATTATTATAGACATATATCTACATGATATTTATAGGTTATAAATACTTACTAGTGATAATAGTGATCTATTGATTATATGTCTATCTAACATAAAATCAATCACCCATTTGGGAATGGTAAACATACCACCTATAAAAATGGTGATGACTGGGGGATGGTGCAAATGGCATTGTTTTAGCCACATCTGTTATTGTGTATCAATGATCAATATCAAACTTATATATGGGGGTTTCCATAAATGGGGGATCTCAAATAGCTGGATGGTTTATTTCATGGAAAATCTGATTATTGTATGGATGATAACTGGGGGTACCCCCATGACAAAGCGGAAACCTCCATATGTCATAGATTTTTCATAGATCGTCCTCTGGTAATCTAACACAGCGAACTGAGAATTCTGGGAACTCACCACTACTAAAAGGTAAATCATCAAACTAAACGGGTCATGGCTTCCATGGCTATGTTTAATTGCCAGGGTGTCCCCTCTGATAATCCAACATAGTCATAGATTATTAAAGGGCCATGTTTCGTAGGTAAATCATGCACAAATTGGCTAACAATTGCTAATCATGTTTAATTGTCCATGGCTATGCTAAATTACCAGAAGGCATTGTATCCTGGAACGAAGTCTTCGATATATCTGGCTGTCTTCCTTCGATGTTCATTTTAGTTGGTAAAGCCAGTGCCACCTGATTCTGTGATTTACTCAGATGATCCTGCAGTAATACCCGGCCTGATAAACATGTCCAAAAAACTATGGAAAATCACCAGCTTTAAAAATGGTAAATCAACTACAGTATTTTTATGGGCCATGTTAAAAATAGCTATGTTAAATTACCAGAGAATTTTCATATAGAAAACCAAGAATACTGTAAAATATTGATTTCATATAGATATAATCATTCCACATGATTTCCATATCATTTTCACATTCTATGCAAGAGTATTGTGAAAACATGTGGAATGATCCAATCCTGTATACATTGTAGATATACATACGCAACATTGTGATTTTCTCTAATATCATCCAATATATATATGTATATATATCTCTTTACATATAATACATATATATATATATGGTATATATGATACTAATATAGCTATATTAATACAGTCATGATTTATGTCCAGCCTTCATCCCACGCCGCCATCCCACACCTGGGAGATCGGAGACTTCCAGGAACTCCCACTGCTCCGGTAGCAGCTGGGCTGCCTGCAGCATGCGCACCGCGCCGCCGTCCTCGGTCTCGTCGATGATCAGCTTGTAACGGCAGGGCTCGTAGCTGGCGTCCTGGTTCGTAGTGGCTCGGAAAACTGGGGAGTTGGATAATTCATTACATATACCATTGATTGATTGATTGATTGATTGATTGATAGATAGATATATATATATGGTTGGTGGTATACCTACCCCTCTGAAAAATGATGGAGTTCGTCAGTTGGGATTATGAAATTCCATATTCTTGGGAAAAAAATGTTCCAAACCACCAACCAGGATATATATACCATCTGGTTATTTAACATAGCCATGGAAAATCACAATTTTTAATAGGTAAACCATCTATTTCTATGGGCCATGTTCCATGGCTATGTTAAATAACCAGAGGGTATATATAATGTATCACTATATATGTATATACAATTATATATATATATATAATTATATACATATATCAATGTGATGCCCCCCAGTTATAAATTGGTGATGGTTCAATGTGGTGCCCCCCCCAGTCATGTTTGTTGGTTGATATAGTCGGGGATGGCCAGTAAGCAGAGACTAATCTTCTTACTGCATATGCCGGAGGCCAAAATCAGGCAAATAAGACATCGTCTAAGTAAGACTTAAGTCTAAACACCTGTAGTAAGCAGCTCCTATGAAAATAGGTCCCCAAGACAATTTCAGAATCTGCTTACTACAGTTCCCTTGGGTGAAGTGTTGATCATCGCCTCTTCGAGGCTCAAAATCCAAAATCTAAGCAAACATGTCTGAAGTTTCTCCCGGTACATGTTCACAAAAAGCAACTCTAAATTGTCAACAATCAAATTTTATCCGGGAAGTATGTAAAATGGATAATCTAGGTGCAAAGGCTAGGGGCTATTCGTTGGGGTACGTTTTCCGCAAAATTGATAAGACAAAAGTGGGGTACAGGTTTAGACGTGGGGCACCCTATTTTTGGACAAAACCCGCAGCAGAGGTACAGTAGAGTTGATCTCAAGATGTTGCGGGGGGAAATTCCCCACAAAAAGGTAGGCGCTGCAGCAGGAAATCTCCCTATAGTTTGACTAGGGCAGTAAGCAGCTCTGGGCTCAGAGTGGGACCTTATATGACTTATGAACCCTTAAAATACCCTCCTGCTTACTACTTCGGCTGGGCTGTTTCCTGCTTACTGGGTGTCCCCGGCTATAAGCCCATTAACAAGTTGGATAGAATGTTTATTATATTATTATATCTACCATAAGTCCTAGTGAAATTGGAGTTGTTTGCAGCAGCTATCGAACGCGGGTACCACCTTGCGAGTGGCGAGATTTCACTGATGGTTGGCTATATCATGATATATACACTGATGGGGCTGTATACCCTCTGGTAAACATTTAAAAAAAAAAACTATGGAAAAATCTACCATGCTATATCGCTGGGTAAATCAACTATTTCGACTGGGCCATTTTCAACAGCTTTTTGTATGTTTACCAGAGGGTAACCCCCATGACCATGGTATAAACTCGCCAAGGTGACTTGAGGGTTGTCAGAGGCTATCCATGGAGATCGATTCTTTTTGGGTTGAGGCCACCCGATTAGCAGTTCCCATCATTTCTACAAGGTGGTGCACCCCAGTTCTAGGTTGATGACCCCCAAGTTTAAGATCATGAAGTATAGGTAGTCTACAAACTCTACCCTCTGGTAAACTAACATAACTATAGAAAATCACCATGTTTAATGGGAAAATCCACTATAAATGGTCATTTTCAATAGCTATGTTAAATTACCAGAGGGTAAATCATGATAAACCCTGGCACATCGCTTCCCATTCGCCTGCAGATCCTCCGGTGGCACATCTTCCAGCGCCTCCCGGAGCACGTCCAAGGTGCTGCGGAGCTGCGTCGTCTCCGGCCGCGTCAGCAGGCCGCCGGTGGAGCGCTGCAGGTGACGGAAGAAGATGTCGAGGAGACGAAGGAAGTCCTGGGGGAAAAGCTGACGGAAAAGCTGGGGCGAAAAAAATGATCCCGGAGATATATATATATATATATATACTGAATATGTGTGTATATATATATATATGTAGAGTGTGTGTGTGTATATATATATATAAAGATTCAAAGGGCCGCCGTTTTTTAGCACCGCTCTGCAAGACCAAAGTTGTCAACAAAAGAGACATTAAATCTCTTGAAATTCCACACACCTCCCCAGGAGCTTAAGATAGGACACCCAAGTCCATTATATACCCCAAGGAAAACCCGGCCAAACCCAAGGTTAACCTTGCCCTAGGTATATATGGGTCACTCCAGTGCCCGGCCAAACCCTGAGACAGCTGGAGACCTCCACCCATTGATTGACACATACCCCCTGTGTCTCTTTTTTGCTCCTTTCTGGGGAGGGGGGGAAGGGAAGCTGAGCCAAAGCTATGGGTGTAAAAACCTTAGGCCTTTTCATCTTTAAACACGGGGGCGTTACTCCAAAGATTCAAAGGGCCGCCGTTTTTTAGCACCGCTCTGCAAGACCAAAGTTGTCAACAAAAGAGACATTATATCTCTTGAAATTCCACACACCTCCCCAGGAGCTTAAGATAGGACACCCAAGTCCATTATATACCCCAAGGAAAACCCGGCCAAACCCAAGGTTAACCTTGCCCTAGGTATATATGGGTCACTCCAGTGCCCGGCCAAACCCTGAGACAGCTGGAGACCTCCACCCATTGATTGACACATACCCCCTGTGTCTCTTTTTTGCTCCTTTCTTCCAACGTCCCCTATTCTGCGAAGGGATCTTCGTAAGCTCAAGCTTTGCTAAAGGTTTTGTGAGACTACTGAGATACTGGCTTCTGAGATTACGGGTGAACTTGTTCCACGGCAACGAAATATTGGAGAGGACTGCAAGTCCTTCATTGATATATACACGAGCAGTAGAAGCTGCATGCCACCTACCAAGCACCAAAAGTGCGTCAAATCTCCCATGAATTTGAAAGTGATTGGTTGCACCTCCTCTTCGAAGAGAATAAGGGCGAAAATCAAATTTACTGAGCCCTACTGCCTGGAGAACTTCGGAAAATGTTTTTCTCCATTTGTGGGAAGTCCCCGTCAGGGAAGACGATGGTCTAACCATTTGCTTCCACTGGAAGAGCCGACGACATACGTCCTCAGCATGGATAGTGACACTTTCTGCAGCGCCATGGCGCTTGCCGCCCTTTGTAAGGCCCAATGAAAGGACAGCAGGTCCTTTAGCCTGCGAAATCGCCACATGACGGGCTTCTAATTGCAGCAATTCTCCAGTTCGGAGAAGCCCATGAAAACCAACCAACAAGCTTAAAGCAAACAGGTTCATCTGCTTAAAAAGAGCATAACCTACCAGTAGATGTAAGGCATCTAAAGACAATGGAGGTGCCCGATTTGGGATTTCATTTGTAACCCACGTTTTCATCAGGCGCCAACTCAGTTTCAACTGCCCTTTGAGATGTGGTTGTGCATCTTGAAGAGCTGCTAAAATATTAGATCCCTCAGTTCTACCTTTGCCAGCTGCCCATAGGGCCTCCAAGTAATCTGAGACAATCAAATCCAACTGGTAGGAAGAACAAGGAATTGCAAGTTTTTCCTGCCGGAGCCACGAATAAAAATCTGTTCGGGCTTTCTCATACCTCTCCCTTGTGACTGGCTGTACAGTGAGACTTTTGAGTGATCCCAACGACTTTCTAATCTTTGCCCTTTCACCGACAGTATGTCCTTCCAAGTGGCGCTTTGGCATCACTTCCACTTGCGCTTCTGCGGGCGCCGACTAGGCGCATCCGCTGGATTGTCTTTGGTATGGACATAGGCCCATACCGATTGGGACTTGGTGGCCAGTAAAAGGGCATTGATTTTTAGGATCGTGCATCTCAACTTCCTAGAGCTGGATCTACCTCTGCTCAACGAATGCATTGCCACAAGTGAATCGACCAGATGCACGAATTTCACATGCACCTTTTTGTGGCGTTCCAGTCTCCATCGCAAAGCTGTTAGAACAGCTCTCATTTCCAGAACATTAATATGTTCCTTTTCGCCAGTCCATTTCCAACTGGCCGCCGTATACCAGCGCCACAGCTTTGCTGGGACACTGGCTCGGAGCCGGTGATACTTCACAAGGTCATCGCTGGCTGCCTGAAGTGCAATGTCTTCACCTTTGACACTGACCAGCGTCAAAAGTTTGTGCACCAACTTCAGGGCTTTCTCATGACCTTTGCCACCTACGGGTTTACACATAGGAGGCCGTTGCAGGAACGTCTGTAAGTCCTTATCACACCCCGGCGCTGTGCGTTCCACAATGTCCTGGACAGAAAGCGCGGAATTTAACCCCCGCACATATCCCAGCTGTGACAGGAGCCAGGCCACTACAGTGACGTTCCATGAATTCCCAATCAGACTCAACCGGGTGTCCAAGTGAGCTTTGCTCCCTTGTTCACCTTTCGGAACTGAATTCAGGGTGTAGTCTTTTGGAAACCCCATCGCAACCTCGCGCTCTTGAATGTTCAGTAATCTCAGATTGCCTTTGCGGTTCTGTACACAGTGCTTAGTTTGGTACTGGTATGGCGGAAAGCGGAAACTATCTTTTCTCCACCTCTCCAGCTCCTCTTCTGTACACTGACGAATTCCTGCAGGCTTATACCCAGGGCCATCCCGGGGTCGGCTTGTAGTAAAGGTAGGAAAAGGCCCCGGTTCTACTTTCGTCCAGCCTGGGGTGAGAAATCTGTCTGACTGTACAAGGCTCTTCAATGACACACTTTGGCGTCCAATTGAAGTGCTTCCAAAAGAAACATCGTCTGCACTGACCAACTCCCAGTCGATCCAGTACAGGCGGGGGCGATGGGCTATAGATACATTTGAGGCGTCTATGTACCAAGGGCTACTACCAAAGGACAAGGACATGACGTCCTCATCTGCTTTATCCATGGATGCGACATTTTCCATCAAACCAAGGACTTGAGCCCAAGGAAAGCTGTCTTTGACCAGCGCGCGCACCCGATCCACGTGCGAGAACAGAGAGCTTCGCTCATCTCGCAATGCTCCTTTCCGGGAGGCGTTGAGCCCACTCACACCTTGGCAAGGGGGCCCCGCTCCCACCAAAATGAGTGAAACTTGAGAAAAACGTTGTGCCCAACCGCGGACCATTTCCCGATCCACTAGGGTGATGTCTGACACAAAAATCCCGCCTGGAAAGCGGCTTTCAACCACTCTCCTGGCCTCTGGTGACTTCTCTACACTAATGTGCCCTACTACATTCCACCCTACGGCATCGGCAGCCACTCTCAAAGCGGCAATGCCATCAAACAAACCAATGGTGAGCACACTGGTGATTTCACTGGGCTCTACCAAGTCACCTCTCACAGCGCACGCGCTGGCAACAGCCCCTAAATCACTAACCCCATCACTGGCCGTGACTCCCCCACCAAATTCAGAGGCGTCGCTTGCAGTTACCACTGGCGACACTTGGCAACGGAAGTCCATGTAGGCCAAAGGGAGAAGACCCAGAAATCTCGCCAACTCCTGCTTCACCTCTTGTGGCAGCTTAAACTTGACTACTGGTGGGTATCCTGTACAGGACACGATAAACTGCCAAATATGGTTCAGGCCACCCAACAGTGGTCGCCTAAACATTGCGGCATACACAAAGCCGCCCCCCACAATCTGCATTTGTTTTTGACTGCTCCGCCCATCCTCCAGAAGGATCCGGGCCAGGTAGGCATACCGCAGTAGCTTTTCCACTTCAGGATAGGCTACACCCACAGTTCCATCTACCATAGCTCCTTGCACTTCCGCAAGGGGTTGCCTGGCCACCCCCTTTTTGGGGTGCCTGGGGATGCCCATGGCAGTATAGGTTTCCTAAAGGCTCGAAGTCAGCGCTGAGGCTTTGCCTGCAACTGCCTGGGCCGTATCTTTCGAAACCTTCTCTAGTTCATCAAAATTATCCAAATAGATACGGTAGAGGGGGTTTGCTACGCTGAAGGCCCTATCTTTCCGCAATTCAGCTTCGCTGCCTTGCAGGCCACTTTGGGCAAGAGCTTGTTTCACTACGAATCTATGCACACGTTGTGCAAGAGAAACTGAATTCTTGAATCCCATCGGGAGAACAGCGCTGCAGGGATACCATCTGCCACGCCGTTCTCCCCCTAAATCATCTGGTAGAGGACGATTAAAACATAGGAACCTGTGCCAACTACATGGTACTTTAAATATATAAAAGAACGCTCGCACGTCCTCGCTAGAAACTAGGAGGTCTTCGTGCGGCTGCAAGTGCAGGGGAGTCATGCCTGCCCATGCTGGCAACGTGCCTACGTCTCCATCCAATCCTCGCACCACTTGGTTAAGGGGAATCAAATTCATTATGATTCTCTGCAATTCAATGTGCCCGTCGAATTCATTTTTGGAAACCCCAAATAGGCCATTCAACAAGGGCCGACCACCCACTTGGTAGATGTCGTCCTCATGCACCATCGAAAACACCCCCATCCGAAGAAGGTTCTGACAGAACTCCCTCCACCCATCAGGAGGAACCATTACTTTAGGGGGCCGAGTAGGAACCTGATCTTCAGGCTCCAACAGGTAGTCCTCGAAATGGAGCACATAGTGTTTTGACCCTAATTCCACAACATCCTCAAGTGGGACAGTGCCCACTTCTTTAGGTAATGCGGGAGAGACGTTTTCCCATCGCATCTCTTGTGCGGTGAGAATTTCTTCACCTCTGTAGTCTACTCCCTTTACCCTGAAAAATTCTTCCCATGTGGGGGCTTTGCCCTCCCACCCATCAAGCCCTGCAAAACCTTCACTTGATACTCAGAAGCCACATTAGGTTCCTCCAACCCTTCCCCGTTTAAAGAGTTGAGGGACCTTAAAACACACCTCAAAGAAACCCTTGCATCATATGAGTGAGTAGGGAACAACTGGTTGACTACATAGGGGGACGAGGGCAGAGGAAAAAGCCTGCCCGTGGTCAAGGTCTTGCAGAGCCGTCCTAAAAAATCGTCCACCCTACTATCTAACCAGTTTAAAATGTCCCCATATCCCACACCACACTGCGCTTCATCAAAGCTAACTGTTTTCACTGGACCAATCTGACCTACGCCTAGATCGTCCTCCGACACCACTCCCGGTGCGTTGTCTGTACATGGCAAAAGGTTAGAATCAGTGGCAGCTGACTCCAACTGGTGAAACTGGCCAGCCGGGAGCACACCTACGCTCCCCTCTTCAGAGATCCGTTCACTGCGCCGCTGCTCAGAAGTTCTTGACGACCGCCTCTTCTTTGCCCTCTTGGTGACTACCGCCTTGCCCACTTGGCCAAAACGCAAGCTACTCTTTGGCCCCTTCTCAGCCTCCTGAATCTTTTTTCTCCTCCTCCTCAACTGCACTTTCAAGGCGCCTTCACTCATCGACTTCTTTGCATCCTTCGCTTCTTCTCTGGGCAGCCATGCTGAAGCTTCACCTTCTTCTTTTCTCCTCACGGGAGACTCCTCCTCTCCCCGCTCTTTCTTTTTGCACCTCAGTGACAATCCTCTCTCCTCTAGCCGCACTTCAACTTCACTCATCCTCACGGGAGACCTCTCATCTCCCTTGCCTTCTTTACTTTCTTTCCCAGCAAGTGTCCTCCTGGGGACCTCATAGGCTGGGGTCTCCTCTTTCTCTTCATATTCTACGAGGTCTTCTTGCCCTCGCTCTCCTTGCCTTTGCCTTTGCCTTTTTCTTTCCCTTTCGAAGTCTTGTCTTTCCCTTTGCTCTTGCCCTTGTCTCCTCCCGCTTGGCCTCCTTTGACCGCTGAGTCCAGGCGGGCTTCTTTGTTTGCAATTTGGTATTCTTGCCTCGTCCCTATCTGCGCATCCGGCGGTGGTACTAGCTCCAATTTCTGAGCTGTACTCCACGGTGTACCTCGTGAAGTCATTTCGATGCTTTTCATCCTCTGAAGAATCGCATCCAGAGCTTCGGATGGCCTGGCTTGAAGAAGTAGGTCCCCCACCCAGGCCAGGGTGGAGAACTCTCTGGCCACTCCTCCACTCAGCCGGGCTGCCATGTATGTACGGTTGTACAGAGAACAGATCGGAGGGAGGGAGCCCTGATCTTGCTCCCACCCCGTGCCGGCGATCTGTGTCAGGAATTGCTTCATCTGCCCCACGCTCTGAGCAGCTAGCAGGCCCGGCCCTAACTGAGCAATGCGATGGACCTTGGAACGGTCCTCCAAGAGCATATCCTCGTTGAGGTCGGTGCTGCTCCCCGTGCTCGAGGAACTGGTCGAAGTGGTGGAGTCTCTGTTTTTCTTCAAGGCCCTTCTCACCTTCTTTGACAGCTTCTTCCTTCGACTTGCCTTTGGGTCGAGACCCGTGCCCTCGTATAGAGCACTCAGCGTCTTCTTTGCTACTGTTTTGCCGCCGATCCTCACTTTTTCGGGAGAACCCTGGTCTCCCTTCTCCTCTCTTTCCTTCTTTCTCTGCTTCTTCTTTTTCTTTTTCTTCTTCTTGCCGCTCCTTGAAGACGATGACATGACTTCTCGTTTCTTCTTGGCGTCCTCCTTCCTTCTCCATTCTGCCTCTTCCTCTTGTAGTGCGAGGGTATCCCCTTCTTCCAATAGATTGGCTTCCCAAGATTTGCCCTCCTCGGGTTTCAACCTCCTCAACTTTCTGACGTGGATCAAGTCGGGGTTTTCCCTCGTCTGAGGGCATCCAGCTTGGCAAAGATGAAGACGTACTTGACACTGGCGATGAGATGTGCCAAACCTCAAAAGCTCCTCTGACTTGGTACCAGTTAAAAGGCACCTCAGCTCTCTCTCTCCTCCGTCAAACTCCTCACGATCCACCTTTGCCGCAGCTGCAATCTTTTGCTGGTAATATACTCCCTCAGGAATCACCAGCCACTCCCCTTTGGGATATCTTCCGGGAGCGATCCCACAGGCGTCGATCAACTCCCCTCTTTTGAACTGCTCCTCAACGTCTCCTCTTTCCTCTTCCACCTCTTCTGTCTCTTCTACGTCCTCGGCTTCTCCTGCAGTTGCAGGCCTCCTCAATATCGATGCAGGCCTCCTCAAAAGGCCTGGGGCTGCAGCAGGTCGCCTTCTCATGCGCGCTGCCGCTCCTCTCTTGCCCTTTTTCGACCTTCACTCGGTCCGTACCTGAGGATGTCCTCTTGGCGCTCCCTGCGCACCGTTCCCTTGGAACGGGACCCAGACCACGGTGGTGGTCTCCACCCTGGTGGTGGTCCTAGGGGCTCAGGAGGGCGGACCACACTGGGGGGTCTGCTGGGCTCTGCCGGCCGCTCCCTCAGAGACCACTGTCCGGGAGGCCGTTGTCCTTTCTCCTCACCTGCGCTCCTCTCTCTCTTCTTTCAAAAGGCCTCCTCTCGCTCCCTTCTTCCTTTGTGCTTGCTGTCTTCTTTGCCTAAGTCACCAGCAGGCCTCAATGACGACGATGGCCTGCTACTACCACCTCGGTCGGGAGATCTGTCTCTCCCCAGAGTCACTATGCCTCGGCTGTCTAACTCGGCCTCGGTAGGTTCACTCTTCACCTGAGTGGGCTTTCTCTTCCGTTCAGCTTCAGAACACCCACCCCTAGAACTTTGGGGCCGGCCTGAAGCAGATGGGCTCTTGGTAGCTTCTCTTCTGCGGCGGCTGCGGCTTCGACGTACCTTAGTCTTCCTGCTCTTTGAACGTTCGGTACCTTGGCTTCTCTTCTTCTCCTGACTGGATCCCTTTCTATGCTGGCCTACTTTCTCTGAACTCCTTCTGTTGTCCTCAAGTCCTTCCCCAAGACTCGGAGTACCCCCTGCCAAGGGACTCCAAGTTTCCAACCGGTGCACCTCACGAAGGTTGAGGACTTTGTCAAAGCACTCTTTGAGCTCCAGAGCCGCCCCCTCCAGGAACCTGTGGCTCTGATGCCCTAAGTGCAGCTCCTCGCCCAGCCGCCGCCACACCAAGCACGCGTGGCACTGACACGAGAGTCGGCACCCCAGGGGCCCGTGCTCTCCCATTAAAGCTGAGCCAAAGCTATGGGTGTAAAAACCTTAGGCCTTTTCATCTTTAAACACGGGGGCGTTACTCCATATATTTATAGAGCATACTATTGGAGGCATCATGCTATTCCAGTTTGAAATACTATCTATAAAGTATATATATCCCATATATAGCTGGGTGAACTGACTATGCTTATTAGCCAGTTATTTGCATGAGATATATTCGGGATATATTTGCCTAGTTTTGCCTACTTATATTCATAGGGAATTTATCCCAGGAGAATGGTAGTATTACTAAATGGTAAAATTGAGGAATATGGGGAGGTTATGCCACAAAAGTGGGGTTAACCTAGTGGAAAAAAAACCTGTCTATGATACGTATCATTAAAATTTCCCATAAAATGGCAATAAAACAGCATACTGGGATGATCATCCCACTTAGTGAGTGATTGAGAACCATCCCGGAAGTGGGAGTTTTCCCATTATAAGTGGGTGAACTAACCATGGCATAATGGTTATGAACCAGCTACGAGTCGTGGGATTATCCTCCAAGTGGGGGATGCAGTTTTCATTCTTTTGGGGGCGTTGAAGATGTATATGGGTGCATATTATATGTGTACATGTGTATAAAATAAATTCTTTTAATGATACTAATAATAATCACATTAATAATAACAATAGTAATAATAAGAATAGTAATTTATATATCTGCAGATATAGATTTTGTGTTTTCTCTCCGTTGTAGATTGGTTTTGTTGGAATATAGGGGTGAGACCTGAAAATGTTCCCTCGGACAATTCTGGGCTCTTGGGGGACTGTGGTATGACCACTAGCTCTCATGGGTTTGTGTAGGCATACGGCATACGTATATATTTTTGCGGCGTATCTCCTGTCACAAGTTGGACCTTATGTTAACCCCTTCTGATTTGAAGCACCCCACGAAACCAGGCCGAAATGGATAGACGCTTCTGTATAATCTCATCAAAGTTCATTCCTGGATCAATGATTTGGGTTTGTGCGAAAATGAGGTAGCCTAAAACTCCATAGTTGATCGTCATGTTTTCCTACTGAGAAGTGCAATTTTTGGAACAAACCTACTTTGAGCATGCCGAAAAAAGCGATTTCCCCCCACCAACCATACCAGGATTCCTCTTTTTTCAAGCCGCCAAAGTTCCGCTCCAACGCCTCATGTGCATGGCTAGCCCCATCCCAACAAACACGGGGGTAAAAACATGTGAAAACCCAATGTCTCAGATGCACAGCCTGGGGCTGGTAAGTGAAGGTAAAATATCCCATGTTTTTTAAATAATAAAATATGTGTGTATATAATATATATATATATATTGTATATGATGAGGTCCGGCTGGATCCTCACCAGGAATTCCCCACTACCAATTCTTTTCCTTTTATTTTTCCCTTCTATCTTCTTATTTCTTTCCCTTCTCACCACCAATCCACTTCTGTCCTCACCTCCAAGCTGCTTCGTCGCCGCTTCCTTTTGGCAGCAACTGGCGCCCAATCTGGGCTTGGGGCGCTCTGTCTGAGCACTTCGAGAAAAAGCAGCTGCAGTTCAGCAGCACATGTTATGTCTGCACATGTATGCATATGAAACAGTTGATGGTGGGCATGCTCTATCAGCACTCCCCCTTGAAATCTTCGTTTGGAGATTTCACTTCAGCCCAAGCTGCTTTCAGTTGGCTGGTCTAAACATGCCGTGCAAACTTGGTAATGATTGGCACCCAGAGCAGCAGGACATCTCATGATGGAGTGGGCGTCACGTCCAGTTCCTTTCAGATACAAAACATCGCCTGCTCTTGGAACTGAACCAGATTGATATGCTGAGTGTCTGCATCTACTGCACCATCTTGATTCCATAGAAACTCCAGAATTCGTTGAGGTCAAATGACGGCAGCGGCGGCTCAAATGATAAACTTCTCCATACCTTGTGGTAAAAACCTTGAACGGCAGTTCTGGAAATTCATCGTCCGGCAGCTGGTCAATTGGACCCAAAATGGCGTCTCCAGGTTGTGCAGCATTCAGCTCGGCTTGAATCAATCGTTCTTCTCTTTCAATTTCACCCCAACTTCCAAAAATGTCCTCCCCCACGGTGGGCATGTGGCTTGATGATGAGGCTTTTGGCTGTTGAACCCTTGGTGTCGGGATCTCGCTTGATTGATGACCCCTTTTTGGTAAACTTTTCACTTTTGGAACCCCTTTTGGTCGCGGAGCCCCTTTTTGTACTGGCATCACTTTTGGCAGCGGAGCAGCAAATGAAGACATAGAGGTGGATGAAGATGCACCAGGAGTGGAACGCTCGCCATGGCTGGAAATTAAACTACCTTCCATAGTCTTTCCTCCTCTCTTTCCATCTTTCTTTTCTTCTCGCGCAGCTTTTCCAGGGAGACTTCCACCTCGAAGTCCAGTTCGCCTTTTGGCGAGACTTTTCACAAGATGTACTCCTACCTTCCAGATCCGCTTGGCAAGAAGCGTGGCCAACACCACGAAGACGGTGTAGCAAACGACCATCCTTTCAAAGGTGAAGCCTTCTCCATCTTTTTTCTCCTCTTCTTCAACTGCCTTCGCCGTTGAGATTGCAGCAGCCATTGTGATCAGTCTGACTGCTTGGGCGGCTTCTGCCCAATTTTTCATCTCTTTTTCCTTTTTCTCCTCATCTTTTCTTTCTTCAACTTCATCTTCCTTCTCTTCTTCTTTTATGGTGCCCATGCTCATGAGCTCCTTCAGCTTTTCAAGTCTTGGCGCATGTAGTGCTTTGGTTCCAAGATCTGCCAGCATTTGATCACCTGGCACATGTTGAAGTGCCCATTCACCCTTGGCAATTGATTGGCGGGCAAATGCCGAGCGCAGGCGCAAATGCCTGGTTCTCCAGCTGCCACCATCGCAGGTGAGAATGGCTTCGGCCGCCTGGCTGTCGGTGTAGGCGGTCTTGGTGACCAAAGGGTAGAGCTCTTGGATGATGACAGCGACCGACTCTCCGGCTGTCATGGCTTCAATGACTTCTGTCATTTCTGACTCGGCCGTCGACAGTGTCACCATTGACTGTCGGCCTGCACGCCAGAAGATTGGCGATCCTTCCAGCAGGATCAGGAAACTTCCATGGCTTTCTGCTCCTTCTGGGGAAAATGAGGCATCAGAAAACGCCTGCAGGTTGATTTCTTCACGGAACTCCACTTGGTATCGGAGCCCTTCTTCAGCTGTTCTTTTCAGATACCCTTTCATCTGTTCTCCCAGCTCCATGACCTTGACAGGGTTTCTGAGGACGTTGGAACCCATTCTGCTCACGCCATACATAAGGTCTGGGCGTGACCTGGTGAGAAGCCAAAGAACTTCTCCAACGCACTTTTGAGCTCCCCGTACTTGGTCAACTGTTGGAGGTGAGCTTGGCTCTTCGATGTGAGCTTGATCACGAGTGATTGGAATTTTTCTTTCCTTCACTTTTTCTTCGCTCTTTTCAACCAGATCTTTGATATATGACTTCTGGGTCACATACCATACTTCTTTTCCTTCTCCTTCAATTCTTTTTGAAACTTCCATTCCCAGAAAGCGAATTGGCTCTCCAGAAACGTCTTCTGGCTTGGATGTCTTCCAAGTCTCCTGAAACTTTCTTTTGAGGGCTTCGAGGACGGTGGAAGAAGAGCAGATGAAAATGTCATCCACGTAGGTCATCACGAGACCCCATAGCTTTTGTGTTTCATCTCCCTTTTCCAACACCCTCCAAAGATTTGGTTCTGCTTGAAGAGGTAGAAGGTGAAAATTCCTCTCCTTCTTTTCTTCCACTTCAGCTTGAACTTCAAAATCTTCCATTGTTTCATCACGGCAGTTTCCCCAAAGGCGCGGCGATCTTCGAAGACCATAGACAGCCTTCGTTGGCAGGAAAAAGACGTCCTTGGCCATGTAACCCTTTTCAGTGAAGAGCGCAGGTGGCCTGACAACCAAGATGTCTTCTTGATCTCCTTGTTCCATCGCAGCATTCAGGAAGGCCGTTTTGATGTCCAAAACAGTAGCTAACCATTGGTGACGGGCAGCTGCCCATACTGCAATTCTGAATGCAGCTGAGTCTGCACCGCTTGAAAAGGTCTGCTCAGAGTCCTTCTTGGCCTCATAGTTTCCGCAGATAACCCATCGGGTCTTTTTCTTTCCTCCATTTGGACCGGCTTTCACCGTGAAGACCAATTTTGACGGGATGATCTCCACGCTTCGACCTTCGGCTGAAGCTTTCGTTTGTAGCTCCTCCAATTCTTTCTTTGTGACCTTCTTCATCGCCTGCTTTTCTTCTAACAGACTTTGAACTTCTTCATTGATGGCAAACAGCCATTCGTTCCAGTGTTGGGCAACCTCCCTTGATGAAATCACCTTTGTTTGAAGGATTTCGTCCTCCTCTGTAGGCTCCTCCATTTTCTTCATTTTTGCAATCCACGCCAGCTCGTCCTTCGCAAGTTCTGGGTGGTCTTCAACCATGAGCTTCATCTCTTCTTCAATGATTCGGCTCAATCTCAACTTCAGCTTTTGAAACTTTTCTTCATCTTCTTTTTGACTTTCTTCTGTCTTTTTCTCTTCAAATTCCATTTTTCTCACTGTTGTTTTCTCCCTCAAACGCCTTCTTGTTGTCAGGGTATCCGCAACCTCTTTCTCGATAGCAACCCACTTCTCGTTGGTGATGGGTTCTGTAGCCTTCCTCATGACATACTTTGTGACCCTTGGTCGCTCATCAGCCGGTTGCACCCAATGACCATGTTCTTCAGGCGCTGGGAACAAGTATTTGACCTTCTCCACAGTTGGTTCGAAGACCCCACGGCGCCAAGTGCGTCGTCGCACCAATATCTCCTGCAGAAAGGGCGGAAAAGCTGGAGCATCTCCAATTCTCCAACTTCTGTTGAGAGCGTCAGCATAGCGAGCTGCAAGGGGCCACATTTCGCTTCCAACTTCAGCTTGCTTGAGTAGCCGACGTATATGCGTCTTGAAACTTTTCACTGCTACTTCGACCCGACCGTTGGCCCTTGGGTCATCTCCTGGGGTCCTCGTGAGCATGATGCCACGATCCAATGCCCACTTTCGAAATGGACCTGAGAATTCGTGTCCTCGATCAGAATGGATCCTTCCAACATGGAACCCATCCATTTTGAGCTTCAGCAGAAACTCCATTGTGGTCTTTGTGACCTGTTTTGAAGTCTTTGTTTGCATCGGAGCGGCAAGGCGGAAGATCTTGATGTCGAAGCCACCAGGCTGAGGATCTGGATCCCCTTCTTTCTTCTCAGGGGGAGGCAAAAGGTATGGTGGTGGAGGAAGACCTCCCCCTGGAAGCGCTGGATCTTTTTCCCCTTCCTTCTCACCATTTCCCTCTTCCTCCTCTTCCCAAACTCTCACCTGTGCTTCATCGCCTTCTTCCTTACCTTCTTCACCCTCCTTATCTTTCAAAGCTTTTTCTTCTTCTTGATTTTCATTTGGTTCTTCAGGGTTGATGTCGATTTGAGGTTCGTCGCCTTCGGCATCAGGAACTTCTGGTACTTTGAGCTTGTCGGACTCTGCAGGCACAGCCCATGTCAAGGTGCCCACAAGCATCCATCTTGTGTAGAGTCCTCCAATGTCTTTGGCAGGGATGAGAGGCCCTGCAACATCCACAGACAAAACTCCTCCAACTGGGTATGGTACCTTTCGATGTGGATTGCACTGCTGCATGGTTTGTTGGCACACTGCACAGTCTCGCCTGTATGGTGTATGGCCATGAGCTATGTGCTCATCCCAGCTCAGTGGACGAAGTTTTGGATGTTGCTGCATGACCTGCAACATCAATGCCTCGGCAACCATGGACATCACACCAGGTGCCCAGCGAGCGAGATCTTTTGACGTTTTGATCTCCCCCTTTTCTTTTCCTTCTTTGAACTTCTTGTGCTTGTTAATCTCAAGGTTCAGGTTTCCACCAAAAGTCGTGGGTTTTGTGGCTACTCCTCCCATAGCTCCTTGTTGAAAGGTCGTTTCTTCCCAAGCAAATTCCTTTTTGAGTGCAGCCCATTCTTTTGTATCCCAAAATGAGACGGTTTCCGGCATATAGTCTTTTGGTGATGCCGGCTGCTCCATCGCAAAGGCAATCTGAGTGGAATCTCCGCGAGCTTCTTTCATGTAGTTGGAAACCATGGCCAGGAAAATCATTCTCCATAGCAGTAGATCATCTTCATGAAGGATTGCGGTTTCAGCTTCAGTCAACCCTTCTTTTCCAAATTCACCACCTCCCCATTCTCGTAGTGGACGCGGACAATTTGGCTGGTCTGGGATCGGATAGTGTCTCAAAACACTTCGGCTCCTGCAGTTTGGACCTCCGACCACAGCCAAAAGTTTTCCTTCCAAGGCAGCTCTCATCAGAGCCGGGTACGACCCCACATCTTGCAAAAGGTCGTGGTTTGGGCCTCTTTTGATGTCAATCTCCAGGAGTGAATGGCTATCCCCACCTTGTTGATGCCACGCTCGAGCCAGTGTGAAGCCTGCGTCTTCTCCGGCAAACAAATGGGCGATGAAACCATCACGTTGAAGTCGCTTTCGGGTCCTGCGGTTCGCAGGAAGTTCAGACCATGAACCTGGCTGCACTGCCAGCTTCGTTTTGATATGTTCAGGAAGCTTTCGAAGAACTGGATGAACTTCTACCAATTTTCGCATCCATTCCACTTCCTCCTTGAAACTTCTTTCTTCTATCTTTCCCAAAACAACTGTTTTTTCCAACTCCTCAATCAGGTCTAAGGTCAGAGGTCGTGATAGTTGAGGACATCCACCATTGAGTTGGATCGGCAAAGTGCCGCGCTTTGGATGATGGAGAAAAACACCTCCCTCACCCCAATCGATCTTGCACCCCAATCGTTGGATGAGCAAACCCATTGGTATGATTGGCTCGATGTCTGGCCTCTTTGAAACCATCACTCCTCCAGGTGTCATGTGCAGCTGTGTGGACTGCCCGTTGGCCAACGTCACCGGCACTGTTTTGTATGAATCCAGCGACTCACCCTGCCTTATTGGACGCAAGGCATGTGTTGCACCTGAATCCACCAGCCCTTGAGAGTTGCCATAGGACACCTTGCTGAGCTTGAAGACCTTCATTTTGAGAGAGTCAAGTTGTTGTTGCAACCTGTCCACAATTTCATCCCTGGCTTCACTTCCTGCCGAAGATGTTGTAGATGAGGTCGTTGTTGCGGAGGTCAGGTTTTTCAGCATCTTGTTGGCTTGTTCAAGTAGATCTTTCATTGATGCTTGTTGTTCCTGACTTCCTTCTTCTTCTTTCCCTTTTGAACTTGATGGCGATGACTCCTCCCCCTCAGCTCTTTGTGCCTTCAACCTTGTAGGAGAGGTGTCGCCAGGCCCTTTTGGTCTTGTGCAAGACGGAGCCATGTGTTCTGGACTACCGCAAGTCCAGCATCTCCTTTTTTCATCCTTTTGATCGTGCGACCACAGGCAGCTTTTTCCACGGCGGCAACCAGTGTCACTCAGGTAGAACTTGCATTTTCCTCTTTCTTCTCTTGCGTCCTCCTTCTTTGTGGGTGACTTTTCCTCCTCAAGCTTTTTCAGTTTCGCAGCTTTCGGCTTCTCCTCAACCTTTTTCTTTGGGGCATTGGTCGCTTCTTGATGGACGACCTGCTCAAATTCAGCGATCAAGTGCAAGGCAAAGGAAGCCACCGAACTTGAAGTTGGTGTTGAATCCACCTGAAGCGTGGACCTGGCAAGGCTGATTCGAAAACTCAAATCTCGATTCTGCTCCAGTGGCTTGCGGATGATCCTGTTGAGGCCTTTCAGCAACAGGAAAGGATCTGGTTCTGAGATCCTCAAATCAGCAGCTCTTCTTCGCCACCTGGACCATTTTCTCAAATTTTGGACTGCTTCGCTGAGATTGGCTGATTCCGGTGGTTGTTCAAGAGATCGTAGGATCAGCTCTTTTTCTGCTAAACCTCCAGGTTGATAAATCACCAGAAGTTGACATATGATGGAGAGTGCAGTCAGCCTCTTCGATGAGATGAGTTCTTCTCTTTGAGGTTCTGGCACGGCCATCAGCAGCAAAGTTGATGCTCTCCTCTCAAGCCTGGCCCATCGTTGCTTGGCCAAGTCTGAGGATGGTTTTGGTAGGTGTGCAACTCGCTCAAGTGGTGGAAGCTGCATATGCCTCTCATACCATTGCTGCGCTTCTTGAACCAGTAGTTGCCACCATTGACTTGAAGAGTTGGACAGGTCACTCATCATTGGCTCAATGAGCGCCATCCAGTCGTTGAGGTCTATAGGTCCTGACGTCGAAGACCATTCTGCCAGAGCTGGAAGTGCAGGTGCTTGGCGAACTGCTTCGGATGTTTCTTCGTCATCCCTTCCATGCATCATTTGTTTCTGAAGAGCTTGCATGCCTTCCATGAGTTTGAGCATCACGAGCACCGTACTGCTATCTTCATTTTCTTTTGGTGGTCTATCAGCCTCCTTTTTGGTGGTCTCAGCCTTTCCTTTGGTGGTCTCAGCCTCCTTACTGGTGGTCTCAGCCTCCTTTCTGGTGGTCTCAGCCTCCTTACTGGTGGTCTCAGCCTCCTTACCTTTGGTGGTCTCAGCCTCCTTGGTGTTCCCTTCAGGCGTTGAAAACTTCGGGTCTTCACTTCCCTTTTCCAAAACTTCTACACGATCTCTCAACCTCCTATTTTCATCCATCAATTCTTTCAATTCCTTTTTCAACTCCATGCTTTCTTGAGGACCAACTGAGGGCATGTACGGATAGACAAATGGCGTTTGGTCTACCATACCTGCAGTACCTTGAAGCCTTCTTTCATCTTGCTCAAGAAACAGCGGTCGAGCAACTGGATGTTGAAATGGTGGTGGAGGTATCGGTATCTGACCTCCTTGAGGGTAAAGCCAAGGAGCTTGCGCATACAACTCCTGGAATCGCCTCAATTGTTGATCATCAAAAAGTGGTTGTGCTGGAGAGATCACTGCATCGGTCTCAGGGGAACGACCAATCAGCGCATGTTGTGGTGTAGGGCCATTTGAAGCGCCCTGCAAACTCACCTTGGTACCACTGGGTCTGCCCTCAATGGCAGCAGGCTCTTTGACTTCAGGACTCATTCTTCCCTTGGTCAAAGATCTTGGACTTTTCACCTCAGGTCTCACTTCAGCTTTTGCCTCAGGTCTTTCGGCGGGTTCCTGAGTGGCGGAAATTTCCTGAGATGGTGCGGACTCAGGCAGTGCAGGGACAAAGGTCTTTGGGGTTCCTTTAGGCATCTCCTCACTTCCCTTCGCTATCTCCTTTTGGGACACTTGGGGGGATTCGAAACCTTCGGCCTCTTTTCCTCCATCTTCTAACTGCAACTCACCTGATTCTTCCATTTCTTTGGCTAGCCTTTCATGGGCTTCCTTCATTTCTTTTTCACCTTGTTCTAGTTCTTTTCTGCTGGCTTTTCTTCGGCCATACATCATTTTCGGCTTTTCTGGGAGTTGGTGGAACCTCTTGGGCTCATAACCTGATGAGGTCCGGCTGGATCCTCACCAGGAATTCCCCACTACCAATTCTTTTCCTTTTATTTTTCCCTTCTATCTTCTTATTTCTTTCCCTTCTCACCACCAATCCACTTCTGTCCTCACCTCCAAGCTGCTTCGTCGCCGCTTCCTTTTGGCAGCAACTGGCGCCCAATCTGGGCTTGGGGCGCTCTGTCTGAGCACTTCGAGAAAAAGCAGCTGCAGTTCAGCAGCACATGTTATGTCTGCACATGTATGCATATGAAACAGTTGATGGTGGGCATGCTCTATCAGCAGTATATATATATATATTAATATTGTAGAATCTAGGTGACTTATAATCATTCACTGACCTGAAATGTTGAGCTATTTTGGGATAGTTAACCCCTACAATTCCCATCAGTCCAGGGTTCGGGAACAGTGTGGTCGTTCTAATGTACAGTATCTGGATCTATACCTGGATTCTAGTCCCATGGTCTTTATAAAATCTATGAAATGCATTAAGAAAAACAAACAACGCTATACCCCATGTTTTTTGGATCCATGACCATGCCTGGACTAAAACCTCTGGTCCTCTGCCGGATTCTTTCGACAGATCCATTGCCATCTTTGATTCCAGGGGGCAGAGGTGGATTCCCCACCGATATATCGCCATACTGTGGATGGGCCAGCGAAATCCTTCGTTGATCAATGGTTTATCCTCTTCAAAAAGGCTGTCAACGATCCGTTTAGTGGAAAACCGGATCTCGCAACCATCTCCCATATCCATTTTGGAAAACATCCAACAGGCCCTCATGTTTCAGTGTCCATGTTGTGTTTTTTCCTGGGAAAATCAGTTTCACAGTGGGTTGTGAAAAAAAACCTCACTCAAGGTTAAACATCCCATGTAGTTCGTGATGATCAACGCTATAAATCCATATGAAAATCCCCATGTTCAGCATGTGCATGATGTTGAGATCCCCAAAGTTAATGATGTCAAATCACCATATGTTCACTGTATGTTAACCATTGAGAAAACATCGGGAATTCAGTCCAAAATATCTTCACTCGGAAATACCGATCTTTTTTGGATAGATTTCACCATAGTTATAGGGGCTCCATATCCCAACTTATTAATTACTATAATTCACCATGGTTGCGACCACCCCTTGACCCGATACCTGCGCTCGTTTTACCCAGCTGCCCTCAGCACGGACGTCACTTGGACCGTGCCGCTCTGGACATGACCATGACGGCGAAGGTATCTGTGATACGGTGCGAAGGTGCGAAGGTGACTGCAGTTGGGGCGAAAAAATAAAATACCCTCTGGTAAACTAACATAACTATGGAAAATCACCATTTTGAATCGGAAAACTCACTATAAATGGCAATTTTCCATAGCTATGTTAGTTTAGCTATGTTAGTTTACCAGAAGGTAAACCATGAAAAATGGGATGACAAACTGTGAAAAATGATGATTTCATGAGGATTTCATGGGATTGGATGGGGATTAGAAAAGCATGAAATATGGGGAAAAACCTACATCTTTATTGATGGGGTGCAGGCCAAAGGTTGCGTCTTGGCTAGAAAAAACATGGCTGTCATGGTGTAGTTTTTACTCCCATAAGTTGGGGTATGATGGGTATGGGGCCCCTAGAACTGACTGGTGAAATCTATCCACAAAAGGCACTGGAACTGACTGGTGCTGCATGGCACCAAGTGGAAAGATGATCCAAGTCAGAAGCGGTGTATCGAACAATTTTACCCTCTGGTTATTTAACATAGCCTTGGAAAATGGCCCATTTATAGATGGTTTACCTATTACAAATGGTTTTTTTCCATGGCTATGTTAAATAACCAGATGGTACTGTGTATATTCTATCTATGCGAAATATCATCTATCCATTATTTCATTCATTGACATTCATTGACTCATGTGTTTTGATGCGTTTATTTGTTCATCGTTTACCGTCTTTTCATATGTTTCTGTTTCACATAATAGATGACAATAGTATCAGGAATTCTTCTATTATAGTAGTAACGATCTTAATGTACTCATGACTGCCATATAAAAGGCATATTTAGGGTTTAGGGTGCCCTTAAATAGGCCTTATACCCTCTGGTAAACTAACATAACTATCGAAAATCACCATTTTTAATGGGAAAATCCACTATAAATGGCCATTTTCAATAGCTACGTTAAATTACCAGAGGGTAAATGGTCATTAATCAATCATTATTGTTCACTCATCGAATTCAACGGCACCCAATCCCGAGAAAATCCAATGGCAGCTAATCCAATGGTTGATCATCACCTTCCATGTCAAATCACCATGTTTGGGGGCTACCCAATTTTTGGATCAATTCATATAGCTACATGTATAATATATATATAATATGTGTGTGTGTATTATATATACATATAAATGTATAACATATGTATATATGATATATGTATGTTTATATATATACATAATTACAATTGTATATACAGCACATTTCGATTCTACCAGGTTCTACCTGTAAATTCCGTGTTGGCTATTATTTTCAATGAGCCCAGCAAGCCACAGCCGTTCGAACACGGCCTGAGGCAATGATGAAAGTCCCGCAGGTGGAACATGCTGAAAGCGTTGTTCTGGTCCTGGGGAGTCAAGGATGACCCCATCTGGAATAAAAAAGTGGAAATTGCGAGTTTTACCTTTTGATCTACTAAGATCTACCCATTTAACCCCCACATCCCCACTTAATGCCACTTAACCCCTGTTCTAGGTATATCTAGGTATCTGGGCTGGTCAGGGAGCCAGAGAGCAACCCTCTGAAGGAATTGCTCTGGTGACGTTGTCGTGCTTTTTCTCCGTCTTCATGGGGGGCCAATCCCCATTAGATCGTGAAATCATGCTAAATCCCCTTGATGTTTCTTGTGTGTGTGATGCGGCTATCCATTCCTGAAAAACCATAGCTATCCAGCATGCCAAGCTCCATGGTTTTCCCTGCCCACCTGCCAGCCGTTCTCAGAGATCTCTTGGAACGCTGCACCTGGGCTTTCCCGTTGGGATTTCTTGATGGTTTTTGACATGATTTGACAAACAATAATGGGTTAATGGGATATGTAATATGTATGCATGTATTTATGTGTATATATATATATATAATCAACTGAATGTGTTCAAAATAGGGGTACCTCCAAATCATCCAAGTCATTAGACCATGACTGAGTATTGAAACAACCATGGTGACTTGGGGTACCCCCAATTTCAGGGAACGACTACAAATTGGTGCCCCGGTGAGCCAAATGGTTTTAATATTACAGTATATAAGGTGGTGGCAAGCATGCCTGGCTTAGCTATGCTTAACTGGGTTTATGGTGACTGTATAGCCGGATGGGCTTGTAAACTAACTTATAACTAGGGGGCACGGCCTTTTTGGCTAGGTGTTGGATTTGTGACGGATATATTTAGAGGTAGATGTATATAAATGCAAACCAACTTATGACTGTTGGGGCCTTCCTGGTATGGTTGGAACGAGGAAAAGAATATCTTGGCTAAAGTCTGAGACATTCTACTCAAGAAAGCTGCCCGAAAGCGTTTCCAGGTTGTGAAGTAGATGACACGTCACAATTTCCATGGTTTTCGGTTTCCGGCTATTCTGAATCCATTTCGGGTTGCTGTAAACCATGCTGAGTCAAGGTTTATTGCTGGCCTCGTCACATTCGTCTGCGTTGTTGGCGCAACATTCAAAGCAATCGACGTGGGAAAAGACGGGACTTTGATGACGATTTGTCATGGCAAAACAGTGTGAATAGATCCACTTTTATGCTTGAAAAAACTGATTTCTTGCTAACTTCCAACATAGTCTTGCGCAAAATGGGACTACACCGTTATCAACAATTTGGTTGTTTTAGTTTGTTTCAAATGATTAATTTCTGGCCTGTTTCATAGTGGTTGATCCATAATTAGAAGTTCTTTCATGAAAAATAGGCAGCCTGCTGCCATTTCAATGCGATCATTACTGAGTCTTCAAGAAGTCCAACCTTGCACGTTCAACAAGGAAGCCTTCCAGTCAACAAAGATAGTTTTCTGGTTGGTGGTTGAGCCAACCCCTCTGAAAAATATGAGTTCGTCAGTTGGGATGATGAAATTCCCAACTGAATGGAAAGTCATAAAACTCCATGGTTCCAGTCACCACCAAGCAGTTTTGCAAAATCACCTTTTGAGTAGGTCACTCATCTATCTTTTTTGCTACTCTGGGGAAAAAAAACTTACCATCTAGTTATTTAACATAGCCATGGAAAATCACCATCTTTAATAGGTAAACCATCTATTTCTATGGGCCATGTTCCATGGTTATGTCAGCCATAACCAGAGGGTAAAAGATCAAGGTCGCCTCTGAGATCCACAAGATGACCAGATCAGAACTCAGAGGCCGAAGCGAAGCTTGCCACTTGGAACCATCGTTCTTCGGTGTTTTTTTGCGTTTTTTTTCTTAAACCAGCAACCACTAAGTGGTTGACTTATTTCGCTGGTTTCATGATATTTCATGATGACATCCCCATCTATCCCATCTGCCTTGATATCCCCTACTTTTCCGAGTCAAACAAGCACCCCTGGCGTGACAGCCGGATTTTGACCCGGTGGCAGAAACCTTTCACGATGGAGTTGGAGGCAGGGTCTTCTAGTCTCACTTGAAGACATTCCGAGGCCAACAGCCTTGGGAAATCACGGGGAAAATCTGCTGCAAAGCTATAGAAATGATGCTGAACCATCATGGTAAGCTATGGATGTGTCAAAAAATAGATCATGTGGATGGTTTACCCACCTGAACAGTGACCCCAGGAACCCCAAAAACAATGGAACCAAAAAAAACAGGTGGTGTATCATTTTTGGATGTTGGAAATGCAATGGAAATGCATGATGTATCATGAAATGGCCGATTTCTTGGTGGTTCCATGCTAGGTTTTCAGCGGAGTGAGCATCTCAGGTCGCTTATGACAGGGGTGTTGGCTGCAAGCAGGATGAAAAAAACCTTGAATTTTGATATGAAACCCACGAAGCTTTGGCAAGTACAAATTCAAAATATCTAAAAATAGTTCATTATAATCCCAAAAAAAGTTGTGGGTCAGTTCCATCGTGGTTTCCCACATGAAGTGGGGCCCTTCCAGGGATTGTCTGTCTGGAATGCGTGGATCGACCGTAAGGAATTCTATGGTTGAGCCACAGGCCAATCATCGAAGGTTGACATCTTCCCAGAATCCGAGGGGAGAATCTACCCTCTGGTACACATACAAAAAACTATTGAAAATGACCATAGAAATAGTGGATCTACCCAGCTATATAGCATGGTAGATCTTTCCATGGTTTTTTGTTAACGTTTACCAGAGGGTTGAATTTTCAATGGAAAGACCCCCTCTATTAATCAACCAATGGGAATTTGGAACATCTATGATTGCCATATGATCTAACACCAGAAATGTCATGTTCAGCGGCTCCAAGTCCTCTTGGTCGGCTCGATCTCGAAAGACCTGCAGGCAGCGGTTCCGCTTGGCCGCATCGAGCGGTTTGTTGCTGAGGACGAAGTTGCTGAGATGTCCTGCAGCGCAGAGAAGGGGTTTCGAAGTGGAGAATCCCCGTTCATATTCAACACCCCCAAAACAAGACCATGGTTACCATGGTTTAGCAGGGAATTTACATATTTAGGTGGTGTTCAATATTAGGGGGAAGGGAATAAGTATGATTATAGGGGTTGTACCCAAACAGACCTGCTTTGGAGGGACTTGAACAAGTTTGTTCTCTCAAGGGAGCGAAGCACACGGAATTTGCCACAGTGCCGCTCCACCAATCACCTTTGACCAAGACATTGATGGAATCTTGGCTTATCCTCCCAACTTTTGGTGGTTTATACCCACGGTTTTTTGGCATGTTATAGCCATATCATAAAAAGTAACCACAGCTGCACCCACCCCCTTTTGTACCCAGGAATCGTGTTTGTGGCTGAGTTCGCCCTACTTATAAGTAGGGTATTATAACACACTTACTGTATTGGGGTGAACCACCAACTTAAAATGGGGTCCATCTAAATTGTGATATGTACAGCACCAAGATTTCGCAATTTCAGTTGGATTGGTGAAAACCATCGATATCTTTCGGGGGGGCCATAGCAGTGTCCTCAATTTGTCTGAGTTTTATCACCCATTGACCCCCAGTTTCCCCAGATTGCCATCATTTTTTGGACAGACCCAACCAATAATGTCCTTTTGGTAAAAATAGAGTGGCCGGTTTGGTATACCATCTATCATCATTTCCCTGCTGTTAAAGGGATACACAAGGTCACGTCATAATTACGGTCCCGCTGTTTTTGCGAGTTCTCAACATGGTCCACGCATAAAATCGACAACCCTTACCGGGTTTCTGTTTTCTCTTTGAAAAACCATCATCCATTTTCGATGGTATTTGCATGACTTTGAGGCTATGAATTCGCAGTTCTACCCATGTTTAGCATCCATGTGCAACACACGCGTATTAAAAAAAAAAAAACTGACTTTTTTGTCTCAGCACGCGGAGGCCAAGTCAGCCAGCTTCTTCAACGTGTTTGCGTTGCCCCAGTTTGTGCGACAAACAAACGCAAACACGTAGTCTCGGATGGATCCATTCACATCTCGAGTGAGCTTATGCTTGTTGCACAGCTCCTTGGGTATATTTTTTTTAAGGGACTGCCACTTCCTATCTACACACTGCGTGCCCGCTGTCTTCCAGGCTTTGGCACCATAAGCGTAACATGAACGTTAACATCCCACCCCACCCCAACCCATGTTTGCTAAAAACCATCATATTCCACGGGGCAAAAGCCCTTGGGCGTGAGCATTTTCACAAACCCCTCTACCCTCTGGTAATTCAACGTAGCTATTGAAAATGGCCATTTATAGTGGATTTTCCCATGAAAAATGGTGATTTTCCATAGCTATGTTAGTTTACCAGAGGGTATTGATCAACCAAGCAATGGAGCCAACTGTTTGACATGCCGTCCTGCATCCAGATGGTAATGAATGGCCTTCAAACTCTCCACCTTCTCCTGTGGAAGTCCCGCTTCATCCAGGAAGACCACGGCACGGCGTCGACCATCCTGGGGTCCCCGAAACCGGGAGTCCCCATGGGACCAGTTTGACCCCAGAGTTGCCAGAAAATGAGCGTCATACATAGTGGTGCCCCATAGATAGCTAAGTTGGTTTATAACTACAATAAGTGGGACTTATTGTAGATATGTCTATAGTTGATGGGGGTTATAAACTAACTTATAACTGGGGGGTACCACATTGTAGGAAGGTCAAACATCACCGAAAAAAAAAAAAACTGATATGTTTGGGTTGGATGTTTGACCTGGCATGTTTGATCCTAACAAGGTCCATGTTGGGTTGACCTTGCATTTTTGGGTTGGATGTTTGATACCCTGATGTTGGAAGGTCCACATATTAGGTTCTAGCAAGTTTGGCATGTTCTCAATCCAAAGTCTCCATTTTTGGCTGGATCAGAGTTCCCACTTCTTCGAGTGATCTCCTCACTTTTTACTACATGTTTGCTGTATGCTGGTTGTATTCCTAATATCTGCTGGCTTTATTCAATGGATTATTTCAAGGGAAAATCTCAATCAGAAAGCCGAAGGAATTTTCCCATCAAATACGGGGTAGTTCCTGCAATTTTTCCCATCATCCAATTCTGTGATAAATTATGTTATAGTAACTTATCAAACAGAATGACAAGTAAATTACCACTATTTAAGTGGTGCTAAACCTTTTTTTCAATAGATGATATCACCAAAATTAAGAGAAAATGTAGCTGAACATTATACATGACTACACCACAGTGTGCCTTTTTTGCATTGCCATATGTCAAATTCCTGCTTTTTCTTCCCTGCTCACCCCAGAATTTCCGCCCTTTAGGCCAAAACACCTCGCAGGCATGCCGCTGCTGTGCACGAAGTGCGCTTTCAAAGACCTGGCGGAGTCAACATAGGCATGGACTAAAATGACCATTTATAATGGGGAAGCCATGGTTTAAGAAAGTTTTTTGATATGGTTTAATTTCGATATATACTGGGAGGTGAATGTATTTGAAATCAGTTGAATGGCGGGCCCTTCTTGCATGAAGTTGGAATCTATGGTGAGACATTGGATTATGACACACGATATATCCCAGAAACAAGGGGGTGACACGGCAGTTGCCAACCACTGCCTAACTTCAGGGATTATCCATGTTTCAGAACCAGCCAACAGGGGTCCAACCAGGCATTGCTATGTAAGCAAACATGGCAATGAAATAAAACACTATAAAACACTTATAGACTTGTAGATGTTGTTCCAATTCAAATGCACATTCGTAGAGGATTGAGAATTTCTCATTGCCAGGTTTGAGTACCAGACGGATACAATCCCCTAACATGTGGAGCTATCTCACATACTATTGTTGGATTTTAGCTGCGCTTTCTGACTTCCTAACCATGGATAATCTTAGACGGGCTACCAAAAAAAAATGTACAGGGAAGCGACAATGTCACGCCTAAGTCATGCCTAGCGTGTTTTTGAATGGCATTTACCATTGTAAACGCTGTATCCAAGAAGTCATGCCTAAGTCACGCCTAAGTCATGCCTAAATGTTTATGCTTACAGTGCTGCATTCATCATATACACTCATCTGTTCAAAGATCCAAAGATCGATAAGATAAACCTTCTGAACTACCCGTAACTACCCGGTAGGTTTACCCACTGGGATGATCCACCCCTCCCTGGACCTCATGAATCTGCCGTGAGGTGGAGTCTTTCGAACACTGGTAGCGGAAGACGCTGTTCGCCACGTCGCCTCAGCGTCAAAAAGGCCGAGAAAGGCCGACGGCGTAAAAAAAACAATGTGAAGATTCGATTTGAGAGGAATCTATGGAGACAATTCATGGAAAATGAATGAAGATGAGACAAGTCTTGGAAAATGTCTGAGTTCAACTTGAACAATGGACAGTGATACACCAAATGAGGAATCTATAGAAACCAGTTGAAATGGTAAAAAAACTGCTTTGCATCGCTTCACCCAAGAAGAACATGTTTCTCTCACACGCACGGCACATTTTCCAAGTTATGGTAGCTTTGTAGGTACCATGATCTCGGTCCATATAAGTTGTAGACGAACTGACCGACCTATTTTTTGGACCCAGAAATTGCATGAAAATTGCGTCAAAATTGGGATTGTTTTAAGCTACCCTCCTGTAATCAAACGTGGCAATGGAAAATTCACCATTTATAGATGTTCCCATTAGGGGAATTCCCATTGCCACGTTTGATGACCGGAGGGTATCCCATGTTTGACCTAACTTCCATGTTTTTTCGCCCATCAAAACCCCATCCATTTCTTGGATGGATCTTTTTCAGATCAAGTCGCTGAAGTCCCGGAAGAAGTCCACGGCCGCCGATCCTCGAAGGACCGCCATGGATTTGTTGACGCTGAGGGTCTTGCCTGTGCCGGGCATGCCGATGATCTGCACCTCGGAGCTTCGACGGATTTCGGGGGGCAGAAGATGTTGCCTCACCTGCGATGCCTCGCAAGGTGATGGTTAATGATGGTTGATATATGGTTATTATATGGGGATGGGTCAAAACCAATAGTACCCCTTTTGTTCACCTCAAAATAGCTGGGATTTATGGATGTGAATAACCCCCTAAAAATGGTATTTTCATAGGTGACTTGATCCATAGCCATATGGTTAATGATTTGATTTATGATACCAGCCCTAATTTTTCGAACGGATTTCAATGGCACCAGCCTCACTTGCGGGCGCCCTTGTAGAAACGACCTGAACATACCTGAACATGATCCATAAAATCTTGGAAACAAACACCATTTGGCTATGGATCAAGTCACCTATGAAAATACCATTTTTAGGGGGTTATTCACATCCATAAATCCCAGCTATGACTTGAGGTGAACAGAAGGGGTACTATTGGTTTTGACCCATCCCCATTTAGGGTCTGATTTTACGGGACATGGGCGGGACTTGGGGACGTGGAGGCATGCAGCAAGATAACGCACACAGGCAACAGGGACATTGTCACCTCTTCCCACGACGTAGCCCGGAAAGACGAAGAGATTTTACCCGGCCTGGCAATTTGTTACACTTTGCTATTGAAAATGACCATAAAAATAGCGGATTTACCCATGAAAAAAGCATGGTGGATCTTTCCATCGTTTTTTGGTGAACGTTGACCAGGCCGGGTACCCATAAAATGGTGCCAGCTGGTCCCATCCAATCACTATTGGGTGATGTTAATCCCCAATATATAAAGGGTAGTATAACTCCCAAACTATCATCATAAAGCATCATGTATAAGCTATATCTCCATATGATGTTCAGAAGCTATAGTAATAGCCATCCCCGAAAAATCGAAAAACAAAATCCCAACAGAATCATATGTCATATGTAGTGATATACTATGATATACTCACATTTTATCAATTTGGGGCCTACTTCGTGTCAGGACTTGTCATCAACTCCCCAGTCGTTTCACGAAAAATGGCCGCAGAATCACCGAGACCACCGGGCCGAACCACGGTCCGCACCGCGGTCCAAGAGACGCTCAGGCGAAGCTCCACAGCCACGATGACGGCGAAGATGTTTTCCTTCAAGGCTCGGGTGAGGGCAATGCCGTGTTCGAAGGTCTCATCGTCCTCCAGGCTTGGGATGGCTTGGTTTGGCACCTGGATGTTGGGTTGAAACACGGTGTTCCCCAAAAAAAAACCTGGGAAAATGGGGGACAATTGGGATTGAACTGCCAACAAATGGGGATTTCTAGTTGGTTTCGTCTGATTCATGCTAAGTTGGTTGATTTGCCGATCAGTGGATTCTAATGGATTCTATGGTTTGTGAATAGATATATCGAACTAGTTAGATTGGGTTTTTTTCGGCAACAAACATTGGTGGACAAGACCAGCTTCTAAGTGGAGTCAGAAGTTGGGTCGGTTACCAGCGATGGCTTGGTGGCTTGCTCCGTCGCGACGTGACCGGGATCGAAATGGTGGCTAAAAACTATCAAGACCTGGGATGTAACTAGAGAAACATGGGGAATCATTGAAGTTTCAGGAAAATTATGTGGGATGGGCCCATTAAATCGAATGCGACTGCCTTTTTTTAAACGATGATCAGCTGGAAAATACCAGTACTTTGGGCTACGAGATTTTTACAGATATCATTTGGTTATGACTAATGTAGCGAACTGGAAAATCCACCCATGTTTAATAGGTAAACCATCTATTTCTATGGGCCATCTATACCATGGCTATGTTAAATAACCAGAGGCTACTCAGATTGGTACTTGATCAATCACGGGTGGGTGACATGGGTGTATCTGAAAAATCCGGAACTTTCCAACTAGCAATTGTAGATCAAAAAATGATGAGTAACCAATAGATGGAATGGGCTGTTCCCGTATTTTGTTTAAGAGACAGTCATGTTTTGGAAATTGGTTTCGACACTGTAAAATTCATATCAAGTTGGGCTTATCTATTCTGTTATATTCCCATCACTGTAAACATCATATCAAGTTGAGCTCTATATATATATACACATATATATATAAGATATCCCATGATGTTCCCATGAAATTATACCGACAATATCTCCGTTGATTTATGTTTTTATACACCACCCAACAGCATCCAACCCTTGTCCTTAATGGGTTTGATGTACTGATCCATCTCCTGAACGTGATGCTGGCGGCTGGGAGCATGTCAAGACCTGACATGCATGGGGAGTGCATAAAGTGAAAAGGCGGATTTTGAATGGAAATATAACATATATATATATACATATTCATATATGTATTAGTAATGGAATATGTTTTTAATGGTAAGGAAAAATTGTCAATTTCTCATGGTGTTTTTTTCTGCCCTCTGGCAATCAGCTCCATGGCTTGCCAGAGAATTGTTCGTTGCATGGGATGAGGGCGCCATCCTCAATGGCGCTCGGGACTTCCTAACTATTGTTAGCCTCTAGTTATTTAATGTAGCTATGGATAATCACCTAATGTTTTTTTAGGAAAATGATCTAAAATCATCATGTTAAGAAAATGTTTGTCATCTAATTTTTTGGGACACTTTCCAAAACGCGATGTCCAATAACCAAAGAGTGTGGTTTATGCCAGTTTCATGGGGTGAATTGAGAATGCCTAGCCAAATTCAAGATTGATTAACATTGCAATCTATTATCAAAGAATGGGCAAGTAGTAACGATTTGTTTTTTTCCCGGGGAACCAGTTTCAATGATATCTTAAGGTGAAATTCTGAACGGCATATGCAACTTGGGGCAGACCCTTTTTTTCTGAACTGTTCCTCTTTAAGCCGCTGGGGGAACCGCTCTCGATACCCAAACCAATCCTGAAAACCATGAAACAACAACGGAGATTAAACCTATTACTTAAGCATCAAACATGAATATCTTACAATATCTTCAAAGAATCTTTTTTTTCAGCCACTAATCCTAGTATTTTCCTCCCCTCATGATCCAGTCAACTCGTCCTCCATCAGAACTTTGGAAAGTTCCAAGCTCTGCGTGGTTTCTTCGATTTGGATCGCTGTGTAGTGCTTCTCCGTGACCTGTCGGCCAGGGGCCAGGGGCCATGGTGATGCTGCTGCTGCCCCAAAAAAAAACTATACTTGGGGTATGCCATGAAAAACTAGGGAACATGGAGGTTTAACTCAGAAAGAATGGGGATTTATAGCTGATTTACAGCTGAATTATAGCTGATGTATAGCTGATTTATGATAGTTACCATGGTCTTTCAACATCGAGGATGATCCCAGGGCTCCGTGGCACGTGGCTCTTTTAGTACTTCACCCAATGGGATAACCGATAACCCCACGAATCCTGAGTGGGATGATCCTCCAAGATGCGAATTAAGCATCTTTAAGCATCAAGAATTGGGGGAAAATGCGGAAAAAAAGTACCAAAAAATGTGCGGATTAAGAAATGATGTGCCATTTCTGTTTGGAAAAACCCTCCCATGTTGGATGCGTTCAAAAGTTCATATTGTATTCATTTTTTTGTTCATATATCGTCCATCAGGGCAAATTACTAGTATAATTCACAACCCATCTATGGTGAGATAATACTATCTAACAAGATACTTGCAAAGGCAAGGATAACAAGAAATAAGCCCAATTTGGTTCACATTTGTCTAGGATAATTGCACGTCTTGACTGGGATAATATTCACCATCTATGGTGAGATCCACGACGACGCTGTCCAAATCCAAGAGTTGGTTTGTCCATTTCCAGTAAATGGAGAAACGTACTCCACCATCACCCTATGACCATTAAACAATGACCATTCAACATTGGGAATATGTGATACACATGGTACAACCTGAGGGGATGGGGATCTGCAGGATAGCATCGCTGGGCCAAAACTTACACCTACCAGACTGAAGGACGAATCTGCGCAAGCCCATCCGCAGTAAGCCTCACGTTTGGGCCAATGTCTTCAGGTTCCAATCTCAGGGGACAGGTCGGACAGGATTACAAACTTCCAAACTGGATTACATTTGCAGCACCCCAAGCGCCCCAAGTCACAACGGCATCATCCGCAACCGCAGCAAAGGCGTCAGAAGCTGTTTGGACCTGTTGGACACCCTTGAGCTGATCTCGGACCCGAGAGCTGTCACCACCAGAAAGCTTAGAACCCCAAGTCACCACGGACCCATCCTCCAGGCTTGCAGCAAATGCGCCCGAAGATGCTTGAACCTTTTGGACTTTTTTCAGCTTGTCTTGGATGTGCAAGCTTGCACCGCCAGAATCTGGATTGCCCCAAGTCACTACAGTGACAGAGCCATTTGCTCGGGTGGCAGCAAATGCGCCATCTGTTGCTTGGACTTGTTGGACACCCTTTAGTCGGACCCAAGAGTGGCGACCACCAGAAGCTGGATTGCCCCAGGTCACAACCGATCCATCTGCTAGGATCGCAGCAATGCGTCTGAAGTTGTTTGAACCTGCTGGACACATTTCAGCTGATCTATGACTCGGTAGTTGTCACCACCACAAACTCGTTGGCCCCATGTAACAACCCGGTCACCTCCGGGGCAAAATAATGCGAAAGCGTGTTCTGTTGCCACTAACTCTACCTGCATGGCAATAGCTGTCAGGTGGTCTCCATCTTTCAGTCCTGCAGCTTGTAGAGACTTGGCAGGATCCACCACGGTATGGTCTGCAGCCACAAGCCTCAAGAAGCCACGTTGAAATGATTTCTGTGCCAGAATTCGCAATTCCTCTACTTTGGAGGACCGCGCAAGCGAAAAGCTTTCACTGCACCCGCTTGGCAGAGATACACTGATTTGAAACATTTATAAAGAAGCAATTTCCTGGGTAAATTATAATATTTCACCAACCTGAATTAAGGCCATTTGGGAATGATTTCCCTTATTAACCATGATTCCAGTGAGGTCGCAGTGAGGTCGTTATAATTTACCCAGAATTTTCTACCAGTCCTTCCGGTTGATCTTGAGCCGAACTGCGCCAACTTGACATTTGGATACTTCAATGGCCATGCAACAGGAACCGATTGATTGGAGGTACCTACCATATATAAGGCCTATGGTTTTAGGCCTATTTAAGGGAATATCCCCACAAAATATGGCCAAAAATATGGTACGTTTACATACCTCCATTTTAGGATCCTGGAGATCTCCCATTGAATACTATAGTCCCACTTCATGAACAGCTACAGATCGGGACCAGTGGATGAACTGCTACAGAATCTATCGCGAAGAATGCCACCGATTCGTACACCCCTGGTAGACACAGCAGTGGGAACCCCTGGAATCCTATCCGAACAAAGAATGTTTTCTTGTTTGATTGGGTACCCGGCCTGGTAAACGTGAACAAAAAAACGAACTGGAAAGATCCACCATGTTGTAGCTGGGTAAATCAAATATTTCGACGCCATGGCTTCAAGTTCGCAAAGTGTAAGAAATCACCAGAGGGTACCCAATCAAAATTGCCAGACCGGGATCCCCGGATTTTCGTGGTGAAATATGGTGAAATCTGAGCCTGTTGACCGCTTGTTGCTTACCCCAAGAGGCTTCTCCAAAGGTCCCATATTACGTTGCCAATCTGCAACAATGCCCCCAGAAAAACGCTGGTTTGCTGGTCAGTTTCTACTATTGAAATCGCAAGAGATTTGGCATCAGCAACTCACCCGGCGTCGTTTGACAAAATGATACAAAATGTATATTGATATGTCCCAATGTTGTGCCAATGTTCCTGGATTCTTGATGGTCAACATCCAAGCGACCCAACCACTGGCACAGTTCCAGACCCGCGCCTCTCTGCGAAAAGCAGCCCTCTGCGTTTGATTCCTTGGCTTCCACATGGGATTCACCCATTGCGGTCACCATCCCCCAGTCGGTGGAAAATGTCTGGGTGGTATAAACCATCCCCGGTCATCATGGTAGTTGTGGCGGGTTTACCGCATTAGCTGCTTAGAAGTGGAGTCAAGTAGGAAAGTAGCTGTGACGAATCTAGCTATGAGTCAAAACCCTGGTACCCTATCCGAGAATAGCTGGTTTAGCTGGATGCTTATTTCCCCATGGTAAAAGTAACTTGCCCCATCCCCACCTGAGAACTTGCTTCAGAAACTGGATGAATCGGTGACAGCTCTTCAAACCGAAACGGGCTCCTCTAGCTTGGGCAGAACCAACCGACATGTGGAAAGGGTTACACGGTTACCCCACCACTTTGTCATTTTCAGCAATTTTCGGGGTTCTCCATCCCCCTAAAAACACCTCCCTTGTATCCTCCCAAATATGTGGAGTTATCCCTTACTAAACCATGGTTTCTGGGGATGTTGAACATGAACGGGGACGTTTTCACCATCTCATTTTGGCAACCCTCCGAAAAGGCCAAAAATTCACGATGTGACTATCTCTTGACGAGACCCCAAGTCCGGTAGATCGATCAAGGCAAATAATTCCGGTGATTTTCTGCGGAAAATGTGGTTTGTTTAGATTCACCCTCATTAGCTAGAGAGGATACCATAAACCATAAACCATAAACCAGTGATGCCCCATAGTTCGCCAAGTTGGTCTGTATATAATATAGGTATCCCTATTTTTTTGTTCACAAGGTGGTTCCCCCCGAGTTATAAGTTGGTGATCTGTATAAATCAATGGGAATTTCAGGATCCTAAAATGGAGGTACCTACCATATATAAGGCCTATTGTTTAGGCCTATTTAAGGGAATATCCCCACAAAATATGGCCTTATATGGTACAGTACCTCCATTTTAGGATCCTGGAATTCCCATTGAATAGATCCCAACTTCGTGATCTTTGAGCATAACGTTTTGGGGCACAACTTTGTAACCTACTGTGGATGGGCCAGCGAAATCCTGCAATAGTTGGTGCTGTATCCCATATTTCATAGGGTTTCAACCATCCGTGTGGCGCAGGATTTCGCAACCACAATATGATTTTTGTAGTTTCCATAAATGCTGGTACCCCAATCATGGATGGTTCATGGAAAATCGATCTATAAATGGATGATTTAGGGCTATACATGGGTATACCACCATCCCTCCTACTTCCAAACCTCCAACCCCAGCGTCAGCCCCAAGTAGAAGGCTACCCCGAAGGCCAGCAGCAGCGCCCGGGCCAGGCGGCAGCGGGCGCTGATGTCGGCGACGGCGAGGTCGGCGCTGTAGCTGCGGTGCCAGAAGAAATCCAGGAGGGTGACCTCGCAATAGGCGAAATGGAGGTGTTTACTCAGAAAAATGGAGGATTCTGGAGGATTTGGAGCTGATTTACCATCTGGTTATGACAGTTTGCGAACTGGAAAGATCCACCATGCTATGAAAAGTTCGGTAAAGCATCTATTTCTATCGGCCATCTATACCATGGCGAACTGTTAGTCATAACCAGAGGGTATGAGAAAACATCAAAGTCCAACTGGGATGAAAAATACCGTGATGAAAAAAACAGATTGAATGGTGAATGTCATGGTTTCGGGATGATTTTGTTGTGCCATAAAATGTGTATATTCATCGTAGGAAATTACTATTTTCAATGGGAATCATTGGTAAATCATCATTTTTATCATCGATGGTTATAAATGGGTTATTGTCCGTGGCTAAGTTAAGCATGAAACATGGTGATTTTGTAAGATTTTGTGGGATTTACAATAATGGCTTTTTTAATGGTGAATGCCACGGTTTGATTAGGAGATAGATATATATATATATACATACATACAGTTTCTATAGGGATATGTAGAGATACTCCCATCAGATAGCCATAGTTGGTTGGTGAGATAGCCTTTAAACACAACAGTTAAATGTGCCATGGTCAAAAGATGGGAGTAATGGTTTCTGGCTATAACTTTGGTCAAAAACCCACTAGATTAGGATATAACCTTAAATAACTATGGATATATATATATATATATCCACTTCTAACTGGAACTGCACTTCCAAGTGGTCAATATGGTGTATAGTTTATGGTCATCCATCCAATATTGGAAATCCTTATGTATATAGTATATATTATAATATGTATATATATATATACCGACCCTCCAGTAAACTAACGTAGACCCTGGCATTTTTCGGGGTTGGAAGATGAGTTTCCACTCAAAAAATGGCTATGTTCAGGGTCGAACTGTTAATTTACCAGAGGGTAATTTGTATTTACCCTCCGGTAAACAAACATAGCTAGTGAAAATGGCCCATTTATAGTTGATTTACCTATTAAAGATCGTGAATTTCAATAGCTATGTAAACGTTTACCAGAGGGTAACACTTATTTAACTCCCTTTTGATCAGATCGATCGTCTTAGGACGAAGCAACCAACCATGACTTGGGGGCTTTCAATCCTCAGTCATGCTCTGATGACTGGGATGCGGCTTGGGCCCCATGACTTACTTGTTGGAAACTTCCAAAAAAGGGGATGGTCTATGATTGGGTCTCCCATCCCAGTCGGTTGATATTGTAACCATACCCTCCGGTAATTTAACATAGCTATTGAAAATGGCCATGTATAGTGAGTTTTCCCATTAAAAATGGTGATTTTCAATAGCTATGTTAGTTTACCAGAGGGTATTGTACTACTACTATGCTACTGCATGATATTTATCATTGATATACAATAACTCATGACTCATAGATAAAAACTCATAATGTGGGTAAAACAAGAATCAACCGCCCATGACTGGGAATGGTAAACATACCACAAATAAAAATGGTGACTTGGGGATGGTTTATGGCATTGTGTTTCCCACATTAATCATTGGAGAATCCCTAAGAATGCTGTGTTTTATTTTTTTTCATACCCATAAAAATGATTGAATGGTGGGTTTACTATGGTTTAATATATATATATACCTTCTGGCCTGGTAAACTAACATTAGTATGGAAAATCACCATGCTATATAGCTGGGTAAATCAACTATTTCTATGTTAAATTGCCAGATGGTATTATAATAAACCATAGTTATAACTAGTTACAAACACCCGAAAATTAATATATATATATATATCATCTAGTTATATATAATTATCATCTATATATAACTAATCATTAATAATATATATATATATAATTATATATGGCAGTGTGTCAAAACCTTGTACCCCTGGTGAACATCAAAATAGCTGGTAAATGGATGTTCATCCCCCTAAAAATGGTATGTATAGGTATTGATCCATACCCATATATATCATATATATATATATATATCATCTAGTTATATATATAATATTATATAATTATCATCTATATATAACTATTTATTAATAATATATATATAATCAGTATTAACAATATATATATATATAACTTTGAAGCCTGGTCCATCCCGATTCCATCACCCCAGCGACCACGCGGATGATGTCCCGCTGCGACACCGCTGAGGCCGAGCGCAGCTCGCGCCGCATGAAGCGCTGCGCGTCCGCAATGGCCCGCGCGAAGCGGGGGAAGTCCTACTGGGATCCAGACACGTCCCCAGTTCCATGGGTTTTAAGTGGCAAACATCCTGGATTTTACCGGCAAAAATGTGGTTTTAACATGGATTAAACCAGCAGCAACAACAGCAAATGGTAGAAAAACCGAGCGAACACTTAGGAAATGAAATGTGTTTTTGACCAGCAAAGAACGTGGGTTCCAAGCAGCAAAAAGGTCAATGGTACCAGCAAAAATTGCTGATTTGGCTTTTAAGACACGATGTCATTCATTTTTAGGAGGGAGGGACTGAATTACTGAATATGGGTATAGGTCAATACCTATAGATACATTTTTAGTGGGATGAACATCCATTTACCAGCTATTTTGGGGTTCACTAGGTACCAGGGTTTTGACCCATCCCCATATGATTGCGTCCAAGCAAAAAGGCATCAACACAATCCTTGCAAATATGTTCCTACTTGGATGTCCCAGTATATACTTGAGTAGGTAATACCCATCTTGTAGCCCAGGTACATATGGAATACCCTCTGGCAATCAAACGTGGCAATTGAGAAGCTCCTATAAATGGAGTCGTGAAACAGGGAAAGTCATTTAGGAACAGGCAATTTTCCAGTGTCACGTTTGATTACCAGAGGCTATCCCCAGTTAGATATGGCTTAAACCATCCCCAGTAGAGGTGAAAAACATTGGCTATAGTCTACTGTATAGGGTGAATTGGGATGGTGCAGATGGCATTGGGTTTACCACATTACCAAGCAAGAGTTATATACTAATATACTATATTTCTGGTTGGTGCTTGGGGTTTCAATCCCTCTGAAAAATGATGGAGTTCGTCAGTTGGGATGATGAAATTCCCAATATATAGATAAAAAAATGTTCCAAACCACCAGCCAGATTTCTTTTTCAATCTCATTGTTGGGTTTACCACTGTTTTACACGTTGTAGCCCAGTAATATCTGGAATGTCATGGAATATCCCCACATATACACTCTCTGGGAAACTAACATAACTATGGAAAATCACCATGTTTGATGGGTAAATCAACTATTTCTATGGCCATGTTCAATAGTTTTTGTATGTTTACCAGAGGGTATGGTTACAATAGATATATATATATATATATATATATATGGTCACACTAGAATACAAATATATAGATCAATAGATCTAACATAGATTGTGTTCACCACTTAGTTGCTTCCGCCCCGCCAAGCTTCCAGACTCGGGACTTCCGGGTCTCTGCCCATGCGTTTGGTCAGCAACAGCAAGGCATAGCGCTCTTCGTCGTGGATGCTCGGTGACTTCCAGTTCCAAATGTACCTTGTCCCACAACTTATTGCAATAAGAATAAAAATGTACAGCTGGATTATAGCTGATTTACAGCTGATTTATAGCTGATTCATAGCTGATTTAGGGGAGTTACCATGATTTTTTCAACATCTACGAGGATGACCCCGCTCCATTAGGTGGCCTTTTAGTACTTCACCCAATGGGATAAGCCCACGAATTGGGATGATCATCCAAGCAGGATATCACAGGGGGAGCACCACCTTGTTGTGGATGTCCCAGGATATCCCAGGACTTGTATGTGGTTTTCAATCCATATAATTGTAATTCCACATATGTATGTATATATACATATATATATATTTATATATGTATATATATATGGGCTATTTCACATGGTCATATCTACTTTCTACATGCTGTGAATGTTACTCAGTATAAGTGCGATGCATCCACAAGCTCTGACAAGTTGGACTTGCCAAACAGGCAGATCGAAGCCAAGAAATTCAAGAAAATTGGCATTTCAATGGAAACTCTCAGAGTATTTAAAAAAAAAAAAGGATTTTGGTTGGAAAAACTGGGTGCACCCAGTTTTTCCCTTCCAATGGGAACAAACTTCCCAGGATTTCTGAGGAGTTTCTGATCATCAAACTTGACCCATCCGTGTCCCGGCAGGATAATCCCACAGCAAGCCACGCATCAAAGGATGGGGGCAGCGGATGCACCTCATTGCGGCCATTGCGAGAGGTTTTTCTGCTTGGAACCTGGGATTTTCACCATGGTTAATATATAGTGGTTATAGTGGCTACTAGTGGTTAATAGGTCTTAATAGTGGTTCATAGTGGTTTAGAGTGGTGATTTGGTTAATATACTGGTTGGTGGTTCGTATACCTACCCCTCTGAAAAATATGAGTTCGTCAGTTGGGATTATGAAATTCCTAATATATGGAAATGGTCCATGTTTTTCGGGGGTTCCATCTAGTGTCCTCTTTGAAAAAAAACACATGGGGGGGTTTTCATTTAGGTGATGGGCTTGAAAAGTGAAGTCTGAACTGTTCACAACTCACCTTTTTGGGGCACAAATGCACAAGGTGGTGAACCGCCAGTAATGTGAATGTTGGTTGAAAAAAAAACCAACGAGTTCTATATACCCTCTGGTTAACGTTTACAAAAAACCATGGAAAATCACCATGTTTGATGATTAAATCAACTATTTCCACTGGGCCATGTTTTATCTAAGTCGAACTCTCTATGTTTACCAGGCCCTTTGTACCTACCATGCCCGTTTTTGGGTGGAGCCATGGGGCACCCATCCCATGCCTCTGGTTATGTCAACAGTTTGCTATTGAAAATGGCCCAGTCGACATAGTGGATTTTCCCAGCTATAAAATGGTGGATCTTTCCATTGCTATGTTAGTTTACCAGAGGGTATGTCTTTCTGTCGCAAAGCACATGTTTCCTTCTGGATACATGTCCATTCTTCGTTGTTTAACTATTCATGCAATGTTTACCTGAGTATGTTTGATTATTTTTGAGTTTACGTCCACATGATGCAACGTTTCCTTGCTTGAAAAGCTCAGATTGGTGCTGAAATGTTCCCTTTTGGTGCAAGGCGGAGCCCCAGTTTGTTAGCTAAATTGACTTATAACTTGCTGAATTCTAGGGTTTTTGGGGTAGATATGTCCCTAAAGTTAGTTACTACGGTTTATCCCATGATTTTCCATATAGTTTTCCTAAGTTCAATCCCATTTTTGATTTACTATGGTGTTTATCCCATGATTTTCCATAGTTTTCCATATAGTTTTCCATATAGTTTTCCTAAGTTCAATCCCATTTTTGATTTACTATGGTGTTTATCCCATGATTTTCCATAGTTTTCCATATAGTTTTCCATATAGTTTTCCTAAGTTCAATCCCATTTTTGATTTACTATGGTGTTTACCCCATGATTTTCCATAGTTTTCCATATAGTTTTCATAAGTTCAATCCCATTTTTCCTAGCTAATTTACGGTGAATCTCACCACCGGAGACCACCTGATGGGCTCCACCCCCCCCCCCGTTCCGTCGTTCCGTGGCCTGAAAGAAGTCGCGCATTACCGTGCTGCTGCCTCGGAGTACATGGTCTTCAGCCGGCTCCTGCGGTCCCGCAAGTAATGTTACTTCGGCTATAAGCCCCATGTTCTATAGATACAAGATATACTGTAGTATGTATATATATATTATAACCAACAAAAAAGCGGATTCGATCCGTAGCAATGAGGATTTGAAACCAACGATGGAGCCATGCAGCCACCAAAAATGATGGTTGATAGTCAATATATATATATATATACATACCCAGATGCTCCATGGTGCTGGAATATTTACCTACATAAAAACCCGAAAAATGACCCAGTTTTGCAGGTAAATATTCCAGCACCATGGAGCATCTGGGATATATTCAATGGGAATTTCAGGATCCTGAAATGGAGGTACGTTAGTACCACATTTTTTGCCATATTTTGATATTTCTTGTGTTCAATTTCCACAATTTTTGGGTTCCCTCTGGTTATTTAACATAGCCATGGTATAGATGGCCCATAAAAATAGATGATTTTCCCAGCTAGAAACCTCCATGTATAAGGGATTTTCCATGGCTATGTTAAATAACCAGATATATATATATACAGTATATATCAGAAACCCGGGGGTTAAGCCAGCTACGAGTATAAACCAGTTAGAGGTTGTTTTGTTAAAAACAAGTTGGGGAGGTACTCAGGTTGAGCCCCATGAAATTAGAGGATCCACTTAGAAATATTGAACACCTATCATTCGAACAGGTGTTTTTCATGATTTTCCCATACGGTTATGTGGGTGTCCCCCAGTTAAACGTGAGCGTTGAATGATAAACCAATCTGTCTCTGTAGATATATTTAGCATAAATCCTAGGCTCTTGCCCGTTTTTTTGTTGACAAAAATGCTGGATGACATGTGCTGCATTTTTTCATAGGACTTCTACGGAACATCTTCCCAAGCTATGGCAAAATGTCGGCAGCTTTGCTCCCAACAGTCCAACAATCCCCCAAACCTTCCTGGCTAAAATGTGTTGGAGCAACCCTGAAGGAGGCTATAAAACCAACTTCATGAAAGTTAATGGAATACGGTGGGTGGAAGAAATCCTGCACCACCTGGGATGGTTGAAACCCTATGAACAATGGGATAAACCACCTATCAACTGGTGCAGGATTTCTTCCATCCACAGTATGTCATGAGATATGCAACCAACAACATGAGACAGGTCTTGCAAAGATAAGGAAGCTTTGTTTATACTTGGTATATAGCATTAAAACGATGATGATGATGATGATGATGATGGTTATGTAAATCACATCGAACGAAATGAAGGTTGAAAAAACTGCCAAACAAAATAGAGGATTAAAATAGTTTTAAATCAACAGAAGCGGAGGATTCAACAAGCAAGTAGACATTGGGGTCTAAGCAGCAAAATATGGTTCACATCAGGTTATCAGGTTCCCGACATATCCTGAAATTGTGCTTACCCTCTGGTAATTTGACAAAAAGCTATTGAAAATGGCCCAGTCGAAATAGTGAGTTTTCCCATAAAAAATGGTGGAATTTTCCAGTTCGTTATGTTAACGTTTACCCTCTGGTAAACTGACATAACTATGGAAAATCACCATTTTCAATACTTATGTTTGTTTACCAGAGGGTACCAGAGGCTCCTTTCCAAAGCATGGAGGATATGGACGTTGCGCATTGCGCATTGCATATCCCAGAGTCCCCAGGGTGACCAGGTGATTGTAACCCCCTGAACTTTGTTGGTTACCCCATAACTATGGAAACATTTACCAGAGGCTAACCAGTTCGATCTTTGTTTGAGCTGCTCCTGGACTCCTGGACGTCATCGAACTGCTTTGCAATCTGAGACGCAAATTTGTGAAAGCACCTCGCATACCCTCTGGTAATTTAACATAGCTATTGAAAATGGCCATTTATAGTGGATTGTCCCATTAAAAATGGTGATTTTCCATAGTTATGTTAGTTTACCAGAGGGTATGTTTTGCTCATGACTTCCTGGCGCATCTTCAGTGACTCTCCTGGCGCTGGATTTCGCCCGAGAAAATCGGCTCGCTGACGCACGACAGCCTCGGGCTCGCCTCCTTTTTGGAGCCAGTCAGCAGGCAAATCTTTCAGTATCAGGTAGCACACCACACCCAAATAAAAGTCTTGGTCATATATCCCACGATATCCCATTAAATCACATTGTGTGTATATGTATACAGTATATATATATATGCATATGTCTATATATACATATGTGTTATTTATTTATTTATTTATTCATTTATTCATTTATTTATTTATTTATTTAGTGTTCCACAATATCCCATTGTATCCCCATATAAATCCCCAGAACATATCCATCTTAATTAATAAGTGTGGCTTCCCAAATAATGTGCTAAACCAAAAAAAAAATCTTCGATTGGGGTTTATGAAATTCCTTCTTGGGCCAACTCTTAAATGACCTCAGTTCTACAGTAGTTCGTCGATGGAATGGTTTATGGCATCTGGGTTACCACATTTTTGGAATACCACAATAGAGTCCTTGAAAATGTCCAAGGGGCTGGTTTGGTATACTGTTTATGACTATCTACTTCACGAGAGAATATCATACACTTCATTAATATTGGTTTTACCACATTACCCTCTGGTAAACTAACATAACTATGGAAAATCACCATCTTGAATAGGTAAATCAACTATAAATGGGTCATGTTCAATAGCTATGTTAAATTACCAGAGGGTACCTTTTATTAATATGTTCATTATATGTATCCCATAAGGTCCCATCATATCCCATTATATCATACTATATCCCCTTTTTTCAATCGCCGTAAAATGGCCATCTCAAAAAAACGAACACCGCTCCCTTAAGCACATGATCCCAATATTTTACCCAACATGTTAGCCTCAAAATAAATCCCCATACGGAGGTTTCCTAAAATGATGGTACACCCAAATCATTCAAATTAGACCATGTTCGTACTAAAACCCATTGTTTGGGGAGAAACCCTCCTATATATAATATTATAATTATATTATATAATATTATATATATATATCCCCATTCATATAGTTCCCCCATGATATTTCAATCCTCCCTCCCCTCCTCGCGGTAAGGGTTGGCCGCCGCCACCACGAAGAGGTTCTGATGCTGACCAAAGAGCTGGTCGCAGAGCATGGCCTTCACGAAGCCAAGGCAGGACCTCAACGGTCTTGCACCGAGGGGCGGTCAACGTTGATCATCCCATCTACCTGAAACGGCAAACATACAATAAGCGATTGAAAGTTGCCATAGAAATAGTGGATTTACCTATTTTGAAAATAGTGATGTTCACCATGTTCCGGTGCCTTTTGTTCACTTGAGTCCATCCACTTCCATGATTGTTTGATATTTCTGGTGTTCAATTTCCAGCATTTTTGGGTAGTTCAACTCACCATACCTCACCATCTTCGGCCCTTGAAATCGCCGCCCAAGGGACGACGTGTTGACCTCGTCCAGGAAGCACAAGATGGTCGTGTCCGGCTCGCGCACGCAGGCGCGCAAGGCCGGCTGGAGCTTTTCCTCTGAACATGGAGGAGTTCAACATAATAAAACACTGGTGAAAAATGGTGAAAAATCATGGAAAAATGGAGATCATCATGGGAGAACCATGGCTTTTATATAACTATGGGTTATTTTTTGTGTTTTATATCTGGTTTCAAACCGGAATTTAAAAAAAAATGGGACCCCCTTGGCGGAATCAAGGGTGGCTTGACCCTGACCTGGTACAGGCCAACCGTCGAAGGGTATCTATTAGCTTGGAATTTCACTTGATTTATGGTGATTTATGGTGATTTATGGTGATTTATGGTGATTTATGGTGATTTATGGTGATTTATGGTGATTTATGGTGATTTATGGTGATTTATGGTGATTTATGGTGATTTATGGTGATTTATGGTGATCAAGTTCTGGTTGGTGGTTGACCTACTCCTCTGAAAAATCATGGAGTTAAAGTCAGTTGGGATGATGACATTCCCAATGTACGGGAAAAAAAAACATGTTCCAAACCACCTACCAGATAAACACGTTTGAGTGATATATATATATATAACCAACTAATTGGTAATATGTTTATCAAACATCTAGTAACACTTGGGTGGAAAACACCCAAATGCCATCAACAAACATGGAGATATTGACGAAGACGAACTCGGGATGTAAACAGAAATCAAGCACAATTCGCAGTCGCACTCTTGGGGTTTGCTGCGAAAAACAGGGAGATCAACTTGCTGATACCTGCAGTTAAAGCCCTCAACAGTTATAACTGGTTTGTAACCTCATTATAACTGGTAACATAAACGTATATATATATATACACATAACATTTAACAGTGAAATATCACAGTTGTAACCTCATTTAAGTGATATATATATATATATACGTAATATCATTGACCAGTTCTGGGTGTAAGTCCAGGGCCATAACTTAACTGTTAATTCAGGGCCACAACTGTGGAGAGTATCTCGCGGAACTGCATTGGTCCAAAATACTGTGAAGAGCTGCTGGTTGATCTGGTTGCATGAAAAAACGCTACTGTGAAGACCAGTTATGAGGCTACAAACCAGTTATAACATGTTATAACCATCCATATGACTCATAATGGTTGGCGAAGCAGTTTGTAACCGATTTTTTGGCGAGAACAAGCACATAGAAGCCAGGAATGACCAGCGAATCACAACCAGCGTTTGTAGCCAAAACTTCACATAGAAGCCAGGAATGACCTTTTTCCAATGGCAAAGTCCCGCTGAAAATAACGCTTTCCAGGTCCAATCTGATGTGGAAAACCCAGAACAAACAACGCTTAGCTCTATCATTTGGAGGTTGTTCAAACCTCCACAGAATTTTGGCAAATCTTGTTAGCTTTCCCAGTCAGTCAGATTCACGCTTTTCGGTGTTTTGAGGCCATGGTTTCTTCAGTTGGATCTTAGTCATCCCCCAGTAAACTCTGGATGGTACCCGGCCTGGTTTTTACATACATAGATAGCTATTGAAGCCATGGCCCTAATCGAAATAGTGGATAAAGGCCATGAAAAATTGTGTTTTTCCGTAGTTGTGGATAAATCATGATAAATCCATATTTCGCCAGAGGGGCCACTTTGAGCCATGCTGGCTGCACATGTAATCACACATATGCAAACTGATCAGCAATTGCAGAGCTGTCACCGCCAGAACCTGGATTGCCCCAAGTCACAACTGACCCGTCCGCCAGGATCGCAGCAAATGCGCATCGAGTTGCTTGAACCTGCTGGACACCCTTGAGTTGATCTTGGACTTCAGAGCTGTCACCGCCATAACCTGGAATGCCCCAAGTCACAACCAACCCATCCGCCAGGATCGCAGCAAATGCGCCCGAAGTTGCTTGAACCTGCTGGACACCCTTGAGTTGATCTTGGACTTCAGAGCTGTCACCGCCATAACCTGGATCACCCCAAGTCACAAGCGAGCCATCCGCCAGGATCGCAGCAAATGCGTGGTAAGTTGCTTGAACCTGCTGGACACCCTTGAGCTGATCTTGGACTTCAGAGCTGTCACCGCCAGAATCTGGATCGCCCCAAGTCACAAGCGACCCATCCGCCAGGATCGCAGCAAATGCTTTGTCAGTTGCTTGAATCTGCTGGACACCCTTGAGTTGATCTTGGACTTCAGAGCTGTCACCGCCGTAATCTGGATCGCCCCAAGTCACAAGCGACCCATCCGCCAGGATCGCAGCAAATGCTCTGCCAGTTGCTTGAACCTGCTGGACACCATTGAGTTGATCTTGGACTTCAGAGCTGTCGCCGCCATAACCTGCAATGCCCCAAGTCACAAGCGACCCATCCGCCAGGATCGCAGCAAATGAGTGGCCAGTTGCTTGAACCTGCTGGACACCCTTGAGCTGATCTTGGACTTCAGAGCTGTCACCGCCATAATCTGCATTGCCCCAAGTCACAAGCAACCCATCCGCTAGGATCGCAGCAAATGCGCTGCCAGTTGCTTGAATCTGCTGGACACCCTTGAGTTGATCTTGGGCTTCAGAGCTGTCACCGCCATAATCTGGATTGCCCCAAGTCACAACCAACCCATCCGCTAGGATCGCAGCAAATGCGCTGTAAGTTGCTTGAATCTGCTGGACACCCTTGAGTTGATCTTGGACTTCAGAGCTGTCACCACCATAACCTGGATGGCCCCAAGTCACAACCTGGTTGCCTCCGCTGCAAAACAATGCAAAAGCGTGTGCTGTTGCCGCTACCTTTGGGTGTATGACAATGGCTGTCAGGTTGTCTCCATCTTTAAGTCCTGCAGATTGCAGAGACACTGCAGGATCCACCATGCCATGGTCTGCATCCACAAGCCTCAAGAAGCCACATTGAAATGACTTTTGCGCCAGAATCCTCAAGTCCCCTACTTTGGAGGACTGAGGAAATGTATATGCCTCACTGCGACCGCTTGGCAAAGCTATACTGGTTTGAATCATCTCTTGAAAACTCCAGCTCGTCCAAGTTGGTGGCTTCAACCCCCTTTTTCAAGTTAACTGGGATTATCACCCCTTTTTTCGTGGTGTTTGAACGGTGTTTGGATAAAACATGACAACCACGTACCCTCTGGTAAACCAGCTTAACTATGGAAAATCACCATTCAGTTTAGTAAATTATATAACTATTTTTATGGCAATTTTCAATAGCAAACTCTTAGTTTACAACCACATAGTTGCATTTTTCACCACCAACCTGTAGCTGTCTGATCTTGAGCCAAAGTTCACCCAACTCCACCATCCTCCTGCTGAAGATTCGCCGTCGCTGACATCCGGTGATAAACTTTAAAAGCCTACAGTTAAAGCCCGAAATACATCAAAATATCAGTTATACTAATGGTTGTCAATGGGGTTATCATTCCATAATTCCATAAATGGGGCTATATGAAATGTTATAACACTGACTTATAACCAAGGGCCAACAGTTCTTTAAGTTCTTTGGCTATCTTTTCGACCCTGAAATCGTCGAGCACATCCATGAAACATGTTGGATTCTTGTGTAATCTTGTGTATATCAGCCTGTGGTTTACAGAGATACACATCTATACCGCTAGCCAAACTGTAGCCATGCACCCTGAATCATTCAGGTCATATTGGGATTATTTTCCCCCAACAAGTCATCATTTTAGAAGAGCTTAGTTGCTATAACTTACCCAAATGACACACAAAACAACCAAGCCTTTGGATGCCAAACAAGACAAAAAACAACCGCTACAGCTGTACAGCCCCAGGTTTATCATCCATCCAGGAAGCACTTTTCTATCTTTTTGGGGGATGAACGATGGGCAACAAACATGGCGACTTGAGTGAAACATAGTGACAAGCGCCAGGATAGTTAGATAAATTTCCATAGTTATGGCTAATTCCATATATTTGCCATATTTATAGTGGATTTTCCATAGTTTTTTGTTAACGTTTTTGCCAGGCCGGGTAATCTGGCCATGGGGGATCCCCAGTTGTCACCAGCCTCCAGATCTTGCGCGCTCAAGGCTGCGTGGACCTGTGCAAGTCTCCCCCGTTCAACTGGTCCTTACACAACTCTTGGGCAAAACACTGAAATTCTCAACTTAAAACTTATACTACATATCATTAATATATATTATTATATATATACGTATATATGCCCCCTTTACTTCGATGATTTCCCCAGCTAGACAACCATTCAAAGCCGCCATTTTTCGAGGTCATGTTCCAGTTTGCCACGATCACTCGACGCCTGCGTGCGAAAGAACACCGGCTCGGCGTCCAACAGCGACATGGCTTGGATGGCGAAGAGGAGACCTTCAAGGTGCGACGTCATGACGTCATGGGCTTTTTTTCTAACAGATAGAAGTCAGTGAAATAACCAAAAATCTGTGGCATGATAACCCAATTTATAAGCATTTATAACCATGTCTAACCATTCATAGCCATTTATCACCATTTATAAGCCATTTACAACAGGTAAGGGGCCATGGCTGTGGGGTATAGGGGGGCTCTGTATGAATATGACTATGGGCCATATATCCTCTTAATAACTGGAACTGCACCGGGCGAAGGATTGGATGTGTGGTAGATATATCGAACTAGTTAGATTATCTGGTTGGTGGTTGACCTACTCCTCTGAAAAATATGAGTTCGTCAGTTGGGATGATGAAATTCCCAACATATGGAAAAATAAAACATGTTCCAAACCACCAACCAGTTATGTTAGATTAGAACGAGAAACATCACTGGGAGGGCACGACCTTGTAGAAACCTTCGCCACCCTCCTCCGCGTCCAAAATATCGAGATTTTTTCAGGATGGAAAGAGAGCATAATCTTAGAGCAAACTTACGCCATCTTTTCGAACATCGGGTTGTCCCATGTTGTCCCCTGAGCTTTGACGCTACCAATGGATAGATGGAAGCTGAGGAACACTTCAGCAACAAACAGGCAAAATCATACTTGGAGGACCCTACCAGTTGAGAACGATCAGCCCAGGCTGTCCCATTACAGTAGTCTGCAAATATGCAGATATGCAGTACAGAAGTGGTAAATGAATAGGAGTTGGCAAGGATTCCTAGTTACAATCAGACTGCCTTCTCTCATGGGGATCAAGAAACCTCCGCCTCAAACAGACCCAGCTATGCAGGTGCCAACCCACCAATGGTGACCACCCAATTAGTGGTTCTTGGGTAACTCCCTGCACTTCGGGGTTGTGTCCGAAAGAATGGGACAAATGCTGGATACTTTGAAGATGGCGGACGGCAACGTGATTGAAGATTCGAAGATGGTTTTGAACCCTGATTGCCAGAGGGCTGATCACAACCGCAAAAGAGCCACTTTTTTTTTTTACTTCGATGGTATATCCCGTTAGATGAGTGTTTCTTACAATTGGGATCCCCAAAACAATTGATTCCCCCTGTTGATCCCGACCTGGATGAAAATTGGGGGTCCCGAATTTCAGTTTCACCGCCATACTCTGACTCTGCTATCAATTCTCCCAACATTAAATACCCTAAAACGAAACCCTGGTGAAATGTACTGTACTTCGTCATTTTGCGCTCCCTTGGATCCCTTCTTGGAGCTATTTGATATTCCATTCTATTCTATTGGCTGTATTCTCCCTTTATTCCCATGGTCAAACCATGATAAACCATGATAAACCTCCATTTTTGATGGTTAACCTGCACATCTTCAGGTTCCAACCGAGCAACATGGCTCCATCTCCCAATCTTCCAGGTCATCTGAATCCTCCCAGACCTGGAAAATCACCATCTTTCAGTTCGGTAATCAACGAACTCAATGGCCATGTTCAATAGCTATGTTTACCAGCTGGATAACTCTTAGATAACGATTCTATGAAACACTGTAAATTTCATGGGATTTTTTGATGGGATTTGGCCCATCTACCAACTAGTGCAGGATTTCGCGTTGCCATCCACAGTATGTATACGTATTTATACGTGTACATGTAAACGTGTATAAATGAATGTATCTCTTATGTTTGGACATATGCATACGTACATATAATATGCTTGCAATTGTATGTGTGTACTTACATTCTATGTATATACATGTACATAAGTGGATAGATAGGTCTGCCATATTTGTCAACTGGGGTCATCGTTCAAGGCACCTAGTGAAACATAGACATGGAGGTTTCATAAATAGGGGTACCCCCTTGCATCATCCAGTCGTCATGGATGACCTTGACTTAGTGACTTGAAACAACCATGTTGATAGTTGGGGATCCCCCATGACTTCCGGAACCTCCATATGAATGAAACCAACTACCTTTTTCAACCGCTTCAGTTCTGTCATTCCCAACTCGGCCAAAGCTAGGTTCCGAGCCTGTCCACGCGGGTTCGCATCGCTCTGGAAATGCGCCTGTACGTGCATCTCATGGGCTGATCAGACAGATTATTTGATGTATGCCATATTGCTGTACAATAAGAGTCATAGTACCCTGCAATAAACGATCATAGTTATGGTCCTTCGATGGTTGTTTCCCATTTCTCGGTATACCCTGGGGTAAACTGACATAGGTTTGAAACATCCCTCAGTTGAAAAAAATTGTCCCTGGGTCTCCTCATGGGTTTGTCACATCTTTTTGTATGTCTACCCATGGCCGTCATCCTCATATCATATCAAGGCCAATTTATCCCCTGATATCCCAGGTCTGGTCATCATATGTCATCATTTCCCAAAAAACTGTGAAAGCTATGGCAGATGGCCCATGTATGGATGATAATCATGATGATTTACCTACTAAAATGATGGTGATGTTCCATGGCTGCGCCAAAGAACATCCCAAAAAACGTCCCAATTGTTGATCCACTCCGCTGGCCTCAATGATCAGCCGCAGGCTGTCCTTTTCGCGTTCCATGGCCTTCTCTTCTTCTCCAAGTCGCCTTGGTCGCGGTGAAACATCGAGGGGTTCCCAATTTGTGCCTCACGAATGGAAAAACATGAAAACGATTGAAAACTAACAAATAAATCGGATTTAAATGGGAAATATACACAAATTTGATATGATATGTGATGTGGGTGTGTCTGAACATGGGGCATTCAGGTACTTACATGTGCTTTGTACATTTTGACTTTGACATGTGTTTCGCCCCACAACGGCGTGCACTTTTTCGACATCTCAACTTCCAAAAGTGGTCCGAGGATGGTGTGTTTTGTGCGCTTTGACTTGGAAATGTGCTTCGCGCCACAACGGCGTGCACTTTTTCAACATCTCAACTTCCAAGTGGTCCGAACGTGGTGTGTTTTGTGCATTTTGACTTGGAAATGTGCTTCGCGCCACAACGGCGTGCAATTTTTCATCTCTCCTCTGGCCAGCTGGCTCCGCACCCGCCGCTTTAGCGAGCCTACTTTTCGACCCTCCGGAGCCACAAACCATTGGAAAAACACAGTGTTTCGCGACTTTCCTACCTTTTCGCGCATCTGCATCTTCTTTTTTCTGACTCTTTCTCTTCTCTGATCTTCTCTCTTCTAATCTTTCTCTTCTCTCTGCCTCTGCCCTGCTCTGCTTTTCATCTGACCATATTGTCGGAAGTTTGACTTCTAAACTTCCTTTGATTCGTATGATATTATCTTTACGGATCTTTATGATTGATTATCATGGTCATTACCCGCTACTTACCCCTGGCCAAACTGTCAACAAACGCTGGCTTCCCCGCGTCAGATGAGCCGTGTCCAGTTCACCTTCTGTCGTCCTTTTCGACCGGCTTTATTGACACTGATTAACATAGCTATGGTATAGCATAGATGGCCATGAAAATAAAGGATTTACCATCTAAAAATTGTGATTTTCCATAGCTACGTAAAATGACCAGAGGGCACTGAATGACACTGACCCTCATCCAACCAGAATGTAAAGCCCAACTACAAGACATCAACCAACCATCATGCCTGCAGGGTGGCACCTTTTTTGCGTAAAAAAAAACCAATGTCAGACCAACAATCTCTAGGATCGATAGGGATCAACTGTGCATTGTTCAACTAAACGGAGAGCATTCTAACTGGCTTCTAACCCTATTACAATCCACTTACATGTGGGGGCCTTTTTGGTCATCCCCAAAAAGATCGTTTTTAGTAGATCACTAGGTTGATGATTTCATTTTCTATCTCTGGGCTTACTCTAATTAAATAAAACTCCCCACTTACTACAATTATCTTTGCTTCGCTAACTTCTGGTGATTTAATTATACAACAAAAAATTGGTTTTTTCCATTCCCACTGACAGCATCTCGATGCACCTGCAGTCGCAGCCAAGCATCTCCCACTCCAACTTGCCACGCTGCAACGCCCTCCGAAGTGCGGCACTGGCGGTCGCGCCTGCGGAGAGACCCATCTGAACATTTGGAGTCGGTTCAAAAGTGAAGACTCAGGGATCACAGATTGGTGGTTAAAACCATGTCATAAACTAGCTATTTTCCTGGGAATGGTATACATACCACCTATCTATGTTGATGACTGGGGGATGGTTTTTGCTTGTCTTCACCAGAGATCACAGAGTGTAATGTGGTTAAAACAAGAATAAACTACCCAGGCCACGCCATGCCGGGTGGCCTGTGGGCGGCAGCGTCAGCGTCATTTTCCATATTCAAGCACGCCACTGGCAAAGCTTTCCCATCTCCTTGCACATTTGTGCCGGTGTGAACTTTTCGTTCACATTCTTATTGCGACGCCAGAGCCGCTGAAACGTCTTTTCCTTCAGGTGAGGATTGACTACGCTATGTCCTTTGGACCTTTTCTTGGCATTCAACTGCTTTGGGGGCCAATTTTTCAAACTCCCTAAGCTCTGTCAAGACACTGGGTGCCTCCAACTTTGCTAAGCCCCTCGTCTTGGGTGCTTTCTTCAAATTGTTATCAATGTACTATGAAGTTACTTCAACATGTTATCAATGTACTATGAAGATCCTTCAACATGTTATCAACGTACTACGAAGATACTTCAACATGTTATCAACTTGACACCGTAGTATCAAGGACGTGGCCGTCAGGACGTTGATATCCCACCCCACCGTGCTGTCAACGTAGCATCACGTTGCATTATCAACGTCTTCCTAGTTGGTGGAACATGTGTTGACATCAAGGACGTGGTCGTCAGGACGTTAATATCCCACCACACCCCACCCCATATATATATATATGTGTGTGTGTATTATATATATATATACAAAACGCAAAAATGAGCTAAAGCGCACAGGCCACCCGGCACGGCGTCAGCAACTACGCATTTAAAAATGGTTTATACCACCTATCTATGGCTATGGTGATGACTGGGGGATGGTTTTTGGCATTGTTTTGACTACGTTAGAGATTTACCATCCATACCCTGATACCCGTCCACGGTACCCAAACGTTTTCATAGCTGGTTTCTGGAGGATTCTTCTCCAAGTCATATGGTGGATTCATAGGTTTTGACCCATCATCATGTCAGAATGTGGGATACATCTCTAATGGTTGATCATGGATGATACGTCAAAATATTCGAACATCTACGAAAAACCTAATCTGATGAAAACCTACAAAACCACTAGAATGATTCAGAAGAAAGAGAAGTTGCCACTGTGGCCTTCATGATGCCATGTTTCAACGCCACCGGACCTCAACTCCTTAAATGGTCCGCATCTAGGAGAAACCATCCCAAATCATGTTTGAGAAGCTACGTTCATTCTTGGGTAAACTATCATAATTCAACGGCCAGAAAACTGCTTTTCGGGATACCGAAATGCTATTCCCATCATTTCTGACATCGTGGTGGCGTCGCCTTGTTCGGTTTGAGCAGTGCTCACTTGGGGAAGGTACAAATAAGCCATAAACAACATACCCTGATTGGCTCAGGGACGTATACTTAATTTATTGGCAGTGATGATAACCCATGGTAGGGAAACCTGTCAACTATTATCAACTAGTATTTCATGAGATGGGATAGAGGTATTTTTAATGGGCCTTGGCGAAGGGGAAGGTGTCGCAGCAGCACATGGAACCTAGGGAATTGAAACGGAGTCCTGGCAATGGGAAATCAACAAAAAATGGCAGTGTGTAATCAACAACAAATAGTGACTTAACCATGCATTTTTTGATATAAAAACAAAGAATCATTATGAATGTGATGTGTTGTTCAATGATAGATAATAATATGCTGGTTATCATATATGGTTGCATAGTTTATAATTATACAGTGTGTATGTTTTGTAGCAAAATGATTGCAGTACAATGTGTAACAATTCCATATTTGTTCATATATGATGCTTACATTGTACGAAGAATAGCGGCATATCTAATTTATATAATATGGTATATGGTGATAATGTTACAAAATTATATTGTATGGTTGTACTGCGGTCACTAATGTGATGAACCATGGTCTTAACAGCCAGAATTGCCAACAACCTTAACACAGTATGTGTACTGATGGTAATATTATCCCAAAATTGGAAAAACATTTGTATAACTTCAAAATACATATCCTCAAATACCCAATCTGAAGACCGTTTCAGATTCCCAGAGTGCATTTGTCCATGAGATTAACACTTGATTGAGGGGCACGTTCAAATGTGTGGTAAAAGTGGAAGGCAACACTTTAAAATCGTATTAAATATATCAAAAAATCAAAACCACATCCAACTTGACAATTTGAGGGTTTACATGTATATACCAAGAAAAATGGATCTAAACCAGAAAACAAACCATGTCCAATTTTGCTATTTGAAGGTTGCAGCCGTATAAACGACACCTCGATGTTTGATTCTTTGGTTGCTTCTCATAAGCTATACCCAAGCGGGTTTTACTGAATTTCCCTCTTGCTTTTACCTTAATCCATTCATCCAAAAACAACACATATTCTCCAGCCAACACATGGAAACTCCACCATGAAAGTAGATCATTCTCAACATTCATGGATTTCCATCGCTGAATGCTATGTTTGCACATTGAATTGAATTCCTATGATCATCCTTAATTCTCCATTCAAATCCTATTCTAATCTCCCAAAAAACAATGTCTCTTAGAGATTTCTTTTATTTTTTTCTAGTAAATCCCAGGGTCTTTCCTGGTTTTTCCCTTTCAAATCCCCCATGGAAATCATGGATCTCCATGCCAAGACGCCGCCCCACGTCGAAGCGGCGTGAGCCCCTGAGCTCCGCCAACAGCCACTGCAGCAGCTCCCTGCGGGTCCACAAAGGCGCCTGGAGGATCGGTGGTCCACGGTTCGGGGCTCGGTTTTTGTTCTAGGAATGTTATACTATGTATAATTGTTATTTCTGATATGACGATATGCTGTAAAAATGGGTTATCATGTTGTTTCTATTTTTGTTCTAGAAATTTTATACTATGGTGATATTTCTGATATGATGATACTAGTTTGATATACTATAGTATAGGATGATATAATTGTTGGTGAGACTTGATATACTATTGTTCTAGGAATTCATAGTATATACCAACTGATTATTTAACGTAGCTATGGGAAATCACCATTTTCAAAAGGTAAATCAGCATACATCATCTGGAAATTTGTCATTTTCCATAGCTACGTTGAATAACCAGAGGGTAATGCATAGTTAACATGGTATCATGCTATAGTATATATATATATAGTATATGTTGGTATACTATGTATAGGGATTCATAGTGGTATAATTAGCCATATATAATATACCAATAATACTACCATATACCATAGTATATAATGTTATACTACTGTGCATGGAAGAAATCCTGCACCACCTTGGATGGTTGAAACCCTATAAATAATGGGATAAACCATCTATCAACTGGTGCAGGATTTTCTTTCATCCACCGAATGGTGAACGGTATAATGTTAAAAGTTATTATGTTATTATACTCGGATTTTATTACTATAAATCTGATATTTATTTCAGTAGTTCTATGCTATTTATGTTCCAATGATTTTATACTCTAGGGATTCATAGTGGTTAATTGTATAATGGTATATATCATATCAACTGTGGTATAATGTTATAATGTTATTATAGTGGATAATGGTGTAATTGGTATAATGGATCCATATGGAAATGTTTATCATATTAACTGTGATATAATGGTATTAACTGTGGTAAAACGGTATGATTACAATATAATTAATGTTGGTAAAAACAGTGCCATAAACCACCCATGACTGGGCATGGTTTATACCACCTACAAATGGTGAAATTCGGAATGGTTTATTATTGTTTTGCCAACAATAGTAACCATAGTTTAACATAAGCCGTTCAAATAATGGGATAAGCTATGGAAAATATGTGCATATAACGCATGGTAAATTTCATCACAATCTGAAACATTTGGCTAGTTTGAGATAGTTACCCGAATCCAATTCCCATCATTCCAGTGAGGTCGTTATAATTTACCCAGATACAATTGATGGGGGTAATGGAGATAGGGTGGAGATATGATCCCAAATCTTTCAAGTGCAGCAGATAATGGAAAGATTGATGTTTATATTGAAATCTATCCCCAAAAGTGGAAGATATCATGGAGATATAATGTCAACCCCGGATTAACAAACCATGGTTTATTAATTAGGGGGGTATTCCCCCAATAGACATGATTTGATAATTAAATGGCACTTTCCCAGTTAAACAGCCTAGGGGTTTATTAATCCAGGGTTGACATTAATGGGGATACAGGATAGGAATAGATCGGGACTTTGATGAGAATCACAGCCGTACCCTCCGGTGTCCTCAAGTGTGGCTGGGAGTGGTAAATCCTCCATTGATGGAGGTTTCGTTCGCAGGGAAAGCCATCGGAATAATTGGTGGATTTTCCATCAAGCCAAGTCTGATTACAAGAGGGTATTAACCAATATTAACAACCATTAACCACTATTAAACATGATGGTTGAACACATTTTTAACCATCATAAACCATTCTTGGTCCAGCCGTACGGGACTCCCAGGGCCGTTGCTGCCAGTTTTTCTGCCAAAGCACTGGCAGGTCTTGAAACTCATAGAGATCTTGGTGGCTCAACGCCTCCTGGCGGGTTGTTGTTTTGGGATATCCCAAGGTCCAAGGGCCGTACCTGCCACTAAGTAAGTATGTATGATATATATATATATATATATATGTATAAATATAAATATATATATTTATTTATTTATGTATGTATTTATTTTTATATACATATATCATATGTATATATATATAGCATCTGGTTATTTAACATAGCCATGGAAAATCACACTTTTTGATGGGTAAACGGTAAACCATCTATAAATGGACCCTTGTCCATGGCTATGTTAAATAGCCAGAGGGTATAAATGGAAACCTGGCTTGCATGAACGGCACGAGCCTCGCCTCACATGCCTGGTGAAAAAATAGTTATTTATTTATCTTCATAGTTTTTATATCCATAGCCATTTTGGCTCAAGTTTGGCTCAGGTCGCCCAATTTAGGTTGAGGTAGAACCGCGCCATAAGCCTTAGCGGGGGATTGCTTTGTATCCTTACCCCGCGGGCACTTCTTGGTTTGGGGTGAGCCAGTGCCAAAACCCTGTCTTTGGATTTTGCTACGCAGCAGCTGCCTTTCGATAGGCCTCCTGTGCTTTACAACTTTGATCATATTTTCTGGCACTGCGGGGGCTGACAACCGGGTACAGTTTGGTCAGTGATTTTCCTGAACTAATTCTACCTGCGAGGTCTACGCTTGCAATCAATTATACCCATCAGCTGCTGTTAAATTGGCCTTTTGGGTTTTTCAGAGGTTCTTTGTCGACTGAGTTCAGTGCGTCATTGTCTTCCGCTGAAACAATTGATGTGTTCAATTTTACTCTCTTGCTCTTTGTCATTATCTTTGACCTCCCCCACAATTGCGCCATCAATTTTGACATTGAGGAGGAAAGCACGCAGAGATCGTGCGAAAGCTCGACGTGGTTGGTATCTAAATCGCACAGGAGTGCGACCTTTGGGTGCGAAGACACTCAAACAGGTACACAAGATTCTCAGCCGCCACCATTCCAAAGACCATATTTTCCTACAGAAGATCAGCAACGCCATGGCGGATATGGACGAAGCCTATCCATGGCATTGTGGCACATGCCACAGATTGAACTAGAAAGTTCACACCACATGTCCAAAGTGCCATGCTCATTGGAGCTACGGCACAAGGCATTGCACCGAGCCAAAGACGGTACCGGCATATCAATCCTCTGTCTACCGAGACATTTGGGAGACATGGGATCAGGACTGGAAGCAAGGGGAAAAGGATCAATCATGGTCGAACCAAAGGCCACACTCGGCATCAAGACCAAGAACCAAAAGCCCACGCAATCGGAAGGGCAAAAGCAAGGCATCAGAAGCAAAAGGAAAAGAAGGGAAGGGCATTGGAGATTCCTTTGCTACTGCATGGCCCTTTGGTCCACTTGCCCCATCGGCCCCACCGTGGCCGGCACCAGAGACAGCGGCCTCAAGTTTGCATCCATTCCCATCAGCCAATGCACTGGTCCAGTCAGCACAAGATGTTGCTGCTATGGCAGAGGCCCTCAAGGAAGCCTACCCAGACGAAGGTACGCGGCCTCAAAATGTGAAGGATATGATCGAGAAAGCCGAGAGGGATGCGGTAAAGGATGTGGCCAAAGGCCTCCACTCTGCTACCAAAGCGCTCAGCAAGCCCAAAAAACGCTTGCCGAGAATCTCGAAGCCAAACAGCAGCACCGACAGGATTTGGTCCCATTGTTGCAAAGGCTACTGGCAGAAGTGAAAAGCTACATGCACGACCAAGCGCGAGGGAAAACCAGCGCTGTTGTTTCATTCCAAGGGAAAAGCGCAGCAGCACCGGCAGCAGTATCAGCTTGTTGCAAAACCAGGCATTGCATGTTCGTTTGCAGATAGGGATGAACAATGGCTACATTTTGCCTGCCAACAAACATTTAGGCATTGTTTTTACGTCAGACCATGGGCTCGACTTGGAGATTCGTTGTCGCATTGGAGCTGCCAAAGCGGCATTCGTGCATCTTGCAAAGCCACTGCTAACCAACAAGCACCTGCCGTTGAAGACCCGCCTGCAACTTTTTCAAGCCCTAGTAGGGACCAAGCTTTTCTTTGGCCTTGGGTCGTGGAGCACGCCTACGCCCAAGCAATTGCAACGCCTTAGTGGTTTTCTGACCAATTTGCTCAAAAAAGTGATGCGAGTGACTCCAGAACGCTGGTCAATGTCCACGGCACATGTTCTTGCAGCCGTGGACACTGTTGGGGTCCGGGCACGGTTAGCACTGGACCGTTTCCTTTATGCACAGCGCCTCATTTCGGTTGGCCCTTTCTTTTTGCATCATCTGGTGCATTTGGCATTTGCACGTTCTCCTCATTCATGGTTGGAAGGCTTGAGGGCAGACTTGCTATGGGTCTCTGATGTGTTGCCGCAAGCCTTGCCGGCAGGGTGGGCATCGGACATGACTCCTCTGCTTGAGATGTGGCAGGCTGGAGGCAAAGATTGGCGTGCGCTAGTCCATCGTGCCGTGCGCATCCATAAGAAGCAAGAGCATATCATGGCAGATATTCACAAATTTCACCACCAAATTTTTGCCACTTTACGCAGCGTGGGGGCGGAGTTCCAACCGGACCCATTCCCGTTGGTGCCAGAGGAATGTACCTTCACTTGCTTTTGTGGTAGAGGTTTTCATACGAATCGGGGTCTGCTCGCCCATCAGAGGCAGCAGCATCAGATATTCTCTCCTGAGAGACCTTACCTCCAAGGGGCAACATGTTTGCATTGTGGCCGATATTGCTGGACCACGCAACGCTTACAACAGCATCTCTCTTACATTCCAAACCGCCTGGGCTACAATCCTTGTTTTGTAGCGCTGCAACGTCAAGGGCGGTCAGTAGAATATGAGTCTACGACCTTTCCAGCTGATGTTTTAGGGTTGGCAAGACGAGAAGCTTTGCAGACTGCAGGACCGATGATTGAACAAGTCACTGTTGTCGAGCGACAGCGCGCAGCTTGGTCCCAAGAGCTGGAAAGTTGTTTAAGCCAGCTTGAGCTGTCCACACTGCCCACTGATCCCATGCAGAGTGGAGCTGACCTGGGAGATGACTTGTCTTCAGCTACACAATCCTGGTTTGAGCGATTTTACCCACAGGGCCCCTCTGATTCTGAGAAGGGCCTGCTGCCGGAGGCTTGGCTAGACGCTATGTGTACTACACTAGAGACCACTGACCTTGCCATAGATGAGTGGGTGCAATTTGCGTTTCTTGCCTGAAGAGATCATTGGTTGCCGGACATTGTGGTGCAGTTTTTAGATGGACAGGCTGAATATGGTGTAGAGGATATGTATGCTGAATTTGTGGCTGCTTTGCCCAGATTCCAACTTTTGTCCCGCATTTCAGCCTTGCGTAGTAGTGCACTTCCGCAAGCCCACCGACAGCAGGCCATGGGCCCCCAATGTCCTACACGTCACCCAAAGGTCACTACCAAGATCCAGGAAGAGGTGCCACGTCCCTACGGAGAACAGGAAGCTTGGAGTGCGCCCATGAGGCAGTGTCGCTTTGTTGCCGTACCTGAGGTTGTCATGCCCTCTCTACAGATCATTACCTGATGTTCCTGCATTCCTCTTTGTTCACCTTTTAGTGGAAGGAGGCGCACTGGGGATTTTCACATGGAACTTCAAAAATTTGCTCTGCATAAACCCTGGCGCGTGGTGATCTTGTCCCTCAATACTGCGGTATCGTTGGAATACGGCAATTTATTGCATCATACCGTCTCTTGGAAGGCTCTCGAAGAATGCTACTTTGCTGGAAGAATCTCAGGAACTTTATGCGGCCCGCCGTGTGAAACGTTCAGCGAAGCACGGTTCACTCTCCCACCTGATGATTCAGTTCGCTGGCCTCGGCCTCTTCGCTCCTTTGCGAAGTTGTTTGGCTTGGATGGCTTATCTGCGGAAGTGTCATACTGGAAGCAATTTCTTTTTGCAATGCGTTTGCGCTTTGACTGCGCATATCGCATTTGGTGGGATCTATGTGGCCGAGCATCCGGCTCCTCCGTTTTTACAAAAACCGACCGAGCATCTGGACAAGTGCGATGATTCAGACTTTGTTGCAGCTGTGTGACTTAGCTCTGCATTGTGTGCAACAATACAGATGGGGCGCCAGTGCGGTTAAACCTACTGGGCTCCTGGCCTGGAGTCTCCCATTCTTCGCAAGGACATGTACAGTTTTGCACTGGCAATTGGGAAGCATGAAGCCAGCAATTTTTGTACTTCTAAACACAAGGAGTACCCTCCGATGTTTTGCAAAGCCCTAGCATTTGTAGTGGTACAGCAATTCGATCGCTTTTTACGCGGCGGCGGCCGCCGCCGAGTCCGGCCGCTTCGGAGGCTCTGGACCAGTGGGTTGCACAGGCGGCGGCTGCCTCTACAACTGTTAGAGATGATAGCCATTGGTTGCCAGATTTTCAACGCCTCTAAATTCGAGAATGTGCATGGCAGCAAGGGGTACCCCTTTGACGCAGGAAATGTAAATGGAAAGTTATTTATATTGTTTTGTATGCACCCCTATTTGGGCTATTGATGATTCAGAAATACGCGTATGACATACTTTTTAGATAATATAATCCCCTTCATAGTGTAGCAGTGGGCACAAAACCTGGTTTAGTATAGGGTCTCCCATGAAGGGGTGTCTACAATGTGGTACCCCCCAGTTCTAAGTTAGTTTATAACCCCCATCAACTAGTTCGATATATCTACCATAAGTCCCACTTATTGTAGTTATAAACCAACTTAGCTATCGAACTGGGGCACCACTATGTATCTTTAGTGGTGGGATTGACAAAGCGACAGCAAAATGCAGCATGGTATCGGGATCATCCCATTGTCCAAGTTTACAGGGGCTCCTATCATGGCATATGCTAATCCTATAGCTACTACAACGCCCCCCCAAAGCGTTAGGGGGGTGGTTGCGAAATCCTGCACCACCAAACGGATGATTGAAACCCAGAAATCATGGGATAAACCACCTATCAACTGGTGCAGTAGTAATTGGTAGCCATTGGTAGCCATTGGTAGCCATTGGTAGCCATTGGTAGCCATTGGTAGCCATTGGTACTTTGAGCACAGCCCACTTGATCGGCACCAAAAAAATCTACAAGAGCTATGTTGACCTGAAGCTTGGATGATACCGCCTGAAATTGGCTGTGCACCCTTTGACCACGTCAAATGATGCCAGCAAGAAAGTATATTGCCCAATTGGAGTATGGCTCAGAATCATTCAAAATCAAGTACCAAAAAGTGGTTTGCTGCTAAAAACCAAAATCTGCATCAGTCTTGAAATATCACCCGTAACTTTGTAGTGCAGAGAATTCGTCACGAAACCTGAGTTGGGTTTTTGATGATCATTCCATTCGTCAATGGCCATTTCAGGATTGGAGGTACCGATTCCATATATTTTTGGCCTATTTTTTAGGCCAGTCCATTTCAGGGAATACCAAACATATGGTACGTTTACGTGGGTGCTTGAAAAAAACTGAGCAGTTTCACCAGTTTCGGAGTCGTCCGATCCTCCAAGTCCCTACCTAAACCCACTGAATACAGCTGGCAAGGCTGGCAAGGCTGGGGGCTCCTGAAAAGCCTCCACTGAGAACTTTCGCTCCAGAACCCTGTCCAAAATCTTCCGCAGAACATCGACCTCAGTGGCTTCGTCATCCGATCCATGTGGGGCCCAGTGATGTGAATGTTGCTTTGTGAATCCTATGAAAACTAGACTATCTATACTTAGAAGATCTTAGAAGTACGAGTATCATAAACCATAGTGAACTTGGATTTATGTTCACCAACTTAGCGATTAAGCTCACTGGGCACCAGATACATAGCATATGGTGTGGTTTCCTTAACTTGAACTCCATCCTCCTTCCCCTTGGACCAAGCCTTTGTCCACATTAAAAGTAACCTTTTCACTGCAACCACCAAGTAGGTTCTATCCCATGAAATCATCATGAAATCCCATCAAAGATGCCCATGAAAGCATCATGAAATCATCATGTTTGATGGATTTCCAGGAAAATCCAACAAGAATACTGCAATCGACCAGCAAAACCTACAATGTGAGGCCCCCCAGTGATGTTAGTTGGTTTAGATTCGCCCCAGTAACTATAGTTATTTGCGTACCATAAACCATAGTTATTGGAATTATAAACCAACTTAGCTATCGAACGGGGGCCTCACATTGTACAGAATTTCCGTGTGGCTCTCTCTGTTGGTCAACTCTTTGTGCATCTTCGATGCCTGTCCCAGCACTTCATCACTGGGAGAAGCATCCTGGCGTCAATGTAATCGGTCATCATTGTACTTGGGGCTGCGAGCCCCAGGAAATGGATGTAAATGGGGTTCATCCCCAGTTATACATATATATATACAGTATATATATATAATATATTTATATATATGTACAGTATATATAATATATATATATATATATGTACAGAATATCCCCACTTATATACGGGATTATATGGGTTCTGAAATGTTATGAATATGTATATATATATATATACGGATTATAAGCCACTTACTAAGTGGGATGCACATGCAAGTAGTGATTTGATTTCGAGGGCACGTTCCACCGGAGGGGGATTTGAAAAGATTGGTTTCTTTTGATTTACAAACACGTTGACTTGTAATTATGATGCTGATTATAGAGATTGTTGATTGATCAACTAGGACAATGACTGGATTTAGGGTGGATTATAATGATCTGGTTGGTGGTTTGAACCCCTCTGAAAAATATTAGTCGGTTGGGATGTTTATTCCCAATATCTGGAAAAAAATGTTCGAAACCACCAACCAGAAGATGATATAAAATCATAACCATCACTCAACATGGTCTCTCTCGTGAGACATCGACGCGCAGTAATTGTCATGTGTCCACCTTTGGAACATTGCAGCGAAGATCAGTTCACTGTTCTTTGGCAACGGGATCGTTGATGATTCTACCGTCGATAAAACCCATATAAACACATCTACATACGTTCCCAAAGATGCCAGCTGGGTATCGACCATTGCGGTTTACGCGGGTTTCCCAGCAGCTTCCACCGGCCAAAAATCTCCTTGGCATCGCGCAGTTTCTGCTTCATGTAGTCGAACAAGGACTGAATCAATGATGGTCGAACTTCCTCACTCTCCACCAGCAAGCGCATCATCAATTCCAGTGCACGAGTCCTTGGGTCAGGGACTGCTCCCTGGGATGCGGAGCTCAAGGGAAACATAGCGAAAGGGGGGAAATGGCCAATTCCCCACCCAATTGGGTGGCTATAATTCATCATTTTTAAAACGAGAGGTGGGGGTTTGGTATACCGCATCTTCTTGGTATCCTAAAGGTTTGGTATATCGTGTTTGCTCTTCAAATGGTTTTGATATACCAATCTTCCTTGGTATGTGGTATACCACTAGATGAGATGATCGATCTCCTTTGATCTACTGCACCTCTTGTGAACCCTGGAGGTCTATCTTTTTGCGTCGGCAACTTGGGACATTTACGGGGACATGTCATGAAATACTGGTTGGTGGTTGAGCCTACCCCTCTGAAAAAGATGAGGTCGTCAGTTGGGATGATGAAATTCCCAACTGAATGGAAAAATTAAAATGCTCCAAACCACCAACCAGAATATAAGGGAAAAGTGTTATGAATAAATATATCCCCATATTATCCAGGGATGTTATGAATATATTTTAACCAAACGATAATAATCTTTATCAATAACACTAGATGAGGAGTTTCCGCTTTCCATTGATGATTTCCCAGCACCCCATGTTTTAATTCAGAGGATTTAAGACATGCCACGCCATGGGTACCGCTGAGCCGTCGGGCCACGGGTTGAAATCGGCACAGAATCGGAAAAGGAGGCGCCAAGGGCCATCCGTTACTACCTTGTATATATCAATGGCCATGTCAGGAACCTAACTGATGTCACGATGAGTATATTTCATGATTAGTAGATTAGTATATAGATTGGATATAATTGATCAATGGCCATGTCAGGAACCTAAATTGAAGGTGCCTACCATATATAAGGCCTATTTCTTAGGCCTAAATTTCAGGGAATATCCCCAGAAAATATGGCCTAAAATATGGTACTAACGTACCTCCATTTTAGGATCCTGGAATTCCCATTGAATATACATATAGATATATATATATATATACTTTCCACTTGGGGGTGCATCCCAGCGAGTTTTTTTTTTCACCCTATTGTTGGGGTATCTCCCGACTGGCTTTCACAGTTACCAAGTTTCTTTCCCCGCACGCCGGCTGTGCTCACCGGCTGCCGCCAAAGGGCTTTCCAGTGCCACTCTCGCCCACCAAAATGGTTGGCACCCGACTCTTTCTCCGTGCCAGGAGTTCCAAGATTTTCGCCGTGAAGTCTCGGGTCAAGATGTAACCCTCCTGCGATGATACGTTGAGGATTTAACCATCAAGAATGAGGGGAAATGGGGATCGATGGTTGATTTATCTGATCACTGATAGCTACCAATATGGCTATGACGATTATAACATATTATAACTACTGTATATATGTATACTGTAACTAGGAACCATGAATCACTATGAATCCCGATGAATCACCATGAATCACTATTAATCACTAGAAACATCTAGAAACCATGAATCGATCTTAACCACCAAAAAATCCCTAGAACCTAATATGAAATCATAGGGGTTTTGACTCACCATGTTCAACATGTTCCTTCTTTATTGGGCTCCTCCGCAATGATGGTTTCCACCCTTTCATGGCTAAGTCCAAAGGCGCAGGACAAGGCTTCAATGCCCTGAATCTCATCGTGCAAGGCGGTCTCCAACAAATCCGTACAATAGAGATCTGGAATCATGACTCCTTGGCGCTAAACATGGTGCTTAGTCCATTATAAACCATCCATTTTAGGACATGTCCATACATGTCCGTACATGTCCAGCATTTTTTCCATGGTTTCACCATATTTTCCTTGGCTTACTGGTGCTAAGTTCGTAGGGTTGCTGGATGGGTTGCTGGGGGTTGCTGGGATTATGAAATTTCGACCGTTAGCCAGTGGATCAGCAACCCATCCATTCCCTACGAACTTAGCACCAATAAGTTGGTCAAGCTGGTACCCCATGGATCTGGGTAACTTTGGTACCCGGCCTGGTAAACGTTTACAGTTTGCGAACTTGAAAATGGCCATAGAAATAGTGGATTTTTACCCATTAATAGCATGGTGATTTTCCATAGTTATGTTAGTTTACCAGAGGGTAATATTTGGTAATCTGGATAATCTGGATAATATTTCACTCACCAGAAGGCCAGCTATGGGGATTCCCCTATACCAACATTCACCATGATTCTAAGGTCACGACGTGTCACCATAATTTACGATGGTTTATAAGTTAGATGGGTTTATAAACTGATAACTGCGCCACAACTTCTCCTTGGATTTATGGATTGGGGCATAAAGAAGAAGGCAACATCCAGTGACACAATGGGAAATCCAGGATCCTAAAATGGAGGTACTGTACCATATAAGGGCATATGTTGTGGGGATATTCCCTTACATAGGCCTTACATAGGCCTTATATATGATAGGTACCTCCAATTTAGGTTCCTGAAATGGCCATTGAAGTGAGTTTTACAGTCCGAATTCTCCATTTCTTGTGATTAAAAAAACGAAACAAATTACACCGATGCAAATCCAGGACTCGGTTGGGAAAGTGCTCAAGCAACTGGGACCTGAGGAAATTGCATGCACAGCCTGGCCCATGACTGCAATGGCTATCTTCGAGATGTTCTCCGAAAAGTGCGGGTACAAAGATCAAGAAGTCCTGGGATCTGCCCTCCAGGGCCCAAAAAATGGAACCTATCCCCCATAGATTCCCCACGGATTTCCTGGGAAAAAAGTCAAATCCTCTTGGGCAAATCAAGAAATCCTCCTGTTCGGTCTTTCGAGCATAGGGCACCACCAGATGTAGGCACACCTCCTCTCCCAGCACCAGTTTTTGCAATCCCACCACCACACATTCCATCAAGAGGGACCCCAAGCGGTTGGCCGCACCGCCAGTGGAATGACTGAAGGTATGAGATCGCGCCATCCAATCGGCCAAGATTCCAACACGTCGAAGGATCATGTCCTGATGGGCTCGTGTCAAGTCAACCTGCAACTGGCATCGATCAAGAGCAAACGCCAATAAGACGGCCAACGAACCTGTCGGGCTTCATGGGGGATGATATACCCTCTGGTAAACTAACATAACTATGGAAAATCACCATTTTTAATGGGAAAATCCACTATAAATGGCCATTTTCAATAGCTATGTTAGTTTACCAGAGGGTAATAACCCCAGCCACGTGACCAAAATAAACCCAGGAAGGGTTAACCATTGGGGCACCCTTGGTTCGGTTGAATCCCCATCAAAACAACAGGCTCCTGGCGGTTGATCATCAATGAAGCGTCTGTGCATACCGGGGGTCAACCGCTCTGTTCATCAACCAACATCCCAGCCTGGGGATCAACATCATCACATATGCCTCATTTACCCTCCGGTCATCGAACGTTAAATCATTTCCCCTATAAATGAAGGTTTCGTTGGTGGAAAACTCAGGACCAGCCACGTTTGATTTCGGGAGGAGAAATCTTCAATCCCATGTCTAGTGTTTAACTCATGCTAACATAGTTCATGGGATAACTATGCTAACTCCATAGTTCATTCAACCCCACTAGTATTTAACTGGGCTTAGCTAACTATATATAGTATCATGCAACCCCACTATATAAGTGTTCATCATAGTTCATGATACTTATATAGTGGGGTTGAATTCTCATGAAAAAGGATGGTCAACTGGACGGGAGTGCCTTGGGTGTGACCCTTCTGGTAAATTCAGACAGTAAGGTTACATTTCCAAAGATCATGTGAGGGTAAAATCATGTTAAATGATGTTACTGTAAATCATCCAGTTTTCTGATGGTTGGTAGGATGACATTTAAAAATGCGAAACCAGGTAGTCAAAAAATATCATCTCCAACAGCTACTTTCTCACAGTTTCAAGATTAGACAAGACATTTACCATCTGGTAGTCAGCTCCATGGCTTGCTGGACAATCCATCATTTAGTTCGATGATGTTCCCAAAAATAGGAAACCTCCGACCGCAGGATTTCCAGCCACGTTTAGTTCGACACTGGAGGGGTCAACAGAGCCCGAAAAAATTCAGGGGTCAACAGCAACGGGGCCAGCGGCGCCAAAGAACTGTCTGGATTGCTCAAGTGCGTCACGTCGATGTTGAAGCTGTCAGGGGCCCCAGGAAGCTGACCTGGTCAGGAACTCCATGTTGGGCTCTGAATGTCTACAACAAAAAGGAAGAATTGACCATGAGAAATAGGGAACATGTAGATTTGACTCGCAAAAATTGGGATTCATAGTTGATTTGTCTGAGGAATTACTGATAGCTGAGATGGTTTGAAACTAAACCTTGATCTGTCTCCGATCTTGAATATGGCCATGAATATGGATTCCAGGTGAAATTTTGTGGGGGTACCCTACACTTGAACAAGAACATTGTGGAGTGGAGGTACCCAAACTGATAAAAAAAGAAAATCCACACCAAAATGACAGGGATTCAATGTTCGATCTTTTGGGCAACGCATGCAGCTGCGGAAGCCATGTTGTAGAATATTGAAAGCTTCGATATGCAAAAAAGAAATGTGATTGGTAGGTGAACATAGCGACTGCGTTTTTTTTCGAAGAGATGTTGTCAAGTTCTATCCAGCTACTATTTTAAGCTGGTGGAAAAGAACCCAGGTTTGCTGATGATTAAATTATACCATATATTGCCCAGCCATGCTACTTCCGAGGATATGCTGGCTGTAAAGGCGACAATTGTCGGGGTCTAAATCTTGGTGAGCGATGAACATGGTACGTGGATGACCTTGGAACTTTGGATTAGTAGAATAGCCTCAAAAAATCTCGTGCCCTGCCTGCCAGATGTTCAGTATAGGCCTTGACCAGAGGTTGAAGCGAAGGCGGGATATAGAATTCCGCTTCCTGCTGTAGAAGGTGCAGAGTCTTCAGGTCGTCTTCGCGAACATCCAGGAGGCATCTCTGAACCTCAAAATCATGCGGAAACATTGGACAATCATTGGTAAATAACACTTTATACACTCATATGCCCCAAAAAATTAGCTCATTTAGTGTATGACTAAGGCTAACTGATCGATTTGTGGTGGATATATCGGAGTACTTAGATGGGCAACCAACTGATAACTTGGGGGTCCTTCCTGTAGGTAACAATCGTATGCTTATCATCGGCAAAAGCGCCCCGTGCTCCCAGTGAAAATCCACTCGTACCCACTGAAAACATAGGTGAGTTTTTGAAAATTCATCCAACTGGCAACAAGAAAATGTACTCGGAAACCACAAAAGCAATTCTAATTAAAGGGAAAAACAAAAACCAAAAAACGAAACAAAATCTTCATTCAAAATGCTCAAAATTCCCAAGTCACGTCCCCAACTTGGAAGAATTCCAAGGGCTGCAAAAAGGCCTGCAGCACTCGAAACGGCAACGCCACCGCTTTACGCAGCCGGAACTCATGCGTTGGGTCGTGCTGTTCCTGAGCGCCCTGGGCATAGCACCTGCCATGGGGACAGCAATGGCCAAAAGGAGCAGTGAACGTGGCCATATGACTATGGTGTTTCATTGTCATTCCATGGAAGTATTCTGAAAGGAATATCAATGATATTTGGTGAACTATGCTCAGTTTATATATATACACATGTATATCACGCTTCTATCTTTTTGTGGATTACATATACTGTGCGAGTAAGTCCTGACATGATATTCCAGATCAAGTCTAAGGTATGATCCTTTTAGAATAAGACGCAAGATACTGTACGTCAGCCATTCACTACTAGACGAACTTCAGGTGAGAAACTCGGTCATTCCTAGACGGACTGGAGATTTCAATGAATCTACCCTCTGGCTATTTAACTATAGGTATTTAACCCACTGTCCGGCCCATTTATCGATGATTAAAATGATGATTTACCGAACTAAAAAAATTGTCCTTTTCCAGTTCGAAAGCATGAAGTCACCAGAGGGTTTTCTTCATTTTGCAAGTTTTTTTTGTGTGTGTTCTTTGACAGCGCGCGAAATAGGGAGATTTCCAGGGTTTCCACGGCATTCCAGCGCTTGAGGGGTGCATCTAACTGTTTTTTGGTCGAAGCTCACATGGGCGATGCCACTTGTGATCGTACCTTATGGCTTTAGCCAAAGATAGTCAGATAGTCTACCTCAAAATCCACAGGTTTACCATGCTTTATCATCATTTCGCCCATTTCAATGTGCAATTCCGTGGGGTATAGCGGTATACCCTCCAGTAAACCAACATAACCTTTGGAAAATCACCATTTTTCATGGGAAAATCACTTGAACATTTGGCCATTTTCGGGTGAATGTTCCCTGCCTCTCACAGAAATCAAAGTCTTCGCAGTCTACGCATCTGTAGCATGCCCCACGCACTGGTGACGCCCCACAGAAATCGCATTGGACACTCCAATGCACTGGGCCATCTTCACCTTCCGGGTTTCTTCAACTGAATCACTGGGGAGGGAAATTCGAAAGAAAACCGGGGTTTACATTACCACAGTGCTATTAAAAAATGGACCATCCAAATTGTGTGAAGATCCAACATCTGGTGATTTCGCCTTATCTGGGCCCATATAGTTGCTATGGCCTCACACAGCGTGGTCATGTTGTGAATCCCTCACGGCTAGTAGCCGGTCAAGATAAACACCGCCAAACTGGGTAAAAAAAAGGCCCAGTTTGGCCGAATGAGGCCTTCCAGGTCCCAGTGTACAAATATCATCCCACAAAGGTGGCGAGGAAAAACTGGGCTTATAAGCCACTTAGGACCAGGGGATACTCCGCTTGCTAGGGACCTTCAAAAAACCGCTTGGTGGCGTAAAAAAAAAAACTTTCACGATCCGTGGGATGATCCTCCTTTACGATCATCATTTTACAGATGGTATCCTATCTGGTGATAGTTATAATCACCATTAATCACCTATCACCAGACTACCATCTGTATATTAAATACCATATCTATGAAATACATATTAATAGATATCATATCTGTACATTAAAAAAAAAAAAACATCTTGCAATTTACTATATCTATATTACTTATCATTTATCCCAGTAGTTGACTTTTCTTTTGCATCATTGAAAAATGGGTGTTCCTACCTGTATTCATGACCCTTTCACCTTTGGCTCGAAAATTCTCACCCTACAAGCAACAGCTTGGGAGATTCCCATACATATACATGTATGTATATATACATATATCATATATTATATATCATATATCATATATCATATATAATATTAGATACAACTGATATGACATGTTTCTATCAACTATCACATACATGTACATGTATATCAATTTAGTATATTGATATTATGCATAGATATACATAATGTGTATAACTCGGTTTCTTTCATCTATGCTTACAACCCACTTAGTAACTAGGTCCTATCCAAGTAGCCCCACCTAGGCTCAACGCAAAGTGCTCCTCTGAATCCAACAGCTCAAAGTTCTGCACCTGGTGCAGGTGCACTGCATATTTTGTTCGGCCCCAGTTCGCAGATAAGTTGGAAAATATGTTTTTCTATGGAATTACCCAACAAAAATGGTGATCGATGTATTTAACGGTATTCATGATGATTTATGAGCTTTTGCATGAGTCTATGACAGATAAGTTGGAGGTCTAACCATCAAACATGGGTGAAAATGAGGATTGAACTAGCAAAATGGCGATTGATAGTTGATCTATCTGATTGATGGTAGCGAAGTTGGCGTAAAATTATGATAACTGTTGTGAGTTTATGTTGATCATCGCATATTACAATTAGACTTAGGTCAGGAAAACAACAACCAACAAATAAAACTGGGGGGCACCACCTTGTAATTAGTAACTTCAAGCCTGTCAATCAACAACCGCTGGGTTCATCAACCTTTCCCAGCTTGATGAGCTCTTCAGGATCATGTCACGGCCCCCTTTCACCATGTTCAATGTCCCCAATGTTTGCAAGTTGATTCACTGGCCAGCTCAGGAACCGATTGATTGGAGGTACCTACCATATAAGGCCTATTTCTTAGGCCTATTTCAGGGAATATCCCCACAAAATATGGCCAAAAATATGGTACGGTACCTCCATTTTAGGATCCTTTTTTATTCGCATTGATCCAGTAAACTAACATAGCTGTGGCAGCAATGGCAGGCCTTCTTATAAATGATTTACAGCTATATATGTCTACCATAAGCTAATCCCAGCCATGTGACCCCAGTCGTTGCACCTCGTTCGATCGGTCCACAGCCGCCAGCTTCAGAATGGGATACAGCAACGACAATTTCAGCTCCGATGCTGATGGAAAGAGGGATCGCATGAACTCTTCCGTGGCGTATCTCCTGCAGATTTGGAACTTTAGCCAGTTGTAGCCCAGTTACAACTGTGAAAAGGGCAATGATTATCACTCAAATGAGTTTTTTTTCAATTTTTTCGCCAATTCCAACTGCGAGCAGAAAACCTCATTTGGGTGATATTTGTCACCAACCACTTCTTGCAGTGCAGCTACTTGGAGGTGGTGAACTAAACCCACATAATTTGGGGATATGGGGCCCCAATAACCATGCTCAATCATGGTTATATATCCACTTATAACTGGAACTGAAAAACGTAGAACTGGTTAGTGGTTCATGACCCAAAAAACCCATGGGATATAACAAATAGAACCATCAACAATAGGGACCTCTCGGGATCTTCCCCCATCATTTTCCATCCTCTGACCTCTTGAAACCACCCAGGGTCCTCATGCTATGAAGGTCCCTTTGGCCCACCACTGCTCCCATCTCCACGTGGATCTGCGTGCCGCTCGGGACTGGCACCATGTCGCCGCTAAGCGGATCGTACAGGACTTGGCAGAGGAACAGATGCCGCCTGAAAGCAACGGAGAACTGCTAAAAGTTGACCGTTTTCAGTGCGGCATGTGCGTGATATATATATATAATATGTGTGTATACACACAAATACATTACGTTACATTACATTACGTTAGGTTACATTACGTTCCATTACGTTACGTTACGTTAGGTTAGGTTACATTGCGTTACGCTACATTACATTACGTTACGCTACGTTACATTACGTTACGTTACGTTACATTACGTTACGTTACATTACGTTCCATTACGTTCCGTTACGTTACATTAGGTTACATTACGTTACGTTACATTACATTACGTTACGCTACGTTACATTACGTTACGTTACGCTACATTACGTTACGTTACATTACGTTCCATTACGTTACGTCACGTTACATTAGGTTACATTACGTTACGTTACGTTACATCAGGTTACATTACGTTACGTTACATTACATTACGTTACGCTACGTTACATTACATTGCGTCTCGTTACGTTACGTTACGTTACGTTACCTTACATTACGTTACATTACGTTACATTACGTTACGTTACGTTAAATTACGGTACGTTACGTTACATTACGTTACATTACGTTACATTACGTTACATTACGTTACATTACGGTACGTTACGTTACATTACGTTGCGTTACGTTACATTACGTTACATTACGTTACATTACGTTACATTACGGTACGTTACGTTACATTACGTTACGTTACGTTACATTGCAATACATACATACATAGTCATAGTGATGTATGCATATGCTGTTGCCCATGTCAGATCCAAAGACAAAAACCTCAAAACAATGGCTACAGACCCACCAATAACTGGGGTTATAATCCACTTACTAACTGGGATGAAGCACCAAGTACAACCCAATATTATCCCAATATTATCACAAAACATATCCCATTATTGTTGGATATCCCACTATTGTTGGATAATATTGGGATAATAAAAAATGGTGCCCACTATTGGGACCAGTCTCAGGAAGGTGTTGGTCATCACCGGATCGCTGTAGGCATTCACCTGAGATCTGAGAAAAAGGAACTGCTGAGAAAATTCACAGCGGAAAAGCCGGAAATAAATCGGCTTAAATGGGTGGTGTCGGGTGTCGGAAAAAATAATAATAGTAAAAACAATAGTAAGAATAATGATAATAATAATAATAAAAACACCGGGTGAATCTTTCGTGTCGGAATCCAATGAAACGATGCTCACCCACCATCTTTTCTCCCCTTCAATGGCTTGTTTCATGGCCAGATTCCCAGTGGATTTGTCGCTATGACCCAGTTGTGACTCCCCACTTGAAGGTGCAGGCCGCAGATTTATGCCTATAACCATAGTGAACAACAAACCCCCATGTTTGTTGGGATATACCGATATACCCCCTACAACTCTGGTTGTATATCCACTTATAAGTACAACTGCACTTCCAAAAAAAAATGCCTAGTTGACATCGCCATCTCTTTTGTCACTTGTCAAATTTTCTCATTTTGTGTAGCTAGAGCACCCATTCAATCACGGCTATGTAAACATGAACCATGGCCAATCGTAGATACCGCACAAATGTTGAAATTTCTAGCTGCTTAGTACCCTCTGGTAATTTTACATAAATATGGAAAATCACCATGCTTTTAATGGGTATATCCACTATTTCTATGGCCATGTTCAATAGTTATGTTAGTTTAACCAGAGGGTATATCATGGTATATCCCATTAATATCCCATTGAATCACTATAAAATCCCATGAAATCACTATAAAATCCCATTAAATCACTATAAAATCCCATTATATACCAGAGGGTATAACAAGATCAATCTCAAAGTAGTACCTTCTGGTGATCAGCTCCATGGTTTTGTTCAATCCCCCCGGCAATGCTGCGATGAATGAAATCGCTCTCAGCCTTTGCCATGGAGCTGGTTGCCAGAGAGTATCCCCGTATATCAATGGATTGGCTGGTTTATACCCATTTATAAGGGGAAAATTTTACAGGTTTAAGCCCCATGATCTTATGGGAAAATCGATGGTTTCCGGTCAAGATTTTCCCAACAAAACCAATCCATTGAGCATGATATCGCTATCTGACTATATGCCCATATAATGGTTGATTAAATCCCAAAAAATGATATGGAGCTTTCCTGATATGGGGAAAGCAAATCCCAATAGCTGGATGCGTTATTTCATGGAAAATCCATGAATAAATGGATGATAACTAGAGGTACTCCCATGACAAAGCGGAAACCTCCATATGTCCCATATTTGGGATGATCCACGGTCCATGAAATTTCCTCAACCAATATCAATGGGAATAAAAAAGGATCCTAAAATGGAGGTACGTTAGTACCATATTTTTGGATATTTTTGGCCATATTTTGTGGGGATATTCCCTGAAATAGGCCTAAGAAATAGGCCTTATATATGGTAGGTACCTCCAATCAATCGGATCCTGGAATGGCCGTTGAATTATGATAGTACCCTCTGGAAAAATTTAACATACCTATGGAAAATCACCATGCTTTTAATGGGTATATCCACTATTTCTATGGCTATGTTCAATAGTTATGTTAGTTTAACCAGAGGGTATATCCCACTAATATCCCATTGAATCACTATAAAATCCCATGAAATCACTATAAAATCCCATTAAATCACTATAAAATCTCATTTTTATGGGAAAACTCACTATTTCTATGGCCATGTTCAATACGGGCGCCCGTCCGCCTCAATGTGTATGGCGATGGAACGCCCTCGTCCCTGCTCGATCTGCTTCCGCGCTTCCAAGACCAGCGTGCCGAGGTGAAAGCCTTCGTGCAACAAACACCTGGCACAACGAGGGGGAGAAGGCAGTAATAACCCATATGTAATCTATATATATACACACATACATATATATATATGTGTGTGTGTAAATACATACATATGTATGTAAATATATATATATATATGTATACATAGACCTCCAATATATCATCTACACATACATATGTATATATATATATACATATATACAACCTATGGTGACGTGGGGATCCCCCATTTAACAAAACAGAGTAACTAGTTCTATACATATCTACCATAAACCATCAAATCCACCCAGTTATTTGCGAGCCAACTTCGCGATGAATCGCGAAGGTAGAGGGCACCACCTTGCAAGTATTAACTCCTCACATTTCCTATGATCGTCCCAATATTCTCCCTATGAAACCATATTCCAATATTCTCCCTATGAAACCATATTAAACCCACCATTCAATCATTATAGGTAGTAAACCATAAGAGACACACCATTCTTAGGGATTCTTCTATGATGCCACGTCTTTTGCCCTTTTTTATCCCATTCTCCCACTCTCAACCATTTTTTCAACCATTTCTTTAACCCATCAGATTCCCACAAAAAATCCCACCAGCCCCGCAAATGGCCATGGCCGATGCGCAACGCCTCACAGTAACTCGACCTTCACAGAGGTGCCGGATGTAGGTGCTCTTTCCCGTCGAAGGCCCTGAAGCATAGCTGAAGACCTCGGAAAGTCACAACTGGAATTGCTGCCACAACTGGGAGGTTTTTAGCCAAAACATGAGAACCAAAGGGGGACGATAACTCCAAACGCCAACTGAGCTTACCCTCTGGAAAATTAACAGTTCGACCCTGGCAGATAGGGGTTGGAAGACCAGTTTCCATAAAAAAAATAAGTGATTTTCAGGGTCTATGTTAATTTACCAGGGTGTAGTGATTTTCAGGGTCTATGTTAATTTACCAGGGTGTATATAACGTTATACATATACATACATATATATCACTGAAACGAGGTGCTAAGTGGACCTTCTGTGGCTGAAGACTACCCAAAACCGGGCGGTTTTTGGCAAATAGGGTCTGGGGATTTTTGGCAAGATTTGAATAGGAAAACGGTGATTCACCAATGGTTTGTACTCCATTTTCAGACAAACCCAGATATGTTGTTTCAGTTTTTGCAAAATGGATTTTGCATCAAGAAATTCATCATTTGTTTTAGGTGGTTCATCAATGATCAGAAAAATATTGAGGTTTCATGGAATGATGATCAAGAAATTCAGTATGTTTGGGTGTGTCTGAAGCGCGAATCTGCGTGGCAACTGATAATGAGGATATGTCATGTGGATATGATGTGAATAACCTGGAATGTAAGGGGAATACAACCAACGATATGGGAATATCTATAGGTTTATCCGACATGTCATTCCATTCCAGTTCATGGATTACGATCATCCCTGATATATTGGGTAGTAGAAGCCGCGAACCAATCATCAACCAACAGGGGGTTCGGACACTGCTGGTAGCCTGGGAAATTTACATCTAAATGGAGGCATAAAACCACATTGACTTTATGGGGATATTGTGGGTAAACATGGGAACCAACAATATCGAACAATGTTTTCATGACCTCGAGGTCCGAAAATATCCTCATAAAGTCATTTGGATTTTACAATGGGAACCAAAACATGGATAACTGGCGTTGGTACTGTTTTCATGGCCTCGAGGTCTGACTCATCGGAAAATCCTGCACGATTTATGGGGATTTTCATCGTCAAAATCGAGGTAAACCACCGAAGTCCGATGGTAGTTCGATGGCCCATTTACTTCGATGATTTACCTATCAACCATGGTGATTTTCCATAGCTATGCTAGTTTACCAGCGGGTAGTTTGCAGATCCCATTATATGTGTATATACATCTATATATATATATATATACGTATAAATATATATGTATATGTATATGTATATGTATATGTATATGTATATGTATATGTATATATATATATGTATATATATATATATGTCTATATATATGTATAGTATGAGCCCGTCCCCGGACCCCACAACCCCCCCCCTCCCCCCCCAATGGTATCCCCCCCCACTCCTAACCCCCCCAACCCAAAAACCATCCAAAACCTAGTATTTGCATGTTATTTGCACATGTACATACACATATACATACACATATATACTCCCCTTTCCACCCCTCCAACCTCGCATCTCTACGTTATTTGCAGCACTTGAGAGCTACGACCTCGTCAACGGACCTTGTCTACCCGTATATTTCTATCATAACCTTTTTTTCGAACCGCCTATAGCGTGCCTTGCACATGGTTTACAACATATTTGCTACCTATGGATTACGCAAAGCTTACCTATGCAAACCTAGACATATGTACAGTAGAAAAACAATATATATATATATATTATATATATGCACATTCTAGATACTACATATTGATATCTTGATCTTGTATCTATCACATATTTCGTTTGCATTGTACATACTGTACACGTATATATATATATATATACATATATATATATGTGCATATATATATATATATACATATATATATATATTATATATATATACATAAACTCTAGATATACCGCGTGTATTGCTGTCGATATTCAATATACCACATATACAGGCTTGGCTGCTGAGAAAACCCCCCCTCCCCTGCCAAGGGGGGGGGAACCATCTGGCTGGGGGGGGAGGGGTGTGGGGGTCCCTGCTCATATATATATATATATATATATGTATATATATATATACGTACATATACATATATGTGGTTTACTTGTTAACTATAGCCCTACAGTTACAGCCCTTGACAGTTATATCTGGCTTATAATCTCATTTAAATTTATTTACATTAGTTATGGCTCATCCCATGACCACACCCCACGAATCTTCAGCCCGGGAACCTCAGCTCCGAAGTGTTTCTTCCATTCATTGGCAATCAGTGGGTCGTTACGCAGCTGCAACGGATGCACCTCTGCCACTGGAGCGACACGGACTGAAAGGACCATCATGGGCACCGGAGAAAAAAAACAACTCAGGTGCTATCCCCAACAGCTTGAAAGCTTCTGCATTTTACCATACAAAGCATTTATGCCATAAAATTAAGTGCCTATGCCTTAAAAAACATCGGAACCCTTTGGAATTTCACAAAGCATCTGCACCAGAACCCTCCCGAACCTCACAAGGTCTCTGCACCGGAACCTTCCGGAACCTCACAAGGTACCTGCACCGGAACCCTCCAGAACCTCACCACGCATCTTCACCTAGACCCTCCGGAACCTTATCAGGTAGCTGCACCGGAAACTTCCGGAACCTCACCAGGTACCTGCACCAAAACCCTCTAGAACCTAACCAAGTATCTGCACCGTAACCCTCCGGAGCCTCACCGAGTACCTGCACCGGAAACTTCCAGAACCTCACAAGGTATCTGCACCGGAACCCTCTGGAACCTCACGAGGTATCTGCACCAGAACCCTCCGGAACCTTGTCCGGAACCTGTTGAAGCTGCACCGGATCGCACTGGAGCTAATCTGGGCTAAAGACCCCATAGCAAAGTTTTGCTGTTGGGGAACAACTCGAAGTTGGTGGTTTGATTGGATTGGTTGAAGGGAAAATTCGCCGGAAAAGATGGTTTTTACCATGTTTTTACCTATGAAATCTGGGTTTGACCTGCATCAAGCGGTCTTGGGATGGTCGAGCATTCCAAAGAGTATGACTCAATTTGGGATTATCTGAGGGACTTAAGAGGGAAAATCACAAGTGATTTTTAACCACCAGTCACTTGAAAATAATCCACCAGTCAATGTGATACATACAACCACATCCCCCTTAAGGATTGGTATACTTCATTGTAGTCCTCCCCACGGTCCTTCTCATTGATTTCATGGTGCTGAAATCCCCATTGCTTCCTTGGATGTGCACCCCAATTCCTGAGTGGTGATAACACATTGGTCAAAATCAACTATAATATATGATGTATGTATGGATGTATATATATATGTATGTATGTATGTATGTATGTATGTATGTATGTCTGTATGTCTGTATGTCTGTATGTCTGTATGTCTGTATGTCTGTATGTCTGTATGTCTGTATGTATGTATGGCTGTCTGTCTGTCTGTCTGTCTGTCTGTCTGTCTGTCTGTCTGTCTGTATGTATGTATGTATGTATGTATGTACGTGTGTATGGATGTATGCATGTATGCATGTGTATATGTATATGTATATGTATATGTATATGTATAAATATATATATAGTTATATGTATATGTAATTATGTGTATATATATCTATATGTATATATGTGTGTATATGTGTGTGTGTTATATGTATACATATGTTTTAAGGATTATCGTTCATAGTAAGTCATAGTATGATTAATTAATACCAATAATATTTGGATATTAACAATTAATATGATCAAATCACGCCAACAATAGCTCCAAAAAAAGGATATCATAGTATATCAATCATATCAACAAAAAAACATAGTATATCAATCACATCTTATTTTCTACAGATATGATGGTATATCATGTTATATACCCATGTTGTATAGATGTTTTCCCAACATTCCCAGACGGAAGCACCAGGACCACCACGCCTGTGCCGAGGGCGGCACATACCACGAGGTCGTCGAGATCACGGCCACCGAGGAGGCCCTCGCGTCGGAGCTGGCAAGCCAATGGGCCACCTCGAGGCGTAGCATTACCCTCTGGTAAACGTTTACAAAAAACTATGGAAAATCCACTATAAATGGCAAATATGGAATTAGCCATAACTATGGATTTTTACCCATAACTATGGAAATTTATCTAACTATAATCTGGCTAACTATGGATTTACCCATAACTATGGAAAGATCCACCATATTTAATGGGTAAATCCAATATTTCGACTGGGCCATGGCTTCAATAGCTATCTATGTATGTTTACCAGAGGGTAACCAGAATAATGGGTTATTTAATGGGATATAAGAAGCATATTTATGGTTGATACTCCATCCAACATTTATGATCTTTCCATTCAAACTTCAACTTACCCTCTGGTAAACGTTAACAACAAACTATGGAAAATAACCATGCTATATAGCTGGGTAAATCCACTATTTCGACTGGGCCACTTTCCAGTTCTCAAACTGTTCGTTTACCAGGGGGCAACCAGAATAATGGGGTATTTAATGGGATTTAACGATATGTTACGGGGATTCAATGGGATATAATCCCCAAGATATACCCTCTGGTAATGACTAACAGTTTGCTATTGAAAATTGCCATTTTATAGCTGATTTACCTATTTAAATTGGATATGTTCCATAGCTGTGTTAGTTTACCAGAGGGTATTTAATGGGATTTGTACTAATACCCATGGTATAACCCCATCCAATATACCAATACCCCATTATTGATACATTTACTGAAGGATGGGGCCCCAGTTCGTTGGCTAAGTTGGCGAACATAAGTCCAATTTCACAGTTGGGTTGATTAGGGAAATATGACTAACTATATAGTTTAAAGTTAGGGGGATTATAAATCAACTTGTAACCGAGGGGGTACCGTCCTGTTGTAGTTGGATTTAAAAAGGGCTCTATATAATCGTGAATAATGGGGTATCTAATGGGATTCACCGATATGCTGCGGGTATTTTACATGAACACAATCGATTTAGAATATATCTAAACAAGTTAGCCATTTGTTGTGGTGATTTAAGGGATGGTTGATGGTTGATGACATATATAACATTCGGTTTACCACATTACTATGATGTATGGAATGGTTTTTATGTTTTAGGCGACACTAGATTATATTTATGATTCATGATATATTTACTTGGGGATAATAAACCTACCATGACTGGGGATGGTAAACATACCACCCATTTATACCTCACTACTTGTATTTTAGATATGAAACTATATTCAATTTATGTGATATTAGATGATATATTTGACCATATTAGACCGTATTAGATGAACCAAGGTTTTAGCAAATAGATGATATATGATGATATTAGACCCTATTAGATGAATCAAATATCTACCCAACAAGGTTTTAGAAAATGGAAAATGCGTACGACTTAAACCACCAGCCAGTCACGGCTTTTTTGCCCTCCAGCGCCAAACGATTGGGCTCCACCAGGACAAAGAGCAGCTGGGGAAAGTGTTGAGAGCGCCACAAGAAGGCCTCTAAACGCAGCAAAACACTGGGGAATCATTTTGTTTAATGGAATTTAATGGGACTATAATGGGAAATTTGATTTTCAAACTGGTTATCTAACACTTTGCTAACTGGAACCATGGCCCATTTAGTTCGATGACTAACATGATGCTTTACCGTTCTTAAAAGTGATGATTTTCAGCGACTGAAAACTCATAATTAGGGAACTTCAGTTTTTTTGAACCAACTCGAGGTTAAAACAAGGTAACACGCCTCCTCAGTACCCGGGTAAAATCGATCAAAATTGAGCATGTGACCTGGTATTTACAGTGTTTTGTGTGTATCATCATTCAAGGTCCCGAAGTGCAAAAGGACGCAAAAGTTGTTTTTCATCCAGAGCAGCGTGGCGGTCTAGTCCTTCTTGTTATGTCGGAAACCGAACTGGTATATGTATTCCCACAACTGTGTGTGTGTGTGCAAGAGCAAGAAGAACGTGCAGTAGCGTAGCATGACGTATGTGTGCAAGTGCAAGAAGAACGTGCAGTAGCGTAGCATGACGTGTGTGTGTGTGTGCAAGTGCAAGAAGAACGTGCAGTAACGTAGCATGACGTGTGTGTGTGTGTGTAAGTGCAAGAAGAACGTGCAGTAGCGTAGCATGACGGTGTGTGTGGAAGTATACTTGAACGTTATTAGCCACCCCACCCCACCCCAACGTAGCATGACGTGTGTGTGTGTGTGCAAGTGCAAGAAGAACGTCGCATAACCACAACCTATCATGAACGTAACCTCAACGTAGCATCAACTTGAACGCAAGACACATGAACGTTATTGCACCCCCCACCCCACCCCACCCCACCCCACCCCAACCTCACCGTAGCATCAACGTATCATCAACTTTCAATCAAAAAAGTGCGGCGTTGCCGGGTACTGAGAGTACGTGACACCTAAAAGAAGGCCCAAAACCATGTAAATCATGAGAAATTAAGCCTACTTAAGCAAAACTCGGGGAATTAGATTAAACAGCAAAACGTGAGAATGATGGGAATTGGAGCAAAACACGACAAAACCACGAAAGAAAAAAACAGCAAAAGTTGGCAGACCCAATAAACCTCCAAGTGGGGGTGGCCAGAGTGGAGAAGCTCCCAAAACATCAGGAAAGCTGAACTTCCTGATTTCCTAATGTGAGCAGTCTGAATCCCCGGTTACTGGGATAGACCACTTACCTTCAAATTGAGTTGGCATAACGTGAGATACCATCTAGTCTTGGTGGTTTGGACAACTCGAATTGTGGTGTTTGCATGTGTTTGCCCTCTTTACGCACAATAAAACTAACATCGTAAAATACTATAGATCTGTAAGCTGTTTATTACCACAGTGCGGGGTAAGGACATAGGTCCAACTTGGGTCGCAGAAAAAAAAAAACATACCATCAATCATCAATCTGGGTTACTAACCACTCCCGCCCTCATCACGCGTGCCATGGTCAAGGCGCAGTATACGAATGCAAACATAGTGGGTATGTAAATCCCTCCAAAAATGGATGACCATCCCTGAGAAACTACTGGGCAAATGACCAGCTTGACCATGGCACGAAAAGAAACAGAAATCTCAAAAAGGGTACTTAATCTTGACTTGACATCGGTACAACGGCACAAAAGAATAGAATTAGCGGTTAATTCATACGCAGCATGTTATGCTGTACAGACAAAGGACAAACATAGAACTCACACAATCCAGCACTACCAAAAAAACCAGCGTCCACTGATGAAATACCGCAGAAATGATAAATATGATGTGCTCCAATCAATAGCTAAGAAACCAAAAAAAGAATCTGGAGGCTCACCCTGAGACTGGTACAAATCCACAGAAATTTCAATTCAAAGTATGAAGGACCCTGGGTTCAACCTTTCGGATTCTTATCTAACGCTCAGGTTGTAACATCTCTGTGTTTCTTCTCTTTCGCGACACCCCACTACCTTATTTTTGGCACGCCCTCTTAGAATATTTGCTGAAGTAGGATGCTGAACAGCAGGGCGACTTTGCGCCAACCCCGCTATAGATCTGCACACTGATCTGAAACTGCTGAACCGTCTCCACCACAAAATGAATCGCCCCAAGTCACGACCGAGCCATCTGCCAGGATCGCAGCGAATGCCATGTAAGTTGATTGAACCTGCTGGACACCCTTGAGCTGATGTTGGACCCGAGAGCTGTCACCACCATAATCTGGAGAGCCCCAAGTCACAACGGACCCATCTGCCAGGATCGCAGCAAATGCGCGATTGGTTGCTTGAACCTGTTGGACGCTCTTGAGCTGATCCTGGACTTCAGAGCTGTCACCACCATAACCTGGATCGCCCCAAGTCACGACCGAGCCATCTGTCAGGATCGCAGCAAACGCGCCAGCTCCAAGATTTGATAGAACTCGAGTTCCTTGAACCTGTTGGACGCTCTTGAGCTGATCCTGGACTGCAGAGCTGTCACCTCCGCAGTCTGGGTCGCCCCAAGTCACAACCGACTCACCTGCCAGGATCGCAGCAAATGCGCCATTGGTTGCTTGAACCTGTTGGACGCTCTTGAGCTTATCCTGGACTGCAGAGCTGTCACCTCCGCAGTCTGGGTCGCCCCAAGTCACAACCGACTCACCTGCCAGGATCGCAGCAAATGCGCCATAGGCTGCTTGAACCTGTTGGACGCTCTTGAGCTTATCCTGGACTGCAGAGCTGTCACCTCCGCAGTCTGGGTCGCCCCAAGTCACAACCGACTCACCTGCCAGGATCGCAGCAAATGCGCCATGGGTTGCTTGAACCTGTTGGACGCTCTTGAGCTTATCCTGGACTGCAGAGCTGTCACCTCCGCAGTCTGGGTGGCCCCAAGTCACGACCGACCCATCTGCCAGGATCGCAGCAAATGCTTGCGAAGCTGCTTGAACCTGTTGGACACCCTTGAGCCGATCCTGGACTTCAGAGCTGTCACCACCACCACAGGAATTGCCCCAAGTCACAACGGACCCATCTGCCAGGATAGCAGCAAATGCGTTTACACTTGCCTGAACCTGCTGGACGAATTTGAGCTGATCTTGGACTTCAGAGCTGTCACCACCATAAATGCGATCGCCCCAAGTCACAACCCGGTCACCTCCAGGGCAAAACAATGCGAAAGCGCGTTTTGTTGCCGCTACCTTTGCCTCTAGGACAATAGCTGTCAGGTGGTCTCCATCTTCAAGTCCTGCATCCTGCAGAGACTTTGTAGGATCCACCACGCTATGGTCTGCAGCCACAAGCCTTAAGAAGCCACGTCGAAATGATTTCTGTGCCAGAACCCGCAAGTACCCTACTCTGTAGGACTGTGGAAGAGAAAAAGTGTCACTTTGACCGCTTGGCAGAGACACATTGATTTGAAGCATCAAGCCACGAAACCAAGCAAAGGTATTAGTTCTTTAACAGTTTCTTGAACCAAACTGCACTTTTTGACATCCCCATGGTAAAATCTTGTGCATCATAGTGTCCAAACCACCAAGACCGTCTGCGTCCTACAAGGTGAGGCCGAGTTATGCTTGTTGGGGCTGTTGGTTTAGACATGTTTAGATTCACACCATGAAATATCATGAAGTGTATATATGTATATATATATATATAGTTCTATCATGTTCTATCCCCTTTCAACCCAAAGCTTCACCAAACACTTCACCAAACACAGCAGCGACCCAGAAAGGGCCCAGAAAGGGCCGCCCTGCTTGGGGACGCCTGGACTTCGGCCAACGGCACTTTGTCGTCGCAGAAGAGCACCTCCGAGGGGCGCGGCAGGCGCTTCGGCCCCTGCTGCAGGAAGAGTTGCAGCACGGTCTGCAGCACCCGGTCGTCATCCTCCAGCTGGAGCAAGAAGCCTGGAGCCGCTGTCGCGGCTGGGAAGGGATCAAAAAAAGTGATGTGAATGTTGATGAATAAAATTTTCATAAAACATAGCAAGTGGTTTTGTTAATCCATAGAATTCAGCAAGTTCTAAGGTGATAAACCAACGAAGCGCAAACTATGGGGCAGCTTGTAGGGATTTATGATGGCTTTGTGATTTTCCTGGTGGTATCTACAAATTGGTGATGTTTGTCGGTGGAATTATATAAACCCTTAATGATGGGAGTCCCATTTCCATACTACTCATTTAATTACATAGGTAGCTACATACACATACAATGACATACAAATACATACGCATGCTATACATTGTAAATCTTGATGTGGTTTCTTTGGATGTGGTTTCTTTGGTCTGTACCACATGAGGATTATTCAAAGCCCTCTGCCATCCCTTTATGTTTATACTGGTTAGCTAAGAAGGATATTCCCACTTCATGGGTCGTGATCACCCCATTCTTGGAAGACGTTGAATAGTATAGCTGCCTCAGATCAACAATCAAAAGGTCTTTAGATATTCTCTCTCTCTCTCTCTATCTATCTATCTATCTATCTATATATATATACATACACACATATCATATCTATATATATATCAGATAGTATAGCTCCCTACAATCATCACCCATTGGTTCAACAGCAGCCACCATCCCCTTCTCCGAGCTCGCGACGTCCCGTGGCACTCCGTCCACCGTGCCCGGAACTTCCGTGCGCAAGGCCGGCGTCGGGCGCGCAGCTGCGCAGGGCCAGGAGGCAACGGCTGGCGTCTAAGGCTTCGCCGAAGGCGATCTCCACGGAGAGCAGCTGGGCTTCGAAGTTGATGTCGCTGAAGTCGACCCAAGCCTTGGGACTTGGAGCTGGAGTTCTGCTGGGATCAACTGGAAAACACCATGCGAAAAAAAGCTGGTTAAATCTACTATTTCGACTGGGCCATGGCTTCAACAGCAAACTGTTTGTTTACCAGAGGGTATGTACCCTCTGGTTATGACTAAGAGTTCGCATGGAAAGATCCACCATGCTATTAATAGGCAAACCGGTAAACCTTCTATTTCTATGGGCCATTTTCCATGGCTATGTTAAATAACCAGAGGGGGATAGTAGGGAAGACTCCCTAATAAACTATCAATGATCCAAAATAGACTAATGATGCTGGATATGAATGTATATATAATATGTGAATATATACATACACACAGGCTGGTACCCACAGTTATGTAAGTTCGTTTACAATCCCCATGAACTATAGACATGGGGCCCCCACAAACCCGAGTGAAAGTGAAGTTATAAACCAACTTAGCTAACTATGGGGCACCGCCCTGTATATTTGATCAATAAAGCCTCACTAATATTTGGGGGGATTAAAAAAGTGTTCTTTGTCTTCCTGGTGCGTTTTACGTAGGGAATTTTCGGGAATGTTCCAATCCATAACTATTTATAATCATCCCATTCCCCTATATCCCATTCCTCCAGTCCCTACTAAGCAGAAAGTTATTTGATCAATAAAGTATTATTTGGGGGGATTACTCCTGCAAGAGTTGTCGAAAGAACTATGAAAATTGCTATGTTTGCTGGTAAAAAAACACCATTATCCGTACTGTTATATCCTCCCTTTCTCAAGCCAAACGTTAGACAACTTATTGGCGTCAACATAGCTATAGAAAACAGGGGCCTCACCTTGTAGCAATCATTTGTACCCTCTGGTTATGACTAACATAGCCGTGTTTAGTTTGCCCATAGAAATAGATGGTTTACCTATTAACAATGGTGATTTTCCATGGCAAACTGTTAAATAACCAGATGGTAATCACTGAAGCCTTGAAGACTTGTGGAACTTTCTTTCTTTCTTTCATTTGGGCTCATTGAGTTCTTGTGGATGTAATATGATGTAATGGGAGTGTTTCTGGGTAACGAAGTTCGGTTCTAGTTAATGTTCATGGTATGAACCAACTAACTCACTTTGCGGACCCCCACCTGGTCGGACTTCGGCTGCCGACACCAAGGCACATCCAAGCCCTCCTGCAGTAGCTGCAGGATCTCTGGCGTCATTCCATGCTGCTGCACCGATGCCAGCCACGCATGAAGCTGTCCGCGAGGGACCAAACCAAGTAGTGGAGCGGCTTCCAGAGTGGCCAGGATCTCATCCCTGGCCATGACATCATGAATCAAGGACTTGATTTTCATATTGGCGATGGAGGTTGGGGGGTTGAAACCTTTAAACCGCTTTCAATTAAACCAAGTCTGAGGAAACGGTTTTTTGGAGCAGCTTCGATTTTGCCCTAAGGACAAGCAGAAACGGACTGCTGCACAGATCTGCAAGCACAGTGGATTGTGGTATTGTATTGTTTTCAATCGAGGATATTTATGGTTTCATCTAGTGGCTTTATTAAAGTTGACGAGGGGGATGGGATTAATATGGATTAATCATTTTATTAATCCCTTCCCACAAGGAGATCTTTCACACCTCCCAATCTCAAAGCATGGTGGATACATGGGGAATTGGAGCCCATCTTGGAGCCCAAGATCGGCTGTGATTCCTACAGGATGGGATAATCCTATCATCCAGTCATGACATGTCATGACTGGATCCTTCCTAGAAGGTGCCATCCATTTCTAGAGCCCAGACGATCCAACTTGGAATCCAACTTCTATCGATGGAATTTCCAAGTTTTTCTTACAAGATATAAGGCCTATGTAAGGCCTATGTAAGGGAATATACCCACAAAATATGGCTTTATATGGTACAGTACCTCCAATTTATATGGTACAGTACCTCCAATTTAGGATCCTGGAATTACCATTGACAAGAGGTTACAAGTCAACATCAGGTAACCACTCAGTATGGCACCGAAACGGGAAACGGTGCTAGGGGTCTCTCATCATTCAGGGGTCTGACACGTGCAACCCTCTAGCCCTCCATTGTCACTAGACAGATCCCCATGTTTGAGGCCAATCTTGTGGGACGGCGGTTCAACAACAAATCGCAGCTAAGTTCCCTCTAAGACTCTAAGATATTTAAGCGATTTAACCGTTTGCTATGGGAAACCACCATAAGAACAGCAAATCACAAATAGTGTTTATCATCGATTTTCAGTGGCCATTATCCATAGCTATGCTAAATAACTAGAGGGTAGCCGAAAACCTGGGTTCTTATTCACGCCCCAACATGACCCTTCTCTTCATGTCTGGAATGTGAGACAGCAGGGTACCAGGATCCAGAACTCCAGAACCATGTCTTCAACAAAAGGGTAGATCTATGGCAGCCCGATGGGTAGCTTTCAACCGACCCAACTTCTATCAAGGGGGCCTCGCGGTAGGCCCAATCTTCCCCACTACCAAAGGATAACCACCATCCCTGCTGGACATATATTATATTTATCTATTGGTTTATTTGGATGTGTGTATTTGTTTATGTATATATCTATATATATAGAGAGAGAGATAGATATAGATTCATTCATTCATTCATTCATTCATTTGTTTATTTATTTATATTATATATCTATTTACTTACTGACGTGTTTATTTATTGTTATTTTATCTTATGTTTATTGTATATATATACGTATATAGTATCTGTTGATCTTACATTTAGATCTTCATGTATACCATATCCCTACTTTGCAATATCCAAATCTTGCGTGAACGTCCACATGTCAGTCCCCAGCCGCAGCCGCAGCCTCCAAGCTTGCAGGCTTCGAAGCTGCTGCGCAGCCTGACAGCAATGAGGCGTGGTGACTCGCGGAGAAGACCAACAAAGATTTGATTTGATTTGATATGTGTTCATATGATTTGATATGATTTCATGTGATTTCATATGATTTGATGATCGTATATAAATGATATGAAGCTATTTGAACCAAAGAAAACCAGTTGAAATGGGTGACACAGCTGCAGTTTTGGTTACGCAAAAAAAATTGGTATATTTAGAGAGTGAAAATCTTCACAACAATCAGTACACATCTATCATCATGATCCAGCATTGAATCACCCGTGCACAGGGCAGGTTTTCCCCTGTTGTTGATGGTCCGCAGCACAGGGTGCTTTGAAAGTGCGCATCTGCCACGCCACGTCAAAAACTGTCAGGACAGAATAAAAGAAAAACACTGCCACGTTGTCAAGTGCAAAAGAAGAACAAAAAAAAAACATGCAGGAACTCTGAATAGTCTGAGATGCACTCTTAAAATGTGATCCGTTTGCCTGTCATCCTCATATCTCAAAAATAAGGCACCCATTTCGGAACCGTAGAAGATCAGCACAGCACGACGAACTAAAGCCCCATGTTTCTTGGAAAACTAACCCTCTAGTTATGACTCACAGTTCGCCATTGTATAGATGGCCCATTGAAATAGATGGTTTACCTAAGTTTACCTACTAATAGCATGGTGATTTTCCATGGCAAACTGTTAGTCATAACCAGATGGTAACTCCAAATAAGTATGGGTAAAATCGATCCACCAACCAGTTCACGAACAGTTCACTGCACTTCGAAGCTTCCAATTCTCCATTCTTCATCCATTCTTGTTGCTTATACCGTATAATTCACCACTATTACCCAGTATTCTTTCCATTTTTCACCAGGTTTAAAAAACCACCGTGTTCAAATGTTGCTCTCCCATGATCTGACCATCGTTACTCAGTGCACCTCCATTGACAGGTCGCTCTCCATGCGAATGGTCACATCCTCATTTTTCAGTGTCCATGGACAACTAATAATCTATAATAGACTTCCCTGGTATTCTATAAATGTGGAAAAAGGAAGACATAATCTATATCATCTACAAATGTAATATAATGTAATCCTAAATGTGATATTTTTTTCATAATCTATATATAATCTATAATCTAATCTATAAATGGAATCCAATACTTCATGGGGGATTTGTCAGCCACGTTTGACCACCAGAGGGTGGATGAGTGGCAGAAATTCATGGGACTGGGACATATGAACACCAATATGAGCATCTTTAAAGTGGTACCCGGCCTGGTAAACTAACAGTTTGCGAACTTGAAAATGGCCATTTATAGTTGATTTACCCATCAATAGCATGGTGATTTTCCATAGTTCAACTAACATAACTATGGAAAATCACCATTTTGAATACGTAAATCAACTATTTCTATGGCCATTTCCAATAGCCACGTTAAATTGCCAGAGGGTAATTGAATGGGGAAAATCATGATTCACCTCGGGATTTGGGGGTACTCGGGGTACCCTGTTTTCCGACAACCCCATATAGCACTCAGAACACCAAAATCTGTGGGTCCCAGGGAGTAATGAATGTAAGAATGGACACCTTTTTTAAGGATGTTTGATACCAACCAAATAGAGTTGCCGGTTGCCAGTCAGCTATGGCCGTTTGATCCCCCCTTTTTAGACACACCCATGCTCAAATTCTCTCCAGTGACCCACGGAAAGCCACGTGTGTTTTGTGTCTGAGCACGGCCACGTGGCGAGCCATCAGATATTTTGTTCCTGCCGCCATCTTATCCACTCATAACAAGTGTTATGGATGTTATATGGTTATGGGTCAACCCTGGATTAATAAACCCCAAACGGCTGGTTAATTGAGGGGGTACCATTTAAGTATTAGATGAAATGACTATTGGAGGAGTACCCCCCTAATTGATAAACTAAATAAACCATGGTTTATTAATCAGGGGTTGACACTATGGGTCAAAACCCTGGTACCCAAACGGTACCCTAGTTAATGGCTCATTCATGGATGCTTATTCCCCATAAAATGTCCCCGCTGAGAAAGAGAACGATTTTGATACGGTGGATGGTTGCGAAATGTTTGCGAAATCCCGCACCAGTTGGTGGATGGGCCAAATCCCATTCTAATCCCATGAAATTTACCATGTTTCACAGCTACCTAAGAATAGATGACCCATTTATAGATGATTTTGCCAGCTATAAACCTCCATTTATCATGGATTTTCCATGGCTATGTAACAAATAACCATAGGGTATATCATATCCATATAAACAAATAGTTTCTTTCATAGGTACCTTTCAGAAAGTTCCCTGCCTGGTGCAGGATAACTCGCAACCATGCACTGAAAAAAGTGGAGAGTCTGTACACTTTTTGGCCAAGTCCAGTCAGAGTGGGGTTCCCAATGGTAACGTTTACGAAAATTTTGGTGACGTCTACGGGGTCACCGACCCTGAAGGGTGACTAGGAATCCCCAGGGAATCCAAATGTCCTCAAAAATTGTGAATAATGATCCACTGAAACTACCCGGCCTGGTAAACTAACAGTTTGCGAACTTGAAAATAGCCATTTATAGTGGATTTACTCATGAATAGCATGGTGATTTTACATAGTTATGTAAACGTTTACCAGAGGCACTGAAACATTGACTCAACAAACATAGGACTACTATGATCATTGGAACTATGATAAATGACTAGTTGGGACTGAGGTTTCTGAGGTTTGTTAAATCTTACAATCCCAATCTTACAATCCTAGTCATAGGACTACTCATCTTTATCATAAGGTTTGTTGAATCCCCATGATCTGAGATCTTGAGCATGCCTGGCATGCCTAGAACTGTGCCTAGTGCGTTCCAATAGTCACGAATCACGAGAGTTACGTTCCAATCGTCGCAAACCTGTTACACCAGCCACAGGCTGGGCGGGCATTCAACCTCCTAAAAAAATAGGAATCAAAAAAACGATCAATAAATATCCACAACCTTGAATAAGAAATGAATAAATGCAACCAATCAGAACAAGTCGATCAAAATCCACCACCCCAAATCACATCACATCAATCCAAAACAAACTAAATTCATCAATAAAAGTCAACCAACCTTTCCGACCTTTCACCGAAAAAACCACCGGTGTTTACCCCGTAGCTTCTCCAAGCGCCGTTCCAAGCCGTGCAACGTGTCGAAACGTGGGATGCCCCGATTCGTGGAGCAGCGCCGCTGTGGCGCACAGACCGTCGTGGCCGTGGATCTGTCGCACCTTCTCCAGGAAGATCTCCAGGTCGCGGATGGCCTACAGGTCGCAACCACCCCATAGGAAAATGGTGGTTTAATAGTGGTTTTGATAGGGTTTAACCAACAAAATGGTGGTTTAATGGGATTTACCCTCTGGTAAACTAACATAGCTATTGAAAATTGCCGTTTATAGTTGATTTACCCAG